CTTCTCAGTTCTGACTTCAGTCGTCGTCCATCCCTGTCTGATCATGTTTTCTCGTATTGCAGATCATGCGCCCGATTTCTTCACGTACTCCTGTGAGCTATTAGAGATCAATTTTTAAAATACTGAGCAGAAATAGTACGTCGTAATGCGTATTTACCAATAAGACTGAATTGAAATCAGACTTTGGCGCGCGTTTTAGGGTTAGGTGTTACACGTGCGCTTCCTTTGTTTAATGCTTCACGGGGACGATGTCTCCCGAAAGCACATTCTAAACTTTCTACAGCTCGATTTTTCTCTTGGTTTTATGAGCGAACCCTTGTGAAGAAAATGGATCGCTCTATATATCTATACACGCGATTCCACGCGTTGCGCGTGAAGCACTCCCTCGAAGAGAGCGCCAATAAAACTACCTGGTTTCCTCGCGCAGGCATTCTAAACAATCTGTTTTAAGTACAACTCGATAAAACTCACTAAACTCGAAGCATTTAACTCGCTGATTAAGAGACAAATTAAACCAAATTCCTAGAGAAAATAAGTGTCCATTGCTAGTGATCATTGTTGCTAATGAGTGAATAGATCAGTTGGCTTTTTGGCTGCGGAAAAAAGAATCTGCCCGTGAATCAGGAAATTTTAAGAGCCTTTTAGGTCTCCAATTTCGCAAAATACTATCCCTGCTGTGTTGGTTACTTATGCAAAAGCGGCTTGGGTCGGGTTTCAACGTATCCATAATGCTCCACGGTCAAATCATTCAATCAATTGAGCCCCCTCTGAGACGTATTGCATTTGATTTCCTCGCATGGCGAGTTGTTGTCATGTGAAATATTCAGTTCTTTTAAGCTCTCCAGAGTACTCTTGCGACATTATTTGGGTTTTATCATCAAGGAATAGGTGACAGAATCATTTTGTGTTGGATCAGTGAATACACAGGTAGGAACGATTGCTCTGTAAAGCGATCGGGAATGCCGAGTCTTCAAATAATGGAGGTCGAATTGATGAACTGTGGACTAGCTTGACTGCTTTACATCCTTATTTTCGAACGATACAATCTAGAATTGAAAAACTAGAAACAGTCACTATTCGATAGAATGCATTGAAGGTGATCACAGAGCTATCGCATCATGTATTTCTTGTCTTCGCGATTACCAGCATTCGTAATGGTGGAAGCGCCGCATTGTCATGTACTTTACTATGGCGGCAAGTGTTGATGTTTTTGCGGTTAATTAGTGAGCTTGTATGCAATTAGATGATTCGGACTTCACTGTTTGAATCCGTAGAAGTAGAATTTAGGGAATTTAGCCTTGAAGTGCCATGTGAAAATGATAATGAAATTGTGCAATTTTTGCATTTGATACATGTAACTGTTCACACATTTTGTGTAATATGTCTTTTTTACGTGATATGTGATTATTACAACCCACATTAAATGTAATTTTTTTAAAGCTCATTTGTTTTTGGAGACTTATTGGGGTTTGTCAATGTCAGACATGATTTTGAAATCTTCCATGATTAGCTAGGCCCTTGTAGTTTTGAGGATGTGGGCAGGCGGACATCAACAGGCATCTGCAAATGCCCAGCAATGGTGGCAAATGTCTTACAACTACCAGTATCAAACTCAATCTGCAGGTAAGCATCACAATTAAAGGCTGTAGAGTAAGTGGGAATGCGCAGTACTGCTTGGCTTCAATTCACCTTCAGCCTGGTGCGCAATCTTCCAAGAGAGAGTGGAAGCTTGGTGTTTTAATCCTAAGTTTGGATTTCCACTTTTGATTTGATATGCTAAATTTTTTTAAATAGACATTGTAATAAAACACATTTCATTAAGAACTAGCAGTGGTAGTGTAAAAAATTAAATATAGCCTGCTTTGATGCAGTGTTCTTGCTATTCTTATTTGGTGGCTAAATTATTTGTGGTACATTTTGGACATATTGGAATTGTGAGTATGATCTCTGAGAATTTGAAGACATGTTGTTTGTTAGCCTAAGATAAGAGAGCCAACATATTTTCACTTTCAGATGCGAGCCAAGACTGGGCTGCTAAAGCAGCTTTATGGGCTCAACAACGAATGGCACAGGAACAGATGGCACAGTACTACCAGCAGCAGCCACCACCACAGGCAGGCCATGCTCAGATGCATCAGCAGCCAGGGTATGGTGGTTATCAAGTTGGACAGCAGCAGCCACAAATGTTGGTTGACAATCATCAGTATCACCAAGGGTCTGATGCCCCACCCCTCCCTCCAGAGGAAGCCCCAGACCCACCACCACCAGGGTGGTCAGATGCAGCCAATGTTGAAAGTCAACCTGCTATTGATAACATTGAAACAGTGGCCATGGATGATGGGACTGTGGGAACCAGTGTTACCAAGTTTGAAGAAAACAGCAAGCCTCTTTTTGATCATAAAGAAGAGCGCAAGCCAGTCATTACTCAAGATTACAATCACCAGCCTGTGGCACCTGTGCTTCCTGGAATGCAAACCTTTGATCATAACCATGGGTTTGATCGACCCCCTCCTCAGCAGTACAGCCATGCAGCAGTCCAGCCCATTGACTATGGGCATGGACAGAGTCTTGATTATGGCCATCAAGCCCCACTCCTCCCAGGGGCACAGGTTTATGATTACCAACCTCAATTTGATAGTCATTATTATCATCAGCAGTCTTTTGAAATGGAACGACATCATCCCAGGTTTGCACATGAACATGCCAAACCTAAAAGCCATCCTTCAGTTGATTCTTTGCCTGATATAAGTGCTGGACTATCTGGTAAGTAAACCTCATTTATTTGGTTTGAATGGCACCAGAATTAGTTACAAGACAGATCTCAAATTTGACCCATCATCAAATGTGGTGCTTTACATTTGTACATTTCTCTGCTTTATGGTTAAAGGTTGCAGTGTTGTTAGAGAATGTCATGTGAATTGGTGAACATGGCCAACTTCAAAGCCAATGGAGAAAAAGAAACCATTCCAAGCATGTCTATGTAAATATTTTGTACAGTGTTGAGACAACCTGTAGCTTACTGAGTTCACATTTGCTTCATCTCTTGTAGATGTGAAGAAAAAAGCTTTACCCTTGTGGATAAGGGAAGGCCTTGAAAAGTTGGAAAGGAAAAAGCAGAAGCAGGAACAAGAGGATGATAATGAACCAAAGAAGTCAACTGTGAATTTGTCAGCATCTGGGTCATCCACCATTGCTGGTTATGATCATGGCAAAGTCCATTCTCCCATACGATCTCCAAAGAGCAATGATTCTGATGAGGTACAGTGTACAAACAAAAGCCTCCATTTGGCGCAAATGGGACAGATTATAAGGACAAATATGCAAGGACAAATATACAAGCATATTTTCATGCCAATCAGGGGCTTTTGTGTTTATTATACTTGAAATGTTTTTGTAACATGTGGGTAAAATGGTTACAAATGGCTTACTTTTTGTTGTGCTATGATGCTACTCCATGACCAAACATGTCCCATCTTTTGTAACAATAGCTAAACTCTCATCTTAATTAATTTTTAAATGAATACTTTTATTATGGTAGAGGTAAAGTTTGATAATTGGGGATTGTTATGAGGTCTATCCTTGGATATTTCCCAGTTTTTGTTGGGTGATAGTCTATCACAGATTCGTTTAGACCAATTTCATGGAGCAAAAATATTTGATAGATTATAATTGGATGTATTTCCTCCTCTGCATGGCAATAAAATCTTCCTTGTATACATGATGGCTTTCAAATATTGTATCTAGTCATTAATTTACTACTATAACCTATTGAAAAATTGGTGGGTTGGAGGTCAATTTTAAGCTGGTAATAGCCTCTCAAGTAACCTGAGGGTTAGCTGATAGTTAGAAGCTTCAAAATTGAGCCATGAGTGAACTGGAATTCTTGTTTGCCTTTTGAAAGACATTTTCACCTTTTGTCCAACATTTCTCACAGAAAAAAAACTATGTAATTTGACTATTAAAGAGAAAGCTTGGATTAAGATGAATATTTATTTTCATTTGTTTTTTATTTAAGATTCTAAGTAAATTGACATCTGAACAAAGCAACATTCTAGATTGTGACTGGCAATGAAGCTAGTTACTTTTGAATTCTTATTATTCTTTCTGACTGGAAAAATGCCAGCGTTCACGAGTAAAATTTAACATGAATACTCTTATCAGAACTTTGAAATCAAATGTCATGTACATATCAGTGCAACTTGTTTTGAAAAATTAACTCTTTTTTTACTAGGAGAGTGACAATGAAAAGGCCAGTCAGCATTCATCAGGGGAAGAAAGTGCTCCTGATAGCCACAGTAAAGGCTCTGCTGTTAAAAGTCAGGATTCCAAGCAAGGTCACTCATTTCATAAGAGGGCTCAGTCATCAGACGAGGAAGAAGAGGAGGAGAAGACAGAAGAGGAGAAACAACAGGAACTGGTGTGTTTAATTTAGTTTAGTTTTTTTTCCTCTCTTCACTGCTTGATACACACTATCTCCTACACACTAACATGTAGAAATAAGTTTGGCTTACCATTTTATATTGTTGATCATCTGCTCATTCATAAACATTAACCCAGAGGAAAAAAGAAGAAGTGAGGTGGAATTTATCATGTATATTAGCAAAGTTGTGATTAACTAAAACAATAACAAGTATTATGGTGGATCTCCTGGTGAAATCATTTCCAATGTGGATCAAGATGTTGACCAGTTTGTAGTTTAGTCAATATTTTATTGTCCATTGTAATCAAGTCAAAATTGCTTGTGGTTCTTTGACTTCTCAGTTGGATAGCTTCCTCCTTCCTATGCTAGATTTTTTTTTTTTTTTTTTTTACAAAAGTTAGGCAGAACATTTCCATTAACTTGCAATTACCAAACGTCTCTATTTATGCAAGTACTGAATGAAAGAGTTTGGATGAAATGGCATATGTAACTTTTTTCCTGTTTGTTTATAGATGGTGAACATTCGTAAACTTCTAACGGAAGTCCTTTTAACGGTAACTAATGAAGAGGTGAAAAAAATTGCTCAGGAGACTTATAATGAGGCGCTTAGAGGTAATGTGGCACTTCGCTTCATAAATGTTACTTTGATAGATTTTGGGAATATTACATTATAACCTGCTGTGTTTCTAAATAATTTTGTAGGTCCAGCTCGACAGCTGCAACACTCAGGAGGCTTGGATGCTTTACGCGGAAAAGGAGGATATTTAGGTTTGTTATGCTCACACTGGTGCACTTCTGTATTAACATGGAGCACTGTGTGATGATCCACAGAAGTGCAAGTGGAACTACTTTCTTTACGATGTAGCCTTTGGTAACATTTTATTTGAGCGTTTTATGCTGCCCCTACCATGGTCACAGTCGCTTATAGCACCAAAAGCAGGCTCTTGCTGAAAAGAGCAATCAATACGTATGACTTGATCTCAACTGATTAAAAAAAATTCCCCCTTAGCTCTTTATCTTCCCATCATCATAGGGAACACTTGTTAAGGTGCACAATATTTAGTCCCGAGCGTGTCCCTTGGGTGTTGGTTTCACCACATATACCAGCAATTGGGTGGAAGCTAAGATATATATATATATATATATATATATATGCACGAACGAGACAATATCTCGCAGCCAAGTAGCTTAGAGTTGTTTCAGGCAGATTAGAAGCATTGTAAAAATTTGTGTAGTAAAACCTGTGTCGCAGTATTTTACCTCAGAGGAAAATTTGATCAATCAATTACACGAATTCTTGAGGTGACTTAACATAGTGTTGCGTTTCCTCTCAGGACTTGGAGGTTACGGCTCAGATAGTGAAAGTGCATCCGAGGAAGATTCGGGCAAAGAAAAGCTATATGCTGATGACGACGAGAGAAAACACCACGTCGCTGACGCGGAAGATGATGGAAAAATACGAAGAAGCCGATCGCGAAGCCATCCTAGCAGAGAAACACATCACAGGCACGAGTCTGCTTCTGAAAGCGAAGGAGAGGAAACCAACAGGAAAGAATACCGCGATGAAAAGCGCAGTAAAAAGGGGAGACGACATCGGACTCCTGTCAGCTCAGACAGCGAAAGCGAGAGCTCTGTCTCGGCTCACGAAAAGAGTCGTCGGAAAAAGCATCGTCGGCGAGACAGGAGTGATACTCCATCTCCGAACCGTCAAAAAAGACATCGTCGACGTCACGGAAAGAAAAGCCGCTCACGAAGCAGATCGCCGAGGAAACAGAGCAGCAGTAAAAAGAAAAGGAAAAGTGATAGTGACTCAGCCGAGAGCGACACTGATAGCAGACATTCTAGTATTAAACATAAATCATCTAGACGTAGTAGGGAATATTCACAGAAGGACAAGAAACATCGTCGTAAACGAAGATCTTCCAGTTCGTCGCCACCGCGTAATGAAAAGGACGGTAAGAAGGAGAGAAAACGGTGATCGTGCAGTGGATCATTCAGGTGGATTTTATTTTCTGTTTCCAGTTTCTGTGAATAACTATTTCAAGTATCACTGTTCTGTCCACGCTGTGTTCTGTTACCTTGCCTGGGTTTCATAGATAGAACGCTTATATGTGTAATATGTTTTATGACATCTCTTAATTGTGGCCCAAACATTTTCAAACCAATGGTATGATTATTGTCATGCGTTCAAATATTCAATCAGAGAAACGCAGAGATCGTTGTGCACGAGGGTCCTGGTCATGAAATAATTTGGGGTTCACCCTTTCACGTCCCTGCAGCCGAGGAAACAGTGTTTGAGCCCGTGTGGTCCCGTCAGTTTGGTATCCGTTAGTTGTAGTGAAGTGTTGTCGTTAGTTGTGTTGCTTATGTTGATGTATGCTCTGATCTGATCAGGTAATATCGTATACTCTCTTGCAGGCATAACACACAATATGAAGTATTACCAGAGCAGAGAATTTTAGTTGCACTTTATTTTATTGGGGATAAGGGAGACTGAAAACGTTCAAAAAAAAAACTCCCCTGAAGACGACTTAAAACACGTCAAATCAAAAAAATTTTTAAACCTTGTTGTTGTCAAATCAGACGATGTGATGTCGCTGATGAAGAAATCGGACTTTGTGACTCTAGCGTACACAACTGTAATCCTTTTGAAGATCAAATCCTAAATTTTTTATTCATGAACCTTGGTTGTTTGTCGACATGTGAAATAAGTAGTCTACGTCTTAAAAGGTTATGACAGCGTAGGATTGTAAACATGACGACGACATCAGAACCTATTTTGTTCGTATTCCCAAACATAATTTTCCTGCGTTTTCGTATTCACGTTTCGTTGGGCAAATTCAAACGTTTTTAACTCCTTTTTGCTATTGAACGGGTGTAGATTGTTTCTAATTCTTCTCTTTTTGCTTCTATTTATCTCATTCTGAAAACTCCCACATTTGAGAAATCGACAACACACGACAACACACGCAGGGCGACTTCTAACATGTGGCTAGACCGCTGGTCTGCTGCAATGGAATGCTTATCCGTGATCGTTAAGTCTGATCGTCCGGGTGAGGGTAATCCTGTGAAGGAGTGTTGTCGGTTATAGTGACTGACTTGTTGACAACCCGAGTAGAAGTCGTCGTCAGAGTCAGATTACACAGAATTACCAAGGACTATCCCCACTCAGACTCTCAGACCAAAACGTGTTACTCCATGGGTTCAAAACAGCTAGTTTCTTAACATGAGTCACATAGCTTCCCTTTCAGCCTTGTCCTCAGTGGTAACGTGCTTAACTAATGATAATTCTCCTATGTATCAGAAGCGAAGCCGCGCACCGTATTAGATGAAAGGTTTGAACAGAGATGATATCACTGATGAATTTAGCTGCGAGCCGTAGATTCTTGATAGTTCCCGAAATGTCTTCTCAAAAGCAAATGAAACGATGAATTAAACTGGGGAATAATTTCCCTGTGAAAGTAGCCATTCTGTCACCATTCCAGTAAGAAAGAACGACTCAAACAAATCGCAAAATGATAATTCTCTTTCATGTACGGTCGCCGTAAATGCATCGGTGGGTGCCGTCAAGTCATATTACATTTAATTTTTTCCACTTTGTGCAGAACCACTATAGTTAGTAGGCACTTGAGAGTTAATACAAATGTTGTAAACTTCGCAAAAACGACAACACCAAAAAACGACAGCAACAGGTCACATTTACCATGTTTACTGGGAGATTGCTTAAGTTTGTTCGTGCAACTTATAAAGGCTGCTTAAGCGTGAAGTAACGATGTAAACTAAAGAGCTCAGAAGTTTGCCAACAGAATGATGAACTTTTTGAACAGTTTGTTTGTCCAGGAAAGAGTGGTTGACGGCTGGGGTTGTTACAGGTACCCGATCATTATATCAAAAACAACTATCTCAATGTTTTGCGCGATTTTGTAAAGTTTCACCGACAGTTTAGTCATTTACAATAGATATAATTTCAAAACCGTGCACGTGTACCATCCCCCTCCTCCTTTCTCTACTACCCTCGATCGGGTAATAATAATAATAATAGTTAATCTTTATTGAGGATGCCAACATCACAGAAAGAGTGGTTTACAGAAGGGTCCTCTAAAGGTAACTACAAATCAATATAATTACGTAAAAATGTAAATATAAATACAATCGAAAAATAAAACAGAAAAACATACATTATATTAAAAAATTAACACTAATTTAATTAAACTAGTGAAAAAAAAAAAAATTAAAATGGAACAGAAATTGACTTAAACGGATAAGATTCCAAGCGTCCGCTGCAAAATTTGATGTTATCCAGTGCCCCCATCTTCTATGTGCGGAAGATTTACGAATATTTCGCTTGGATCGTGTATTATAGTTATGATAATGATGGGTGCACTTGTAGAACAGGAAAGTCCAAGGAACAGATGGAACAGAATTGGAACGGATAGACTGTGTATATCCTGCTACCAAGAACACAGAGGTCGAACTCGAAAATACGAGTTTGAAAATGTTAAAAGGGACTTCTGAACGTGTGTCCAGCGTCAAGTGAGGAAGAAGAGGTTAAATTCCTAACTGTTCCGATGCCAAAAACAGATGAAAGAAGGATTTTGGAGAAAGATTAAATCCTAGTATTATTTTATTACGAGATATCCTAATTGTTTTTAACGCGGGCGCTTCGTATTCGGTGATGAAGGCAAATGACAAAACCTTTCTTCAACCCTTGCTGGATAGTCGACAAGCGAGCACTTTGGTTGCGACGAGGTTGCGACCAATCTCGAGCCCAGGGTCATGTTGGCTCCTTGTCAGCGGTATGGTTGAGCGAGATTTTTTGTAGCTTGGTTGCTAAGCAAATAAGACGCCAGATCGGTTGGGCTTTTGTCATTTCTCACGGTAGGAGCCTTCTCTGTCTTTCCCAGCCGCCTACTTTCAATCTTTTTTAAAGTAAAATGTATACTAGTAGTATGGCAAAGAAGGAACCTTACGAAAGGAATTCGTTTTATAATCTCCGACCTCAACCGTCAAGAGGAACAAGAAAGCGAAATCCCGATGAAGATTTCATTCTCCGTGGTCGTCGAACTCCTGTTAGGTACACGAGCTCTTACTGACTATCAACATATGGAGTATTTTATTATTTAAAGTCTGTAAATATCTTTGGTTATCTAGTTATAGGTGTTATGTTCTTCATGTTAGATAGGACCTACTCATGACTGGCAAGGTCCACTATTGATATCGAACTGTTTTAGTATCCAACTATGACTGTTAAGTTGTAGTTCATCGTCCCAAAAAAATAAGCTGTGATAAAATTTAAGGTAAAATTTCCGCACAGCCCCATACTTCATTATGCATTCAGTTCTTGAATAGAGAAAACAATGACTAAAACAATACATTGCCGTTGGGAAAACAGATTTGTTTTACAATAGTATGGGGCTGTGCGAAAATTTTACCAAATTTAAAATTTAATATTAACAATTCAATGACAATAAACAACATCATCATTAGGGTAGTCTACAGAAGAGTCATAGACCCCATACAAAGGCAGACCACCCCTGCCAAAAAGAAAAAAAATATATATATATATATATATATATAATATATATTATATATTATATCCTACAAAAACGTCAATTAAGAAAAAAATAACTATCATCAAAACTGAGATAGAGTGCATGAATAAAGAATTATAGATTCACTTATATCTTGATAGCAAGAAGTCCCTGGCACCCTTATTGAAACTGGAAATGTTAGATGCCTGACATAATGATGATGGTAATTTATTCCACACATCCACAATCCTATCAAAAAAACTACTTTTAAAAGTAGCGGTTCTAGCAAAGTTCTTCTTGAGTGTAAGTTGATCCCTTCCCCTGAAGTGTTACCTATCAAAATCAGTATAAAATTGAATATATGTAGACATGTCTATACTGATGAACCTGTTAAGAACTTTATACAAGAACATCAAACTAAAACTGTCTGAGTTTTGAGATACTGAACAATTTTCAAAATACATTCTTCATCTTTGTCAGTGCATATGATTTCAGTATATACTTGAAAACTTGCAATAAGTAAACTGAATTAAGTAATAATGAATGATGAGTTTTAAGTCTAAATTGTTTGTTTGACTGTACAGGTTGAAGCCTCAGAACTACCGAACCAACTCTGAGATGACCATATCTGCTGCAGGAGTTACACATAGAAGCATGAGAACACCCTCAAGGCAATTGGTGAATTTTCAGGAATCACAGACGTCTGATGAAGAGTTAGACCCAGATGATTTAGCTTTGGACTTGTCAGAATTTGCTGATGGACCAGAAGAAGAGCTTGCTAGGTTGAAAGATAAATCAAGTGAAAATGATACATTTTTGAATAGTACTTACAACTCAGACAATTGGTTTATAAAGCCACTTCACCGGACAACAAGTGCACCAGTTGACATTGAGGAAATTGCCAGACGACAGCCTCTTAAAGCTTCTGTGTTAAGGTCAGCTATGGAAGGAAATGTGATAAGTGTTCCCAGTGAAAAGATCAGGACAACACCAATCAATGACTTTGATTTGTCACTCTTTAGAGAAGCAGAAAATCACATGTTAAGTTCACGAACAATAAGTGCTTTAGCAACACCATATCAAGAAGAACTGGCTAGGTTAAGATTAGACAGGCTGCGTTTAGAGGAGGAAAGGCTTCTCAAAAAAAAATGTGTGGATGAACTTGAAAGAATCCGTGGACCTAAACCTAGGTGGTATGAACTCAAGACTCCTGAATTTCACTGTGAAGCAAAGAGGAACAATGATATACTATCGCTGTCAGGCCACTATGAAGATATCATGGAATACAGAAAACAGCTTTTGTCTTGTGTTGGAGAAGAAAAGGTTGCACAATAGTGGTGGTGGACTGTGAACCTTGCACATAGAAATAAGAAATGTATATTTCTCATGCAAATATCATTTGCTTTAAGATGGAAGTTTCTATCACAAACTTTCGCGTCATTATTTTTTTACTGAACTTTCAGATCTGAATAAAATTTTGTTCCTAACTGATTATAAAGCTATGAGTGTTTTATATAATTATATTGGTATTGGCTTCAGTTAGTTTTGTTTAAATGAAATATGTGCCCAATTTATGTTAGGTAATGATAAAAGTGTAATCATCTTAACAGCATATTAAAAAAAAAATTAATGAGTGCTTTACTTTTGTCTAAGTAGCTATCTGGACCATCTGCAAAACTAGGCCTTATGAATTTTCCATATAGTTCTATTCCATTAACTTTCCGTGGAAACATCACAATGTGAAGATTACAAAAATCACTTGCTATGTTTATCACACTGTGACAAATAATATGTTATCACATATCATCTAAGAATCCACAACCTAATGCCATTATGCAAAATATATTGGTGCGTGACTCAAATAGTGTGAAAATCTTGAGGGATATACCTTTTTTTAAGACAAATATATGAGAAAATTGAAGAGTGTATATGGGCAAATTCTAGAGGAGGCAAAACTTTCACAATTTTTAGTTATTTTATTTAGCTGTGTGCCGGATTCAATGCTTTCACAAATGTTTCAAAATAAAAGAACAGTTGTCTTTGAGATTTTTTTCCAATATCAAAATAAAGTTCTGAACATGTTCATTGAGTGTTAAAGTAGGAACCTTGAGAGCAATTTCTTCTAGAAAAATCCCTAATAAGATGATCTATTTGCCGTAATATCTTGTGATGTATTTTAAAGACGAATCAAAATTTGTATTCCAGTTGTTGACGTTAAGCCAATGTGTTTGGCCAGCGTTATAGATCGCAGGCTTAGTTTGACTCATAACCAGGTTCTCACGTTTTCCGACCTACGCGGCATGTTCAAATAATTAAACATGGCGTCCAACAGATCGAGTAATGAATGACCATTCGGAAAAATATCACCATTTCTCGACTTGGTTGAAGATTGATGTCACTTCTCTGGATGAATTAAAACATCGGGTAAATTTCCTCTCTCGAAAATGAGGCGGCTGTCGCAAACTTGGAAGCAGAGAAGAACGTCAGAACGAAATCAACACCCTCTGAAACAAAGGGAACCTAACGGAAATGAAATCAACAACGTTAAAGACAATAACGACAACTGTAATAAGGTAAGGACGGCTTATTTCTTTGCTCTAAGTGTGGATCAAATTACTGTATGAGTAAGAACGTGGAGTCACTTGCACCGTGTAGGTGTAATCTTTTATTTGTGTTGCTTTTCACATTTCCAGCATTTGGAGTTTTTGAGCAGATTATCCTGAAAGACATCAAGTAGATCCGCCATGCATGTGAGATTAATCATTAAACGAATTGTTTTCAGATATTTTTGTACCAACCCTCTTGACACAATTCTTGTAGTAACCGCTGATATTCAGCTCTAATGGAAATCATCTAAATTGTGGAAGCCTTTAAAGAGGGAGTGAAAAAAAGGTGATCTATGCCTGTTCCTTCTCGATGTTGTCAGAAAGAAGTTGTACTAACAAGTATAAATGTTTCACTATTTTAGGTTGATAGGTATGTGGCTTCAGCCCTATCACCATGTGCTTCCTTGAACATGTCATTTGGATTTGAATTTGATGCTGCAGATTTATCACAATTTGATAAAATTGTTGAGCAACATATCCGATGTAGCCCTGTTCCTCGGTCTCCCTTCACAATCCCTTCTAAAGATACTGTGCAAGGAAAGGTTACATCACAAGGGACTATGCACTTCTCCACTCCTCAGCTGGGAAGTGGCAAAAGAAATGAATCTGATGGGAAATGGTTTGGACCTACCAGGGAGAGAATCTCTACACCAATCGAAGACTTGGAGCATATGCCACGATTTTCTTTTGCTCATTCACCTGTGTTTTCACCTGTCAGAGGTTCTTTTGATGATTTTGTAAACTGCAATGCATCTCAAGGAAGAAAAATAAGGTTTGATTATGTTTACAGTACAGAGTACTGTATACAACCCTTTTTTCAGTACAAATAAAAAAAGATAGGAAAAAAACTCACTTTAAGAAAGTGAGTATGTGGGTTAATAATTCTGTCATACAAGTGTTACTATGGACTAGGATTTACTTTTGAAATCTTAGACTGGCCACCATTCTTGAAAGTGAAGCTGTTTGTTTGTCTGTTGGGTTATTTACTTCAGCCATGTCTCAATGGGCCACTCAGAGTCTCACAGTAGGAGCATCATGGACCTTGATGTGAGTGCCTCTGCAAATCCCTTGGAGCTTTCTTCCTGGGGTCTTCCTCAAGAGATACTGAGGAGGTACAAAGAGCTTGGAATCACTCATATGTTTGAATGGCAGTCAGCATGTCTTCGCACAGGAAAGGTACTCACAGGAGGTAAGTTGGTACAACTGTAATGACTTCTTCTCCCTATGACTGACCTGTTACACAACAAAAAATCACGTTTCATCATTATGCTCATATTTTTTTGAAGGAAACTTGGTGTACTCAGCTCCGACAAGTGCTGGGAAGACAATGGTTGCAGAGCTGCTGGTTTTAAAAAGAGTTCTTGAGACAAAAAGGAAGGCTCTTTTCATTCTCCCATTTATTAGTGTGGCACGTGAAAAAATGTTTTACCTCCAAGTAAGTTTTCTCAAGTTGTCACCTGTTTAATCATTACCTAACAATTATTCTCTTGCAACAAGTTACAACTACGTTATCCTTGACCAATGGGATGACACGCATTTCTGTTATTATATGAAGAACCGACAAGAACTGACATAAAGCACTAAAGATGACAGTGACAAGACAGAAAAAATACTCCTCTCGTAAACAGTTTTGAAACGTGACTTTTCACTACCAGTTTCCGAACTTGAAACATGTTTTCTCCATTTCCTTTGTACTTGTTAAGCTTATGTCATTGTAAGGTCAAACATATTTTTTCTGTCAGCGTTTATACCAGGAGTCAGGGGTTCGTGTGGAGGGGTACATGGGAAACCACGCCCCAGCTAGAGGCTTTGTCTCAGTAGACATTGCGGTATGCACGATAGAGAAGGCAAACAGTCTGTTAAACCGCTTGCTGGAGGAAAATAAAGCTCTTTCATCTCTCGGTATTGTTGTTATTGATGAGATGCATATGATCGGCGACCCTCATAGAGGATATTTACTGGAACTGTGCTTGACTAAAATACGTTACATCTCTGGATGCAGAGGACAAAATGGAGTCAATGATGAAAAGAGTAAGTGATGATTACTTGGCATTCATCTTTTCTCCACCTGTCATATTTCACACGTTTGAGCCATAATCATGATAATGACGTCATCCATCTCTCTCAAAATTTTCAGGAGGCGAGGAAACGTTGCCACCAATACAAATAGTCGGTATGAGTGCGACTTTACCCAATTTAGACATGCTCGCCAAGTGGCTATCCGCTGACCTGTACTTCACAGACCACAGACCAGTTCCCCTAACAGAAATGGTGAAAGTAGGCCCCACACTCTATAACGCAAGCTTGACAAAGATCCGAGAAATCAGTGGGGTTACGGTCAGCGGAGATGAGGATCACGTGATACCACTGTGTAAAGAGACTATCACGGAAGGTCACTCGGTCTTAATATTTTGCCCGACAAAGAACTGGTGTGAAAAACTGGCCGAGAATATCGCTAAGCATTTTGCGGAGATCGGAAATTTGGCTCTGAAAGAACAAAATAGCAATACCGTCCAAAGTAGTGGGTTTGTCAAAGCTTCAACGCTTTTAAAATTTGATTACACTGCACTAAAGGAGGTTGTAGAGCAGCTGAGACGCACACAAGTAGGGCTGGACTCGGTGCTCTCTCGTATAGTGCCTCATGCAGTAGCATTTCATCATGCAGGGCTCACATTTGACGAGAGGGACATTATTGAGGGGGCCTTTAGGCAGGGTTCCATTCGCGTACTCGTGGCCACGTCCACATTGTCTTCAGGTAGGTCGAAGTTTAAAGGGGGCGAGTTCATAGAGAAACTGTGGTATTGCGTTGGTAGGGCGTGGGGGAAGGTATTGCAAGACAATATGGTTTTAAAAACGGGTTGATAACGCGAAATTCCCACCGTAGAGAGATTCCGAAGCTGATGGTTCGAGCGTTGCGCTCTGACGAAGGGCTAACGCTCGAAATGTCAGCTTTAGAATCTCGCTCGATGGCCAATTCACATTATCAACTTATTTGATAAAACCAAAATATTTAAGTTGAAGTATGTTTGTTGTCGCACAAAGAGTATTTTTTTGCACAAATTGTCAAGATTTTTGCATTCTGACGCAATTTTTCATTTAGAAATTATCAACAATTTTAGTCAATAAGTGGTGCAAGATGTCTTGCGGAGTAGGCTGTGCTACATATTGTTAGATGAGTGACAAATCTAATGTATGACTCTGCTATTTCAAAGGTCTGCTAAACAGGTTTTTAATATGTAATAATTACTAGGCGTGAATCTTCCTGCCCGTCGTGTAATCATTCGTACCCCAATGTTTCATGGGAAGTTGGTGGATGCACTGGTCTACAAACAGATGGCTGGCCGCGCAGGTCGCAAAGGGGTCGATGCCTTGGGCGAGAGTATTCTGATTTGTAAACCCAGTGAACGACAAAAAGGTTCTTCGCTTCTGAACTCTCGACTGAAAGCTGTGGAGAGCTGCTTGCTTGGTATGTACACTATTTGATAATTCTTTCTAACTCTGTTGAGTAAAAACTCTTCTTAACAGAGTTTTTTCTGCACGAGTGTCTATACATCTTATTCAGATCAACTACTTGTTCCAGAATACTCTACCGGAGTTTGTAAAGGCTCTTGAGATTCGTTTCTCCCATAGAGTGAACGCGATGAGTTTGCAGGTTCTATGAAAAGAACTTGGTAAATGTCTCGCTGCGGAGAGGGAAGAATGTTTTTAAGCCCATATAGATTCTAATGTCAGGTTGCAGTTCACCTGCGAGGATCATGGCTTCATCTAATTTTCAATCCGAAAGTCAAAGGAAATTTGAAAGTTAACTGAAAGTTGAGTTAAATTAAAGTTAGGTTTGTCGTGCTCTTTGCTGAAGCGTTAAGTAGCCCTTGGAGCAACCAGTTGTCGCGTTGAATACTGTACATCAATTCTCCGTAAACTCGAGTTTTCTTCATGATTAGGTTTTTCATTTTCTTTCAGGTCAAGGAGACAATAGTGGAATGAAACGTGCGCTACTTGAGGTCATCGCTAGTGGAGTGGCTACAAGGCCTTCGGATGTAGAACGTTACGCGGCCTGTACATTCTTTGCCTCAGTTTCCTCGCAACAAGAAGTAAACGATACAGACACAATTATCAAGAACACCGTGAAGTTTTTGGTAGAAAACGAATTTGTTCGTTTGCAAAGATGTGACGATAAGAAGACAAATGAAAACAAAGAGAACGACATTGGGGCAGAGGAAGTAAGTTGGAAGAGAAATATTGTAAATAAAGACTTTTCTACTCGACCTTATTTTAAAGTAAATTTCTCCTTGAATAACTAGAAAATGTCTCTTCATAAAAACAGGTTGGATCTTAACTAGCTGGTACAGACAAACGTGAGAGAATTTTAAGAGTTCCACTGATATCAGATTTTCGTATTCTAGATACAGACAGACGGATTGAAATACGTACCAACTCAACTTGGCGTGGCTACATTATCTTCTGCTCTCTCTCCTGACGAGGCACTTGTTGTATTTGCTGAAGTACAGAAAGCACGAAAGTGTTTTGTGCTCGAAAGTGAACTTCACGTGATATACCAGGCGAGTAACAACTGAAGACTTGATTACATGGGCGTTTGTATCAGCAGTCTCTCGATCGACCAATTTCTCATGACTAAAGCACTAAATTTTTTATGAGCATTCTGGTTAGTTGGCGCTTGAGTACACTGCTAAATCACCACAAACATTTCCTGATTTAATTCCTTCCCCCTCGCTTTCCATCCGAATCATTCTGTATGTTTCCTCTTTGAAGATCTATCTATTTCTTAAGGTTGGCAGATTTCAATGTAAAACGTACATGTTACTTGCTGGGATCTTACGACCTTAAAGTGCGACCTTAGGTGTTTAACTTAATCCTTTCAGTTGTCATGCTAGGCAATACAGAAATGCCTGACAATTATGTCCCAATATATGTCCGTCATAATGGTCCAGTGTTGGTCACTATAATGCGTCAACACTTGTTGATTTACAATACGTTTTGATGACAGGTGACTCCAATCTACATACAAGATCAGTGGCCCAGCATAGACTGGTACCAGTACCTAAGAATCTTTGAGCGCCTTCCTGCGAGCGTGCGCCGCGTGGCAGAGCTGGTGGGAATTGAGGAAGGTTTCCTTGCCTGTGCCGTGCGCGGCCGTACTCCAACACGTACGGAGCAGCAGCAGCGATCTCTCGCCGTGCATCGTAGATTCTTTGCTTCATTGGCACTTCAAGACCTCGTACATGAGGTACCCCTCAATGCTGTTGCCAGGCGGTATGGAGCAAATCGAGGCATGCTGCAGTCATTGCAAGGTTCTGCCGCAACGTTCGCGGGAATGGTTACAGTGTTTTGCGAGAAGCTCGGCTGGACTAACATTGCGCTTCTTTTGTCTCAATTCCAAAGCCGTCTGTCTTTTGGTGTTGAAAGAGAGCTCTGCGACTTGGTTCGAATATCCCTCTTAAATGCTGCGCGTGCACGTATGTTGTATAACGCTGGCTACCATACTGTCGCTTCCGTTGCAACAGCCCCTCCATCAGAAATTGAGAACATATTACATAATGCTGCGCCATTCGTCAGTAGCCGTAGGCGAGGGGAGGAGACTGAAACCGAGGTACGCGAGCGTAGTGAGGCGCGCGTGTTTTGGGTTGCAGGAAGACGAGGGCTCACTGAAGGAGCGGCAGCAAAGCTCATCGTAAGTGAAGCCCAAAAGCTGTTGCAATCTGATGTGGCACAACTTGGAATTCATTGGAAGCCTCCTGAGGCTACAGATAATCTTGGCGAACGTGTCTATCAGGGGGAAGTAAATGTCTCTGGGTCGAAAGAAGTTTGTCCGAAGTTTGCAGGGGTGAAATCGGGAAGTGTCGCACAGAGTAAATCTCTTACCAAAAAATTAGACTCGACAAGACCAGTTATAGAACAAATTCCAAAGACTAATGATGCTGTTCTTCGTGTTAATTCAAGCGATAGACCTCAACAACGTGCTTACGACGAGACAGTGGAAAGTAGTCAGGTCAGGTTGAATTTTCAGGAAAGTGGACCAAGGTCAAGAAAAGATGAAGTACCTAATAAAGTGTTCGTAGATTTTTTAAAGCCAGCACGTTTCGTTAATATAGGACCCTTAAAGATCCATGGAAAAGGCCGCATTGACTCAGAAAAGACCGAAAATACTAGCTCTCTTGTTCATGCGTGTTCAGAAGTGTTAGCCTCCTCAAAGGATCCTGAACCTGTTGTGGCTGTCTCTTGCACTTCCACCTCCAAGACTCCTTTATGGGGCGGTGGAACAGTTCTTCCTCGTCTTAGGAGCAAACGCCGTTCACCGATTCCTGAAATTCCTGAGCCACAAGAAAAGTTACAGAAAAAAGAAACAACAGTTACGAAGATTCCAAAAGTCATTTTAACGGAAGGGATTCACGCAGAACAGTCAAGAAAAGGCTTCTCTGGTTTGGAAGTTTCCGGTGATTGTAAGGTTTGCAGTGACGATAAGTCGGTTTCATTAGAGCTGTACTCTGAGCCATTAGAGGGAGAAGAACCGGCCGTAAAACAGAACCCCGGCAATGCTCCTAACAGTGACACTGATATTGTGTCAGATTCTCAGGCTTTAACATGTAGTTTGAGTGACACCTGTCTTATGGAGTGTGACGCCATGGTTGAAGAAAGATCTGTAAAGTCATACCCACTTGACATGAAGTTGTCACAAGATTTAATTCCTGCGAAGAGAGAATGTGAAGTTGTTTGTGATGAGATTTCCAATGCTCTGATAGATCAGACCGACAGTCTGGCTGAGCTTAAGAGTCAAGATGTTATTGGTGAATATGACATCCCATTGCGTCATTCGTTATCGGGAGAATTTGATGCCGAACGAAGCCCGGAGATGTTGTCATCATTAGCTTCTCGAGCTCTTAAGTCACCCGAATGCTCAGTAGCAGATGCTAGAAGTTCAACTGGCGCCGCAAGTTCATTTTCACTTCGTCTGTCGGCCAGTGACGGTTGCCTGGATTCTGATCTGTCCACTTTGGCTATTGCAGAGTTAATGGCGAAAGAAGCTGAGGAGAAAGAACTTCGGAAACATGCGGAAACCTGCGCCTTGCAGCACTTGCCTCAGGTACAACAGAATGGGTCTTATTTTACTAAAATCAAGAATCCTGAATGTACTGATTCATCCTTCGGTGGCGATCAAAAGTCGCCTGCTAAGAAGATTTCACCGTATGAACTGTTAGCTGCTGGTGAAACTGAAGGAAATGAGACAGCAGATTACGAAGTCATTCCTTCTACACCTCCAAGGGAGCAAATGCCATCCCAGGATAATTTTAAAACAAAAACCTCTGCAACTCCATTGTCAACACGAAAGCGTCCATCCCCACGAAGAACACCGTATTCCTCTACCCCAGATGAAGGACTTGTTATTATTGACGTCACGGGACATGAGCAAGTGTTTGCTATGTTTCTGAAAGAATGGCGCAGTCAAACTCGTTTTTCGTTGGCTGTGGCTTGTGAACGCTCCTTAGATAAAAATCCTAAGATAGGAGCACGATTCAGCAACGCCCAAACGTCAAGAGGCCTTATAATTGAAGGAGAGGACAAGAGCGTGGTCGGAATCGCAGTGAGCTGGGGCGATAAAGATGCTTATTACATTTCATTTCTGGAACATGCTCAGTCGTCGCGCAATCGAGTGGATGACAGTCAGGCCGAGTCAGCGGTGGATTATAACCTCACGCTTTCTCGTCGTGTAAATGAAGTAAAGAGTACCATTAAGTTACTGACAGAAAGAGGAAGCAGCATGGTATGCTTCAATGTCAAGGAACACTTTAAGGTGAGAATGGATATTTAGTGTAAGAATACTAGTTTTACAGTGACTACTGTATTGCCTCTTCAGTTGATGGATCGTTTTGCTGCAGATATTTGCTCAGTCTACTGGCATCTCTCTCAGTGGACCAGCAGACGATCCAAAGGTGGCGAGTTGGCTTTTGGATCCTGGAGCCAAGGAAAAGAACCTTCACCAGCTTGTGGGACAGCACTTACCGGAAGAAGCTTCCTTACTCGAAGGTTATATTACGTTTCTTTTCGCTTCCAGCCCTGCATAGTCTCCTTTACCGCCGTTATTTGCTCTTGTCCAACAGTACGCTCTCTCCACTACATTTGTTGCGTGATGAGACCAAGTAACGGCTGCGAAGGAGACTAATATCCACAAGAAAATGAAAAACTTCGTGAGATCAAGAATTCAAGGTTTTTTTTAGTACATTTTGAGTCTTCCAATACCATTCTAACTTGATGCGAAAGAGGGCATTTCTTCGCTAATTTGTTGACCACATATGACTACACGGGAATAATTTTACTTTCAGGTACCGGAGGTGGACTGGGTACAGGAGGTCTGGCTTTAGCATATCAATGTCGGCAGAGCGGTAGAGTGAGAGCCTGCGTCGAGACTGTTTTAGTTCTTTCATTGATGGCAAAGCTGAGAACCTTACTGGAGTCTGAAGACCTCGTGCAGGCTTTCACCAAGGTTTGCTTTACTGAAACTACTTGAAATTTTAAAATTAACTTCGGAATTCTAAGCCTTCGCTTGTGAGCTTGACATTCACTTCGGGAGAAGCTATGAGGTTGATTGCAAAGATGAGGAGAATACCATCTCGTAACATGCAAAGTAGGCGGCGCTTAAAGAGGCCCGAAGCTGTGCGCGCTTTTTTGGCTGACTTGGACTATCACAGAAGTGCAGAAAATCCGCGTGTAATGTCAACACATAGGTAGAGTGAAGATAGAGTATATACATACATACATATATATATATATATATATATATATTATATATACATAAATACATACATACATACATACATTTCCCGACATATATACATACTATTTACATAATATATATATATTACATACTATATGTATATATATAAGCGATTATATATATAATACATATATATATATATATATATAATATATATATATCCTATTTATATATATATATACTATATATATATATTCTGCTCTATATTCAACGTATTGAGCATATGTTCCATATATACAAAATATATACTATACATAGACTTCCTATATAAATATATATATATATATATATTAGTGAAAGAATCAAAGAGGACGCATCGATTCTCTGTTACTCTGAGTTTCGCGCCTAAACGTTGGTCAGACAGAACTAGAAAGTTCTGTTCCTCTTTGATTCTTTCACTTATATATACTCAGCTCTGCTACCACAGCATTGAGCACTTTATGCCAAGGTAGAAGTGTTATTTTTTATGTATTTTTAGATAAATTTATTCATATTATAGTCTATTAATGTTATTTATGTTATATTAATATTGTGGTAACACGACCCCACAAGCCTCTGGCTTTAAATATTTATCGTGTTAAAATAAAGTTTTATCTATCTATCTATCTACATCACAAGTTCTCCTCCTTCAAGTTTTAACATTCCCCGCTCAATTTGGGAGAAATTTTATCCTATGGGAAACGTTTGATGTGAAATGTTTTAACCATCGTAGGTAGAGATGCCATCCGTATTGTGTTTGGCGCGTATGGAGTTAAATGGTTTGGGATTCTCTGATACCGAAAGTGAACATCTGAAGAACATTCTACAAGCCAAGCTTCGTACTCTGGAGGAAGAAGCCTACCGACTGGCCAATCACAGCTTCTCACTGACCAGTCGTGAAGATGTAGCGCAGGTGTGACACATGTAAATCATCTTTTTAAATGAAATGAATTTAGGTATCTTAAAGTTTGGTTGATCAATTTGATAATGGCGTTAATGACTTCTTATAGTCTCTCGTCTCCCCTAAGTGCATCGAGAAGATAGCTTAGGTGACTTATGGATCCTTATTCTCCTTCGTTCAACTTTTTAAACCATATTTTTACACAGGGAAAAATTAGTTTGCTTTGATCATGCTCTAATGCCCAATTTGTTAAGCAATTTATTCTAGATTGCATTCCACCTGACTATTGCAGAATTCGTCTTGTAAAGTAAATTTGTCGGAATTATCTTGGCTAAATTGTTTTACTATGTAGTGTTTGGCAGTCCAGTAATAATTCTCTGCACTGAAAAAACCGTTTTTCGCACATCCCTTCCCTTTCCTCCCATTTAGGTCCTTTTTGTGGAGCTCAAGCTTCCTCATGACGGAAACTCTGAAGATGGCCAGGTCACCAAGCGTAAGACTTTGGGAGTGACCCGACGTGGAAGGTCACGTGGTAGCAAACATCTTAGCACTAATAAAGACGTGTTAGAAAGACTCAAACCACTGCATCCGCTACCAGGACTTATCACAGAATGGCGCAGGATAAACGCGGCCCTAACAAAGGTTATTTTTCCATTACAAAAGGAGAAATGCTTGCATACGAGGCTTAAAATGTCACGAATTTACTCAATTAGTCAAACACATACTGCAACTGGGCGAGTTTCTTTTGTGGAACCAAATTTGCAAAATGTTCCAAAAGATTTTGATGTCGTACTGCCGACATCCATTGCCGAGAGTCCTCCTCCTGGAGCCGGGGACCAAAGGAATTCTTCCCATCGAGGCAAAAGAGGAGTGAGTCGACACAATGCGATGAATGTTAAGCTTGGGACCGAATTAACTACTCCTAAGTTCTCAGTGAGCATGCGAAATGCCTTTATACCCTTTGAAAGTGGCCTTCTTTTTGCCGCTGACTATTCTCAGCTGGAGCTGAGGCTCATAGCTCATCTCGCTAAGGACAGTCGACTCATCAAAATTCTAAATGGAGGAGGAGACGTGTTCAGAATGATTGCGAGTGAACTTTATCAAGTTCCAGCGGAATCTATCAAAGATGAACAGCGGCAACACGCCAAACAGGTATGTTATGGCATCATTTATGGCATCGGCGCCAAAGCCCTCGGAGAACAGCTTGGTTTTACTGACGAAGAAGCTGCTTTGTTCATCGACAAGTTCACTTCTCGTTACATTGGAGTGAAAAAGTATTTGAAAGATACGGTAGAGCAGTGCAAAAAGCAAGGCTTTGTGAAAACAGTAACAGGAAGGAAACGGTTTCTTTCGGCGATAAACTCACCAAACGTGCATGCGCAGAGCCAAGCAGCTAGACAAGCTGTAAACACCACGGTACAAGGTTCAGCATCAGACTTGGTGAAGATAGCCATGATCAATATTGATAAGAAGTTGACCGAGGAATTTCCGTCATGTGTCATGACGCACAGACACTCCCTTCCGGATTTTCATCCTAGAAAAAACCAGGGAAGGCGTTCAAGGTGTGATTTGCCAACACCTATTGGTGGATATTTTGTTTTGCAACTTCACGATGAACTGATATTTGAGGTGTCACAGAGTGATTTAAGAAAAGTGGCACAAATTGTTAAAACAGAAATGGAGAGCGCTATGAGGCTTTCTGTTATTCTGCCTGTTAAGATGAAGGCGGGTCCTTCTTGGGGAAACATGGCGGAGTTTGAATTGTAACTTGTAAAAATTTCACAACGTCATAAGAGTTCAAAATGAGAATTGTGACACCAAATTTTTGTAAGTTGCAAACATATTTGTTTTCCAGTAATTGAGCGAAATATGAATTTATTTTACCCCTGATGGGGCGGACAGATGAAAATAGATTAAGAATTTTAACGAGCTTATTTCCACGTTGACTGAAACAGAAAGTCGCACAAAGACTCGTTGGACAGGTAATTTTCCTTGAAACTCAGTGTATTACGCTCTTTAAGGATTTCTTTGCTTTCGCGCAAATTGTGTGATGAATTCATTACACACGGTGAAATATTTAGCCGAAACATCAACAAATAGTAAACAGCTTTTTATCATATTTATTGGGGTGTTTTTCGATTGACCCGGAGGCGACTTTAATTTCTTATTCAATGAAAGTGAAAATTATTCATTGTTCCTGATAAAAGAATGCCCTAACCGTGCTTCATAGCGGGTAACTTCTCTTTGCCACATGGCTGGACGACAGTCTCTGGAGTTCAAACATATTAGTTGGCATGCGATGTTTTCAAAGCTTATTTTAACGTTGGTTGGTTTGAGTCAACTTTTACCGCGTTAGCGTAACCTTCTAAACCAACGCGTTACAGAATGACCTGCTAGAGGAGTTATAGGTTCCTTCATTATGGCTTGTAGAAAGGCTTTCAAACGGCCGCATCAATCCTGTGACATTCTTAGTACCAACTTTTGGTCTACTTTGATTCTCCGTTTTTGCCCTAAAATTGCTGACGTACCATCCCTCTTGTCTCCAGTAGAACGCGGAGATTAATGCGATGGTCATCTTTAACTCTTTATATTTTGAAATTAAGGAACAAGTAGCCCTCTTTAAATTGCATGATACTACAAATTTGCATTTCTTGACAGTTCAATGTGTTCGCTGCGGGTGATCGTGTTGACTGTCCGTGATGAACTAGCGTGAGAACTTCCAAACTTTTGGTTCTGCAATCTCGATTTTTCTTGGCATCTGTTCCAAAGTACCTCTAACGTTTTTCTAATGTCGCGGTTGAAGATGGAATAAATGATTGGATTTAAAACTGGCGATAAAGACATCAGGCCAAATGTAATCAGATCGTATTCTTCGTAAGACGTAGAAAACTGAGAACTTCTTGCAATCAAGTAGGTTCCTCGTGGCAACCAACAACACGCGAAACAGATTGTAACACCGAGGCAGGATCTTATTGCTTTGCTAAACTTTAATCGTTGATTTCTCGGGGCATGGACGTTTAATTTCCGCACTCGGTTTTCCTGCATTGTGGCCGCGCAAGAAATTCGAACATAAGCAAAAACAACTCCTCCAGTTGCTGTTAGTAAGAAAGAAAAAAGAAATGCATCAAAAGTGCCGTTCAAGGGCTGAAAGGAGATTTCTGGTGACAGCATCCAAATTAGCTTTAGAAAGTTCATTCCTGGTAGAATCCAAACTGAAAACAGAACTTTGCACACTTTTGTGCCGCCCATTTTAATGCAGTATGTTAGTGGATGGAGAATTGCTTGATATCTGTCGTAGGTTAGGGCACAAATGCTGAGGAAAGATAAGCTTAATACATAATCTACGGCCGTGACAATTGCTGTAAGCCACTGAGGTACGGGTGACACTCCAAAGTACAACATCTTCCATGGTATCGCCACAAAGCCGACCAAAATATCTGCAACGGCCAAGTTGACAAAGAACAAGTTGCTGATGTTGTGAAGTCGCTTTTGCGTCCAAAGCAAAGTGCAAATTGCAGTGTTCAAAATAGCAATGATTAAGCTCATTGAACCAAACCAGCAGAAGATAAAAACTGTTTGCCGAGAGGTGCCATTTAAATTGCCCAAGGTTTCGTTCATTTTTTAACGAAGTGGAAGAAAATTAGTTTTTTCATCGACCGACGTAGTTCGTCAAATTCAGTTTTTCTTTCTTAAACGCACGTTATCTCTCTGGTTCGGACTTCAGTGTGTGAAACAAACCAGTGATTTCCCGTTATAAGCTCAAAGGAGAGAAAATATGGCAGCTATCTAGTTATTACATGCGTTTTTCGCCATACCCCGATGCATATATTACCGCACATGTGAATTTCGCACCTGTCGTGATCAAGAACATTTCAGACTTGGGTTGATTTTCACGTTCCTCCAGGGCATCAGAAGGAAATATTGTGATTATCAAAGTGCAAGAAAAAAAACCCTTGGCTCCCAAACTGATATCATAAAAGGAAAACTCCTCCTTAGTTACTATGATGTGCAGTGATGATTTTCTTTTTCGATATTTCGCAAAAAGGATCAATTAACATGTTTTTTTCTCATCCAATAACAGCTTTCTGTAGTAAAATTAAAGACATAAAGGATACCACAATGAAAGCTACCTTAAATGGCATGGCAGCTGTCCTTCAAACTTATTGATAATCGGGTAAACTTTCTCAATTCATGGAATTCAAAGTAAACACACTCTGATAGTTTGAATTTGCAAAATGTGTAATGAAATTCTGTCGGTGACTCACTCATCAGCTCTCTTATACCAAAATGGTATATAGGTTCTTTATTTTATCGGATACTTTTGTGAAGCTTGACTCAGATTATGAAAACCAAAACATGTGCTGCTAGTACTCAATTATGTTATAAATTGCTTCAAGGTAAAGTATCTTTCAGCTGCCTTAAGAATTTATTTTACTTGACGACGTGAGAATATTGCACCGGAAAGTTATTTTTCCTTGTGTGTTTTTATCCTAACGACTTTGAAAGGGATGGAAGTCGATAGGCTTCATACTTGTTTAATTAACGTTTGACTGTTGTGCAGTTCTTTTTATCATTCGAGTAGAAAGGTTCGCAATAATTGCAAACAACGTGGGTGTGAAAGTTTCGTAATTTTTTTAAATAAATTGACGTAGTCTGTAAAAAGTAAACAATTTCTAACTGACTTTTTTAATTTTCTGTTGCCATGAAAACAAAAACGTGACCCGGAAAAATTATATCACGCATTACCCTTCTTACTTCAATCTTCTCTTTTCATGCGAAATGAAAAAATGAACAAAAAGAGGTTTTTAGGTTATTGCGAGTTTTAATTGGAAACGACAACCAATTTCTAGCGGAAGGCTGAACAAAATCGCTGTTTGGGAGGCAAGTAACAATGACAGATGACTGGGGCCTGAGGAATTGAGGCAAACTAAGATCTCTTTCTTATGACTGAATTGGGGAGCAGGGCGGGAGGGGAGGGAGGGGAGGGGGTCGAAACTAGAGTTCTTTGATTTTGCCGATCCTGCAGACTGTTATAAATCGACTTGCATTACGCACTCCCAGTCTTCAAGTCTTCATGACAGAAACCATACCGTCTATTTGGTTGATTTTAAAGTAACACTATTTCTCTAAGCTTCACTTGTATCCGGAATGCTGAATGTCCTTACGTCACATATACTTCCGGTTTCCTACTCCATCAGTGACGTTTCAGTTAAACTTCAGCATGAGTAGGTCTATCAACTTAGGACAGTCGACGTGTTCTTAGCCATCTCCTCTTAGTTGGTTCAAAGTAATAAAGAGGGGAAAAATTACTATCTCCTTGGACGTTAGTCTACGAACTCGAGCTCGTAGAGGAGAAATTCAATGTTAAATCACATAACCACCTACTGTCAAGAACCCGTTCTGTAAAATGTAATCGAGCGTCTAATACTAACTGAACCAACAGTAATAAAAATAGCCATGATAATGATAATAACAATGAATAATGACGATGATAATGGCCATAGAATCCATCTACTGTCTTCACGCAATACTTTTGGCTCCCAGCAGTTAAGCCAAATACATTGTATGAATAATGTACCAAATTGATTTTCCTACAGTTACGTTTTCCAATAATTTGTGTAACGTATTGACTTCGTGATCGTGGAGCCCTCGTATGCCGGTTGCATCATCATTGACGACAACCCAATATATTTAGCTGCCTCAATCACCCCATGAGTAATTGGATAATTCCGACTCGTGTAAGTCTTTCGTGTCATAGGATATCCAATAAATTTTTGGTCATTGTTGCGGTCAGTTACGGGACGAAAATGTCGCACGAAATGTGGATATGACCACCTAAAAATTGAGAATACCAAAAGAAAATAGTTGTAAACTAACAGAAACAAATTTCTCGGAAGTGGAGCTGCCGAGCTTCCATGATATCGAGTAGGACTATGCCGTTTTAAATACAAAAAAGATAATATCGTATCCATGAAGCTCTGGTACATTGTACGTGATTTTAGTCACAGTTGTGCACACTTGTGACGTCATGCAATGTCATGAGAACGAGGCGATGCATCTCACTTCAATCATTTACAGACATTATATCTCGACTGTAGACGGTTATATCAACGAAAAATCACCTTAGTTTGTTACGAAATTATGATTTCAAGAGGTTTAGGTTCATTTTCCTCTTTACTCCGAGGAGTGGCATCTCGAGTTGCTGCAGCCCCAGCGCGAAGTCATTTCGCGACGAATGCGAGGCCACGAACGTTTGGTCGTGTTTCTTGTCATGTGGAAAAGCGAATGAGCAGTTCGTCATCAGGTAAAAGTGAGGTAGATCATGCTTAAAGAATATGAACAAAAATGGAATCAAGGAGGCAACCTCGTTCAGCTTTGGCTGCTTAATATGTTCGTGACTACTGCTAAAGACTACACTGATACTTGTCAATCAATATGTAGAGTTAAATTAAGCTTAACATGCTACTGAATGAAATTTCAGCGATGACAAATTTTTTGGGACTCAAGAAAACACCTGTCTGCATACCCTAAGCAAGTACATTTCTCTTTCTGGAAGGCCAATTTTTTTTGCTCAAAAAGTTTCTTCTCATATTAGACACATTCCACGAGGCCAATTGGATAGCAGGTTTTCTCTGAGTCACCATTCTTTTTGTATTGGTTGATTTCTGGCAGTAATGTGAAGAGAACACAAAACCTTTGTTTCCCAGACCTGTTGCTTGGTTTTGGTTTTGATTGGGTGACAACTCACTACCACCCTACCTTTATGAAACAAAAACAAATTTTGTTATTGATTATGTTACAGAGAGTGGCATACCCATGATGCATCATGTATCAGCTTTTGACAGATTGACTTTGATTGCCACAAGAACCATGAAACCACCAATACCAGCTGAAGTAACGTAAGTAAATGATTTTGTGAACCCCCTCTTCTACCTGTTAGGTATTGGTTGTCTCTGTGTTTGACTCATCATGAAATACTCCTGAGCAAAGATCTTTTGAAATCATTGGCTTTTCCTGTGCACTAATCACTGGCCCCTATATAGTTCTGGAAATATGATGCTGTAAACTCGAAATTTTTGCTTTTTAAAGAGCAACAAACAGGGAAGTAAACTTCTCTTGGTGGTTTATTTTGGCTTTGTATTGGTTGTCTGTTTGACTCATCATGAAATATTCTTAAGCAAAGATCTTATGAAATCAATGGCTTTTTCTATGCACTAATCACTGGGCACTTTTCAGTTCTTAAAATGTGACTCTGCACACTTGAAAATTTTGCTTTTATAAGAGCAATAAATTGATAAACAAACTTCTTTCATTGGTTTATTTTGGCTCTGAATTTATAATTTCTTACCTTAATTGTTTTGTTTTTTTAACTCTAAATTTAGGTTTTGGGAATAGAAAAAAATAAGGTGCTTGTAACACTTGTAGTTTAGATGTAAAATTTAGTCGAAATAAATGGTAAATTTTATAATACCTTCGAAAGATAGTTTTGCCTCCTAAAAATGTACAGGGGGTTTCTTGCAGAATTCAGTGTTTAAAATGAAGTTATATATACTTGCTGAATTAAAACTTTATACCTACAGCAGATAGATAGATTGGAGATAGCTTTTGTTGTATTTTACATCCTATACTGACCTAATCCACATGGGAGGATAACAGCATGATAGTTTGATTTATTACACAAAAACTTTCCTTAAATATGTAAGAAATCCGCTTAAAACTGTTGACCAATTTTTCTACCAGGAGTTACTAAGAGGCAATTTCTCCTTGCTCTAGCAATAACTGTCAAATAAGCAGAAAAGGAGAATTAAATAAAATGTCAAGTGGGGCTCTCTATTGGTTTAAAGGACAAATTTTCAAAGCTAAGACTGTAAGAAATGTTTGATAAACTGTAAGGAAAGTTGAGAATAAGAAAATGCTTGTGTTGATCAATATATCTTAGAGACCTGTGGTTATGGAGAATCCTCTGATTTAATCTTTGTTAAGTGTTGACTTGTACAGTGTTCTCCCTTATTTCGCATGACAGGTGAAATAAATTTTCAAACTGGTAAAGCAATCCTTTTACAAGTTGAGTTTTCAAGAATTCCAAGCAATTGTTAATGGTAATAAGAGGTACTACAGGCAGTAAATGTTACTGGTTACTGCCTGAAAAGGAGAACAATGCTTGTAGCCTTGACTTGTTTTAATTTAAAAATGTGTTTAATGTCTGCATTGGTTGCTTAATATGATGAGGATGGCAAGAATATTTTATAATGTTAAGAGACTTGAACTGATTATAATGCTGTCATAATCAATGGATACTGAACACCTTGTATGTGCTACCTGCTATCCTGTATCAAATGTATCACTCACTCTCTTCTTCATAAGATCACACCAGATCACCACTTAAGAAGTGAGTGGAATTAATAAGTCTTATTATCCTTGGTAATCTAAGGGTACACCATACCACTCTTTTTAACAATTGTGAGAGGAGTTTATGGTCAGCTGGTGATTATTCCTTTGTTACATATATTTTAGTGCAGCCACCATGGAAAGAGCAAATAGTAGACGACGCATTGGAGTGAATGGAATCATGATTATTCTGACTCTTACAGCATGTATTTACATCATAAAAAGTTCTCAGAAGGGTAGAGAGGAGCAAACATTGGTATCATTACATGAAGTGAACGTGCAAAGATATGAGAAGCTCAGACAAGAAGATGCAGAGGGAGCTGCTGCAAAGGCTAACAATGGAAAATAGAGGGAGTGTAACTTAGTGCTTTTCTTTCCTAAAACTCAAACCTGACTAAGTTTTAATACAGTTTTGTCTGTCATTAGTGTTGGTGTGCATAATATGTCACCTCCTGTTTCAGTGGATTGCATGATCTGTAGTGAAAATTTATTAATGATTTTGCAATGTAGAGATTTAAGTGCATATAATTTTTTTCAAATTGTTATGCTAATTAACAACTATTCACTGAAGTGGAGGTGGCAATTTACCAAGCTGTGAAGCGGTGAGGTAAATATTTACTTCTACCCATCAGCACTGAGGTGAATAGTTGATTTAGTATATACTAAATCAGTGAGCTATTGTTGTACAAAAAGATGATTTTAACTCATTTATTCTTGCAATGGTTACAATATTTTTGGGTGCAAATCCTGTGCACACTGCTTGGAGGTGAATAGCAAAGGATATTTATAGTGTGAGTTACAAATCAGAGCACACCTTCAGGGCTATCCACTGTTTTAGTATATTCCAAAGAAGCCTATCAGGTGAAGTGATTGCTACTCACGTTTTTTACCTTGAAAAGGCAATGGAGGTAAAGTTGATAAATGCAGCCATTGGGGTGAAATCACTTTAATAGACTTGTTTCATGCAGAATAACTTATGGGTACTTTCAGCAAAGCTCAAGAATACAAACTGCAATTAAATACTATCTTAATAATACTTATTATGATCCATGAAATAGTTTTGATTGGTCTAAATGAAGCACGTGACCGAATATCCCCCCCCCGCTAAAACTGGGTAATATCACCCAAGCGATATTCCCTAGTTTTCAAACCTTACGTCCACTTTGATAAGTCAATATATTAAACGTCAAGATGAGAGAGGGTTTTGCGGTTCTTACAGAATAAGGGAAATCCTTTTTTGTTCATTAAGTCGTACCAGAGAATCTTCTAAAGAAAACTTCCCACGATGCATACCATAAGCCGTTCGTAAAGATTTTTTCATGCGCGTTGCGAAATATTTGAAGGATAATAAAATAAAATAGCCTCTAGTTTGCGCGAAAATATTAACAGATATTTGTCCTTGGACATTATCTGCTGCTCGAAGCTCACAGTTTTCCTCGAGATTTACTCTCGTAAAGTTGTTCGCATCTTGGAATATCCGTACATATTTTTAGCGCCAAATAGAGGCTACTATTTGAATAACAATACAGTTGTTCAAAAAAGTTTATCTTCATACCATTATTTGAATATCAGTATATATCTTGTTCTTCTCCACATTATTTTCATTCCACTTCCAATGTTTAAGTCTCCAACAACCCAAGTGAAACAAGCTTTATATCAGTCTGCGTAAGCACTTTGTCTACGTCCTTAGTCAAAGTTCACAATAAGAACTGGCCACATGCACGTCCATCAACTATCATCTTTATTATCTAGTGAACGACGATAGCTGAATTAATATTCATTCCTTGGAGGAAGGTTGCAGACTTACGCGTTGTTCCTAACTTCCGAATTACGATATAATCAAATATTTGGTTACAGGGGAAGTTTGGCGAAAGGGGTCATGCACTATGAACAGCATTCGATGATTGCACAAACAACCATTGTTTTCAGATAAGTCATAACAACTGCATGTTTCCTTTTGCAGAGTCCTGTCAAAACAACGTTTATTAACACTAGGTTTCTATGATTATGTTATGCCGCGTTCAGTATTTGCTATTTTCCGTAAAGAAGCCTGGCGTGAGAATGTTGTATTGTTTAGTAAGGGCTGGAGTGAACTTGATCCAAGCAAATTCTCGCTTTGTCAGATCTTGACGCGTCTTAACACAAAAAAGCAATGCAAACCTAAATTACTTTACTTATGACAGGAGCCCATTACTTAATGGCTTATGATTCGTGATGATTATGATTATGATTAGTCCATCAAGTTTAAGTACTCACTGCATCGAGCAAGAGTTTATTTCGCTTAGATCGGAAATCGTACCCCTAAGCCCCCACCCTCACTCCTCACTCGTACCCCTAAGCCCCCACCCTCACTCCTCACTCCTCACCCCTCACCCCCTTCCCCTCACCTCCGGACTAGACATGCCGCATATTTTTTCATATTTTTGTGTTACTGTCTGCGGGCTATCCAGGGAGATTGTGTGCCTTCATGGTTGTCTAAAGGTATTGTTTCAGCATATCACTTGGGAGCTGGCAGCCGATTTCTTTCGCCCTGACGAAGGCGGGGCTAAGACTCTAAATGTCAGATTTCGAACTCTTTACACTCAGGCGGCTCGAAGAATTCACTTCGGAAAATGTTTTTGTTAATAACTCCAGTGCGTTTCAATATTTCACAAAAATGTTTTTTGGAAATTGTAGTTAAAATAGTAATAGTTTATTAAAGGTGAAAAAACATATCGACAAAATTTGGCCCGCGAAGGTCTACAGTATCCTTAATTACCCTGTAACGCTAGAAACGTCAGCTTTAGGACTGAACACTTTATGGTGGCACTTGCAACTCATTCACATGTATGATTTTCATATGTTCATAGTCACTAGCAACTCAGTTGACAAAACCAAATTCCCAAGGGTGAATTAAAAATGTCATCCTTGGAAGGGTGACACCTGTGGTTTTGTGACAAGTTTTCTTTTTGTGCCTCCCATTCTAGTTCTAGATAGTGATGATCAGACGTCCTGAGAATTTTCTTGTAGTTTAATCTTCCTGAACCTAATATGTCACAAAAGAAAACCTTTTTTTTTTCGGTAAAGTTTCCGTACAGCCCCATACTATTGTAAAACAAATCTGTTTTCCCAATGGAAATGTATTGTTTTTGTCATTGTTTTCTCTATCCAAGAACTGAATGCATAATGTAGTATGGGGCTGTGCGGAAATTTTACCTTTTTTTCTGTCCTGGAAAGATACAAAAACTGTCAAAAGACACAAAGTACGCGATCTACTATATAACCATAAACAATTGGTGGTCTTTTCACGAGTGAGATTTGACGATACCTGGTTTTCACTTGGCGTTCCATTGTTGTTAAAAGAATAAAAAAGATAATTAACATGTAATGAAGAGTGAGCCATTCAAAATTCCATGGATTGTGCTTTTTCAGGATATAATATATGCCGACCCAGAGGATAAATAAATCAAAAGCGTTCATACGCTGTAGACTTATCCCCCAACTAAACTTAGTGTTGTACCGTTAACCGTGAAATGAAAAAACACAGAAACACTGACATTTTGATTGGACCAGCTGAAAAAAGGAGCAAGATGACTCAAATTCAGGTAAGCAATGAAGCCATTTTAGCGAGTTATCCATTTCCAGGAAACCTGGAAATGGATACCTCGTTATAAAATGGCCTCGTCTCAACAAAGTGAGTGGTCAGACAACAAGCGATGCGCTGTGGAAGTAAGGTGAGGCATCTTTTATCGAGAATTTGACTGTATTTTTACTTCCTTTAGAGCGGTCGTAATATATTCCTATATAAACTTTTATAATTTCGCCATGAAGCTTATTACGCAAGTTGATCATCTAACAAGTCCGTGATGGCAAAAGGTTGTTTCTACGCCCTAAAAAGCGATTTTGGAGAAAGAAAATCGCCTATTTCGGCTGTTTCATCATAAATTGATGAAAAGGTAATGTAGATGCGAGAGAAGCGTAAGTTTTTGGTTGAATAACCATGATATGTATTAAAACCTACCGATAAGTTTTCCCCATGCTTGTATGTGAAAGTTTTATTGTGAAATTGACATTGCGTAATGATTTCGAAATTTAGGAAAATTAGCTCGAAATCGCCAGGAAATAACTCCATTAAGCCAGTTTTGGTATATGTACTCTTACGAATTCGTACGTTCTGACCATATCTCAGAGGACCCGTAGATAGTCCTGGTTCGACTTCACAAAGAATATTATGGTTATACAATTTCCGTTTCTTCATTGGTAGCCGTATTTCTTGCTGTTTTCATCCAAATTTGACCGGTTTTTTCCCAAAACAATTTTGCACTCGCATTACTATCCTTTTAAAAACGCGTCTGCGTGATTTTCGGTCGAGGATGCACGGCGGATTGTGTTAGAGGACAATCCTAGCGAGGTCTTAACAGCTTTAGCTTTTTGCAAAGAAACACACACACAATGCACAATTCTTGCATTCGCTCTGAAGAAGGGCCACCGCTCGAAACGTCGAATTAAAAACTCTTTCCAGTGACTAATTTACATTATGTACCCGTTCGATATAACCAAATGATCTTGTTATATTATACAGGCTGTGTATCGTCCGTGTCTGTTCCTCGATATCAAAGTGTTACGTGGTCGGAATGTTACCTTGGGCACTTACACTGACTGGGGTGAGTATGTGTACAAAGAAGTTTCTACTCGTAGAACAGCAAAGAGTACGATTGACTTATGTGGGCCATGGGGATCCTATGTGCAAATTTTGTGGCGTTAGCTCGGCCTCAGGAGTCCAGGGATAGCATTTATCTTATTAAAGATGGCGGATCGATTGTGTTCTTGAAATCACAGAATCATGTCATGGTGTCGTCATTACTGAATTTTGCTACAGAAATATATTCACGGAGTGAATTTAGCCTTATTTAGATTGCAAGCGTCTCATCGAGACTCGAGCCTCGAGCCACCATGTTTGACCGCGCCAAACTTTCCTCACCTTTAAAGGAAAAGCATTGACAAGTATTCATAAAATTCCAAATAGTAACCTAGGCCTTCTGAAAACTGTCTTTAACTCTTTACTGAGTCAATTGACACCAACGCAGTGGTCAAACACTGCGCATGCGCAAGAATTTGAAAAACAATGAGAGCGATTTCAGAACGCGTGTCTTGCGTTAAGTGCGAAAGAAAAGGTTAAATTCCTAACTGTTCCAAGGCGTAAGACAAATTCAAGAAGGATTTTGGAGAAAGATTAAATCTCGGCGCTATTTATTGTGAGATATTCCAACTGTTTTTAAGGCAATGAAGGCAAAGAACAGGACCTTTCTTCAACACTTACTGCACAGATTACTGTCCGCTGTAAAGGCAGACCTGGTATCGTTATAAATATCTTGTGTCGCTCTGGTTCCTCTTTTTTTCAGACCGGTTTCCCTCGGTGTTGATTGGCAACTCCACCATAAACGCAACAAAGAATAATTACAGCCAGCACGGCCAAGTTTACGCTTGTTTACGCTAAGTTTATGCATCACGCCGCCGTGCAAAATTAAAAAAAAAAGGGGGAGAGTGTAAACTAACACAAAGTGGGTAAAGTCTAAAACAATTAATGTTTATAAGTCGCGGCCTTAGAAACTTCGAACTTTCCTTAGCAACTGCGAAGAACTACGTCTCACTTAGATTCACCATGTTTATAATAACAAATTATCCATATAAGTGTGTATGTGCAATCATTTGACTTAACGATCCCTTCATTTTAGGAAACAGAAAAAAAAAACTGGGGACAACCACGAGCATACATTCAAAAACTGCTGTTTACCTGGTTATCGAAAAAAGAAATCATTTTGGTCAGGAATGTCTCTTTTATAGCTCCTACCTGTTCATACAAATCTCGAAGAGATTGGAGGAAGAAGTTTGATGCTAAGTTGCGTCACACGTAATCGACCAAAGTGCTGAGCAAAATTCAAAATGGCGGTCAAATTTTTAGCGCATTTGAAGACAATTTTCGAAAATGTAGTTTACTGTTTGGAATCTCAAAACACAGTCACTTTCACAATTTCAAAAACAGTGGGTCTCTGGATTATACTTTCTTTTTAAAATTCAAGATGGCAGCTTCGCAATTCGCGAAGAAGTATCCGGCGAAAGCTTGCCGACTAAACTGTTTTTCTTTCTAATTAACTAATGACTGCAGCTATCTTTAATTCAATGCCATACAATTTTTCATTTTCGAACTGCCTGACTAATCGTCTGTCTTCATCAGTTGTCGTCGGCTCAGTCTGGCAGACATAATTTGATTGGCTGAGCCAAGCTATGAGTCGCTTAGGAAAATCAAAGAGAGGCTGAACATTTTGGCTTTGACTCCTTCACTCCTCTTTTTATATTAAACCAAAAGGTCCTTTTTATTTCTCAGTTGATACACCGGATCCATACGTAAAACTGTACATTAAAACAGCATCAAATGGCAGGAAGAGAACCAAAGTGAAAAACAACACAGCTAACCCTGTGTGGGAAGAAACATTCCAGTTTTACCTTGATCCAAATGTGAAAAACATTTTGGGTAAGTAACCTTTAATGATATTTGCAACGTAACACTGAGACGAAGAGTCTCCTCGGTTAGCAAAGTATCCAACGTAAGCGTGGCTGTTGTTTTATTTGAAGTTTGAAGCATTGTTGTAAATTCCTATTCCGCGAAAATCACAACAGCCGGTCAATAACAAACACGTCTCGACCCACGCTGATAATGACTCTACATCTGCCTCTCTCTCTCTCTCTCTTTTTGATCATAAACCACGATAAAAAAGAAACCAGTAATTTATTTCGATTATAAATGCCTTCTCCCATCCCTTGCCTATAGCCTAGCCGTAAACAGAAACGAGAACAAATCACGCTCTTTCATAATGCTACAGGAAGGGTTCCTATAAGAAATAGAGAACTATTGGTCAGTTCCTGTAAATGCTATTGATATTGTTACTTGTGAACGTCTACTTTTCTTATCTTTAGAAATAACTCTAATGGAGTCAGACACAGTTGGTGACGATTTGGTGGATACAAAGTCATTCGACTTAAGTGCATTGAAAATTGATGAAACTTACAAGAAAACCTTTGTCTTTAAAGAGGTATGGTACAACTCAGCTCAACCAGGAAGCCTCAGTGGTCACGTTACTCGTGTGACACACCACGGCCTGATGGATAGGCTAGTCAGTGCAATAATTAAACACGTTAATTGACTCAACTATTTGCTTTATTCTAGACCTCAGAAGTTGATGTGGAGATGAAAGTCAAAACATGGTAAACCCAGTTTTATATTTTTGTCATCGTCAAGTTCTCTGTCTTTCCTAGAAAAAGGGTTACTTTTTGAGGAACAGCGAAGACAAGTCGCTTTGGTCAGGCCTCAGTTGTTCGAAGGTTAGCGCTATCCACTGGATAAAACTCTATCCGGTAGTTAACACTGTATGTTTTGCTATCACCTAACTGCCAGATAGCGATTTATCCGTTGGATAGCGTTATCCGTTGGATAGCGTTATCCACCCTTTATACAACTGGGCCCAGGACAGTAATTAGTTTCCTGTCGAGAAAAATGCAATATAAAGAGAAGGAACATTTCCAAACAGATTATGATCAAGTGTGAAAAAGAATCCTCGCAGGCGAACTGCAGTTAGAGGAATTGCATAAATTGCGAAGGATGGAACAATTCAGGCTTCAAAGGGAGCCGAAACTGTACCGCCACCCAAATAGAACACGTTCATTGAGATGTTAACATTTCAGTAAAAAAAAAATTTCTATCATTTTTCTATCAGCTCTGCGCCTGCAGACATGAGGTACAGCCTGGACCTTTGTGACGAGGAAACTGATTTTCGTCAGAAGAGGAAAAGGGTTGTTTTTGAGACCATGAAAAAACTGCTCGGAGAACGAGGACCAAAAGAACTTGGCGAGGTAACTACCCTCTTGAAATCAAAGTGTAAAATGAACTGAACCCCAAAAATAGTTTTTGAGAAGCTAATGAATGACGACAGCACATTTGGTAAATAAAAGGATGATGATATAGTGATACAGAGTTTGTTTGCCCGTAATTAGGTGCCCTCGATTGCTATTCTTGGTTCAGGAGGAGGATTTCGTGCCATGGTTTCTCTCAGTGGTGTATTCTGTGCTCTAAAGGAGATGGGTGTGTTAGACTGTGCCATGTACACAGCAGGACTGTCAGGGGCAGCATGGTAAGTGACTTCATACCCAGTCCGGAGAGGGGTTACCCCCCTAGATAAGTTCTTTAGGCGGGCGCTGACCTAAGGGGTGTAGTGTATGAGATGCTGTGGTCTGTAAACAGGCATCGATTTTAAAGGCCAAGTCTAAAAACGGGTGTGGAAATGTTAAATTATTTTATATTTACAAATCCCCAAAGTTTAATTCTAGGATGAATACATAGCTGTTTCTGATCGACATCTTCACCTCATTTGTATAAGCCCGAAGTTTTCTGAAGGCTAATTTGTTTGTTGGATTGAATAAAATTGAGTTCACCAGTTGAAAAAATTGACCAAATGTTAGTTCAAACTGGACGTTTCGATGTAATCCCCCATAACAAAGAAGCCATCATGATCTCTGATAGTATAGTCTGATCGTCCAGATAAGTGCAGTCCCGAGAAGGACTGTTGTCGGTAGTGGTGACTGACCTATCGACAACATAACTGGAAGTCATCATCGGAGTCAGGTGAATAGTTGTTGTCGGTCGAATGTTCTAAGTCCGGTTCGTACAGACTGATTGGTCAGTTTTGCCATGATGTTATTTGCTGCAAGACTCGAGTGGCGCAGGTCGGTCGTGATTGGTCTGTTTCGATCCGTTAGGACGTTCTGTTCGGTTCGTTTGGAATATTAATGTCGTAAATAAGTTTTATTCACGACATATTTCAGATTATTCATGTTACTCCCAGATTCAAACATTTTATGCATTGAGTTCATGATCATTTCTAACGCAAAAACTTAAAACATTCTAGGTATCTTTCGACGTTATATTCTCATCCTGACTGGCCAAATACCCATCCGAGCAAAATCAGGCAAGATTTGAGAAAAAATTTGACAGACAACTGGATGTGGTTGCTATTGACTCCATCATGGATGTACAGTCACATGAATATCATTCTGGATAAAAGATCACGTGGACAACCAGTCAGTTTCACAGATTTCTTTGGTTATCTGGTTGGAGAAACTATTCTGAAGGACGTAAGTTACAAGGGTTTACACGGTGTGGGTTACAATTCGACTGAGATTGGCAGATGTTTTTAGCTTCTGAGTAGGGTGTAGAGCTTAGCGTCTTTCAAACAGAGAGAAATTGCTTTAAAACAAACTAAAGATGAACTGGAAAATGCTTCGTATCCACCCCTGTAACAAAGCGGATTCTACCTTCACATACCATTTAGCTCCCGTTTAATTTTCTGAAGTGTCACAAGGACATAAATACGCTCAGTAATAGGATCTCCCTGTGGCATGTTACTTCGTTACCACAAAAATTGATCCAATTTGTCCAAACAAAAAACCATTACAGCAAGTGCTCGCCACTCGTGCACCGAAAATAAAACTTGCATGAAATGGATAAGTTTACGATCTTAGGTTTTTCATTTATATTATCTGTTATTTCAAAGCGGCAACATGTTCCAAAATTGAGCGAACAGCGCCATGCAGTGAAAGACGCCGCGGCCCCAATGCCGCTGTACACTTGTCTGCATGTAAAGAAGAACAAAGTTGCACAAGACTTTTGCGGTAAGATCATTAGAAATTTTCCTAACATAAACGAAGAATATAGCTTGAAATAATTTCCTCTCTTAAACCTTTCATTAACGCTCTCAGTGAAACTGAAAAAGAGTGTCTGATTTCACATTTAAAAGGAAACTCCCAGAGATCTTTCATTGATTAATAATTTTTTTTTCCGCTTATAGAGTGGCTCGAATTCAGCCCATATGAAGTAGGGATGACAAAATATGGCACTTTCATGAAGACTGAGCATTTTGGAAGCAAGTTCTTTTGTGGGAAATTGGTAACACCTTACCCTGAGCCTCCACTGTTTTACTTGCAAGGTCAGCAGTCACTTAGTTTACTAGGCTCAAAAGTTTTCTTAGCACAGCGGTCAAACGTAGAGGGTCAATTTTGGCAGGCCACGCGCCAATTTCCCGCTCAAAACTTCTGAGGAAATCACGAGGAACAACCGTCCAAAAAGAAAAAAAAAAGGGAAAAAAGAAAGCTCGAGAGTTTTCATAAACAAGCTTATTTAATCACGGGCTTTCACTGCTCTACCATTTTGTTTTTGGCTTTTAAAATCGTCAACATTTTCTAAATGTTGTCTGAGAACTACGGCGGCAGAGTACATTGGCGATGTTACAGATATTTCTCGAGGAAGTTTTTGGAAATTATATGGAAATGTGCTAACCGTGTTTTTTTTTATAAATTGCCGATTGAATGTGAAGGGGACAGTGTTTTGCTTAACTTACACACAATCATTACATCAGTCCTATGCCATTCTATTGCAGGTGTTTGGGGCAGCGCTTTCACCATCATGCTTCAGCGAATACTACACGAAGGCCAGTCACCAACCGACACAATAAAAAACATGAGCAACTCTGGCGACTTGAGACACGAGTTACGTAAGTAACTGTTGCTGGATTTCTTTTGATTCAGCTCGCATTTTACAAAGCTGTAACTTTTTCCCTATTGTTCTCAAAGATATGGATATCTCAAACGACCCTGTGAGTGAGGACGAGGAAAGCGATGAGGAAATGGATATTGATGCAGTTGATGAAAAGGAAATGGGAGATGAATACAGCCATAATGAAAACCACAGCTTCCTGATGAGTATAGCAGAGAGCTTCGTGGAGAAAATTTATTTCCTGAAAACCCGGTCTGGTCGAGCAGGCTTGGTGCACAACTTTCTACGCGGCCTTCAAATGATGTCTGCCCCAGTCCCCTCGGCTGGTGAATCATTATGGCATTCAAGTTTTGTCACTTACTTCATCACACATAACATTATAATCCGTTCATATTCAAACGACTCAGATTTTCCGAGCGCATTAAAAGGAAGAATAAAAAGCCAACAAAATAACAAAACTCGCTTTAAAAGCCCATCCAAACAAATTACGAAATTCCTCCTTTTCCGCACTAGAGGAGTATTTCTTGGCTCACAGCAAGTAGTTCTATTTTGCGAATGTAATCATGTACTTAATATTCTTCAATGTGCAGTAAGGCTTTTCTGATTTAGGGGAAAGATTAAAAAAACGTTTTAATTTTCTTATCATGCATGTTACTTGTTTTATTCATAGAAGCAGAACAGGTCACTGACACCGCTTACCAATTAGCAGCGAAGGCTAAACGTATATACTTGGTTGACAGTGGGCTCTTGTTCAATTCACCATACCCGCCGCTACTCAGACCGGAGCGAGATGTTGACATTTTCCTGTCATTTGACTTCAGTGCTCGAGAGAAGGACAACGAAATTTCTTTTCATGTAATCAACTAGATATCCTTTGTTGATCAAATTTTGAATTTTGACCAACATTTTGCACCCATAAACTTTAAAATATTATGTGTCTCGGTTTTGAACTCTTGAGTTAAAAAAGTTCTTCGCCAACAGGTTCAGTTTCGTCTCACTCATATTTCGCTTTTCAGGAACTGTATTTGGCAGAGCAATGGGCAAGAGCAAACAATTTGAAGTTCCCACCAATCAACGCCAAGGAACAGTTGGAAACGGACGGAATCAAAGAGTATTACGTGTTCACAGATCCCGCGGATCCTACCTGTCCAGTTGTGGTGCATTTTCCTCTCGTCAACAAAACCTTCAAAGAACAAAGCGAACCAGGTTCTTTCAGAGACTGGACTAATTTTTCTTTTTGTAAACGAGTGATTTGTCATTAGGTTTGAGCGCTTTTTGTTTTTTTGCCTCCTGCCGCCTATTTCTTCTGGGCACGAACTACGGCTGCGCTGATTTGTGGTGGTTGATCGAGTTGAAATTATTTCGTCGACTCTTGAGGCAAGTTTTGAACATGAAAGAAGTCTCAGCTGAAGCATCCATGAAATAAAAAACGTGGGCAAAACCTTACCTTGACTTACATCATGCGTTCCTGAACAAATTAACGGAAATTGTTAAGTAACTTTTGTGTTCTATAATACAAACTAACTCCGTATTTCGTTTTATTTTTTCCTCAGGAGTCCCCCGTACGACTGCTGAAGAAAGGGAGTTTGCAAACTTCTCCGTGTTTGAAGATCCTGACGCCTATTATAGCACGTTCAACTTTCATTATCCCACAAAGCCATTCGATCGTCTTTCAGCATTAACAGAATTCAACACTCTGTTGGGTGAGCAGGCCATTAAGGGTGTCATAGCTGACTGTGTGAAGAAGAGACGCGAAGCAAAACCGAGGAATGGCTAATGGAGTGAACGGAAACTCCACGAAGAATGGAAGCCATTACTAACTGCGTTTTTCTTTACTAAGATATATAAATCAAATATCGATGAAAATTGCTAGTGTAGTGTAGGGATTATTTAATCAATCGTGTTTAACTAAGAAGCGTCAGTTACGTAACTTCACTGTGGGAATAGAACTGGAATGCGCAGGGGGCAAACTAGACTTGGGCTACTCGCTCGACATGCTATGTTTTCGGGGTTAAACTGTCAGTTAATTGTGCTTGTAATAGTAAAAAATAAAACCTCAATCGTATTGTGTGACGTAAAGTTGTAGTGATTGAAAGTCCGTGGCAGTATCTCTGATCAACAATGGCAAGTTAAATGAAATTAAGTTAAGTAACGTTTGAGGGGAAAATATATAGACTGACTTTTTTCACGCACGCCATTTCCATTTCTACATGTCACGTGACACAACCAACCGGAGGAATGTCGAGTGCAAATCATTCTCCAACTGCCTTGCTTACTGTTTCATCATTTTTTCATCAAAACAAAGGAGTTTTTTTCTTGTTTAAAACTTGATAAAGGTAAATATCTCAGACTCATTGATAACTTTTCGCTATGGCAATTCGAGAAAGTTAATCGTACTTTTACAAAAATGATTTCATGTTTTATTGCTTTCTATACTATCGGAGGGGGGGCATTAGGGGTTTTGCAGTTATGATTATTTTTGAGATCGGTTTTTTCAGTTTTTGTGCTAAAAAAACTTCGGTTTTTCGGTTTTGGTGTTATTTGCGGTTTGCGAATTTTCTTTTTTTAAGCATTTGGTTTTCGGTACTTTTCCTGTTTGAGTTCCGGTTTCTCTTCGATTTGAGCGACAATTAGGCACCACCACTGATCTTCAATGGCCGCGAAACCTCTGTAGGCGCCACTTGTCACCCACCCCTGCAGCGAAACGATTACAGCTTTGATAATGTGAACATTTATCGGTTTTGGCGGTTTTACATGCGGTTTCTTATTTGGATTGAATTGTTTTTGCGGTTTTGTGATTTTGGATTATTTTTTTCTACGGTTTTGCGGTTTCTAATAGAACCCACGCCCCCTCCTATCGATACAAGACATGATCCAACAGCTCCAAGTTTTTGTCATTATCTTTTGTAAAACAGATGTTTATCATGTGATTTAGGCCGCTTCGGTTTTTATCTCTTTCCACTCTCGTACAGGGGTCTCATAAGGACCCAAACCCCTCTCGTGTTTTCACTTCTCCGCCACTATTGCACCATTTACTATCTTTCTTCTTTAAGTCACTGAATGTCTGGAACAGGTTATACTCTGTTGGGTGAGGAAGCCATCAAGGATGTCACAGCCAACTGAATGAGGAAGATACGCGGAGGGAAACCGTGCGACGGCTATTTCTCGAAAACATTTTAAAGATTTTTACATATTGGGCGAATAGACCGCGAGTACAGAACAGATTTGAATTAAAATTGTTAACTTTTAGTTCAAATCTGTCAATCGGCACCACGGAAATTCATAATGATTAAAAATCATTATAATTTCCGTGGTATCGAGTGACAAATCGTTTATCCTGATCATATGATGAACTTTCATGGTTCTGCACGTCTATCATTTAAGTATACAATGTCGTGTTTCTGGCGGTATGGGTCATGGTACACCCACCACAATGACTTAGTTTGAACTCTATTTGCCACAAAGATCACATAGTTTGTATTCTTGTGAAAAAACTATCAATTACAATTCTTGAGAAAGCGTCAACACAAAGGGCAAGACGAAGAGAAATCGGGTCAAATTTCATTACATTACATGTAAAAAGTGACTACGCAAACCGTGGGACTCCTAGGAGCAGAGTGTTTCACGAAGAACATTAACAAGTTGCCGTTGTCGTTTATTCGCCCAGTACCTTGAACTGTACGGACTACTTAATTAGATAAATAGTATAAAAGACATACTTGAGCTAGACAGGCGTGTCTCTTAACAACTGAACAATTATCCATTTGCCTTCACGCCTGAGCGGTCATCACGAATGCAGACACTATAAATAGCTAGGCCGCTACTTCTGGTGAAGAAAGAAACGCCTTTTCCATATCGGTTATCGTTCAAAATTTCAAGGAAGAAAGACGGCGTTGTTGTGTTTCCCAAATTGATACAGTAGCAGTTAGAAGATGGCTGAAAATCAGGTGAGCGGAACATGCTGAATAATAGCACTAGTGTTCACAACATGTGTTCGGCTTTTTTTTAGTTTGTCGGCAGTTCGCTTTTGATGTAGACTCACGACAAACAGTATCTAGCTGGTTGGAGAAGGAATTTCTATGAAATTTATACCAGTGTTGTATCGAGCGTTAGCCCTTTGTCAGAGCGAACTTCAGTTTTGAAACTCTTTACGATGGCCAATTTACGTTATCAACTCAGTTGATAATACCAAATTACCTTGTTGTACTCTCCCACCGACGCAGCAGTTCGCTTGTGATGCAGACTGGCGATAAAGAGCATCTGGCTGGTTGTAGAAGGCATTTCTATGAAATTTATTCTCAATAGTGATTCCCAGTCGACTTAAAAACAAAATTGTAACGCGCTAACGAACTTTCAAGTAAAACTTGTCTAGACCAGAGTTTTGCTGATGGACAATGGCGACGACTCAGCGTTGGGTGCAACCGAAAGAGATAATGAATCAAGTTACCTATGAAGAAAAAAAATGAATAAACTATTTATGATTCTCTTTATAATAACAAGCTCCACGCTCCTTCAGTTTCAAAACTGACGCTCGCTCTGACGAAGGGATAACGCACGAAAGGTCTGTCTTTGTTTGAAACTCTTTACGGTGACCAGTTTACCTTATTAACTCAGTCGCTAATACTAAATTACCCTGTTGGACTCTTCCACGGATGCAGCAGCACTACTTTAGAAACTTACTCACTTTATCCACGCTCCTCCGACTGATAAAAGAAACACAATCCGCTATCAATAATAAGAACATTAATGCGTGGGGGAATTTGCATTTCTGAATTCCTTTACCTTGGAGGAGTCAAAACAGTAACTTTTGCGGTCGACTTTTTACCTAAAATACTACTACAAATCATGGAGAAGCATGTGAGCCTCCTTTGGAATACAACGATTGGAAGAAAACACACTCTTTCAGAGGGACCCAGATAATGCAATCGAATGTTTATTTCTGTTCAGGAAAAAATTAAAATCAGAGAAACATTCCACACCATTCCAAGGTCAGTTACGCGGAAGATCGTGTCTTCAACATTTCAGTCCTGTCGCATCTAATGCTCTTAAGGGAGAAATGATATCGCATTCGAGCTAACTTTTGAAACTGATTAAATTATGAGTAGGTAGCGTAGGATCAGCAGAAAAGTTGGCTAAAGACTTTACCAAAATTATTTAGTAAACATCTTTTGTGATAGATTACTGAACAGACAGGGCGGCAACTTAGAATCTAGTTGTTTTATTTTATAAAAAAAATGGTGACGCCAAAGACTTCTGTCTTTCAAAAATATTTAGTAAAATAACAATCTTTAATTCAGTTATCATATTACTTTGAACAGACAGGGCGGCAACTTAGAATCTAGTTGTTTTATTTTATAAAAAAAATGGTGACGCCATTCATGCGTAGAAGTTTTTTGTTTGTGTGGTCATGCGAAGCAATTAAACTTGAAATAGGATGTATGATTTAAGGAGGACATGATGAAATTCTTTAAAAACCACTTTCCATTCTGTTTCGTATCCTCCAAAAACCATTTCGGAGGCTGTACACGTTCACTTTCTCAACGTCCTTTCCTGAATTGGCTGCGCAGTTGACTTACATGATTACAAGGGAAAAGTATTTATCTCGCTTTTTTTTGCAGGCCTTGTACCGTCCGTGTTTGTTACTCGATATCAAAGTGTTACGTGGAAGGAATATTACCCTGGGCACTTATTCTGATTGGGGTTAGTATTGTTCATTCAAAAACTCATTAATAATTCATAAGCCCATTAACCTATCAAATGGTAGATAATACATCACGTGCAGTGACTTTAGATCGATAAACCTCATCCTTATTAGTATGCGGTGTTTTATCAGATATAAAGACACTGCACGTGACTTATGAATATTAATTAATTATCAACACAGAAACTGACACAACAAATGGTGGGAACATATTTAATGTTCTTTCAACAAATTTCACACAGTAAATTTACTTTTGCGCCAAATTAATAGTACAATTGTGAAATACACATCTGGAAAAATTCTCTATTCCATTAGTACAGTAATCTGGTAAAGGCATATTAGACAATACATCATCTGAAACTTCGAATGTTTTTCTCGTATGCTAATTTCTAACGTTCACAAAAGTATAATTGTTATGAACTCTCTTGACACACGCTTTTCCAAGAATGTTTTTGAAGCCGTTCAAAAAACTCGCAGCACGTGTTTTATCGGGTCAAAAACCACTCGGCTACGCCTCGTGGTTTTAAACCCGATCAAACACTCCTGCTCGTTTTTTAAACATTACATAATCACTGTTACATTATTTTCCTTATTTCTTGTACAGACTGATACTGTGTATGTAGCCACCGGAATGTCGTCTGTTTTGTTCAACTTTTTTTCTGCTCATTGTAGTCTACTGAAGTGAACATGATCTGTTAAATGCTACAGTTATATGTTCTCTCAGTGGTAAAGTTAGCTGAACCTGCATTGTAAACGACTACTTTGGGAACCCCAGTTAGTGTCACAAATTATCGACAGCCACCATGTTTTAGCACTTCCTTTGGTTGAGATGGTATTCACCTGACCGGTTGTTGTCTGTGATGATCTGTAAATCAGTTCATGAAATTTTTCCATCCGAGGACTGTCTAACTAATCAATGTTCTTCATGTAATTAGCTCGGAGGCAGAGAGACAGTTTTATTGATTGGCGAAAGTTGTCTGCGCTCACTTTCGTTCAAGAAAATCACAGCATATGTTACCCCCCCCCCCCTCAGATAAAATAAAATATTTTTATCTTTCAGTGGATACACCGGATCCCTACGTAAAATTGTTCATTAGAACAGCGCCAAATGGCAAGAAGAGAACCAAAGTGAAAAACAACACAGCTAACCCTGTGTGGGAAGAAACATTGCAGTTTTACCTTGATCAAAATGTGAAAAACATTTTGGGTAAGCAACCTATGGTATTTGGAACACGAGAGTGAGACAAGATGCATTTTTCTTGATCATTTATTGGGTTACTTCGGTAAACAACATATTGAACCTTAAAACTTAACTTAAAATATAGTCGAGATTTAGTTGCTTCAGTTTAAATTGAAAACGCAAGGTTCTTTTAAGAGCCGAGAAATGCTTTTTCTTTCCCAGATCTTATCAAAAAACAGGAACTGGAGAAGTTATCTTCAATTCCACTGTTGATCTCACTGAAATATTCCGTTCGTATAAGTTCCATTGATGTGTTTTGACCCATTCACTTGTCAACTTAAAACTTTCTTTTTTTCTCAGAAATAACTTTAATGGAGTCAGACACACTCAGTGACGATTTGGTAGACACAAAGTCATTTGACTTAAGTGCATTGAAAATCGATGAAACTTACCAGAAAACATTTGTCTTCAGAGAGGTATGATACAACTCTTCTCAAATGCTAAGCCTTCATGTCACTCGTGTAACAAATCTGATGAAGCATTCAAACTCTCATTGACACGACTATATGTTGTGTTCCAGAACTCAGAGGTTGATGTAGAGATGAAAGTTAAAACATGGTAAGACCATCAACAATTTTTGCTAGTGTGGAGTTTCACCATATATCTCTCGGGGGAAAAACTCAGTGATCCTTAATGATTTCCAGTGTAAGTCGGACAAGCTACCCGCCGTTAACATCGCACTTGACGAATGGCGAGGGTAAAGCGCTGTGAAATGTATATTCATTTTTTTCCTACTGATAAAGGTGTGATGAAATTGCATATCGAGCAAATTCTCCAGGATTACCCAAAGTTTTACCGAAAGAAAAATCCAAGTAATAATCTTAATAATGTAAATAGTAATAATAATAGTCTTAGCAATAATAGTAATGATAATGATGAACATAGTGATAAAGATAATGTTGATGACAATGATTTATTCGACAATACGACCGGTTAGCTCTTCTCTGTCGGTTTAAGTTTAAAAAATACACCAGTTTTCAAAATGAAAGTTTAATTTACGTTTTATCCATTTCAAAGAAAAATGAAATATTTCCTAATATTTTTCTATCAGCTCTGCACCTACGGACATGAGGTACAGCCTAGACCTTTGTGTCGAGGAAACTGATTTTCGTCAGAAGAGGAAAAAGGTTGTTTTTGCAGAAATGAAAAAACTGCTCGGAGAACGAGGACCAAAAGAACTTGATGAGGTAAATACACTCTTGAAATTAAGTTAACAAAATGTAAAATGTACCACACACCAAAAGAGAAGGCAAAAAAGATTCTGAGAGGAAAATGATCTAAAAAATTTGGGAAATACCAGAATGATGATATACAGAATAACTTGGTATTATCAACCGAGTTGATAACGTAAATTGGCCAGCAAAAAAATTGGAGTTTAGAGCGTGAGCTCCTTGTCATAGCGAATGAAGTTATTACGTTATTAACTCAGTTGGTAATACCAAATTACCTTACTTTGATGACATACAGAGTTTGTTTAATCATAATTAGGTGCCCTCGATTGCTATTCTTGGTTCAGGAGGAGGATTTCGTGCCATGGTTTCTCTCAGTGGTGTGTTCTGTGCTCTAAAAGGAGATGGGTGTGTTAGACTGTGCCATGTACACAGCAGGACTGTCAGGGTCTGCGTGGTAAGTCCCGGGATGAGGGGGAAGGTAAGATTTATAGGAAAGCACCATTACTAAGCTTATGGCGTATAACTTGCTTTGGTATGTACTAGGGTTTGAATTCTGGGGGTCAGGGCTGTCGACTGGCATGTTTGTCATGTTTTAGTGAGAGGTAGGGTAGGCTTTTAGAAAAATGGGTGGTTTAATCCTACCAAGGATTCCGTTGAGTACCCTCTTGCTCGGCCCTTCTCCCCTTGGGGTCAGAAGTGAACGTCTGTCCCACATTGGTGAATTATTATTATCACATTTTGCTTTAATAGCATCTAATCGTCAATCTCGAACAGTTCAATCACTAAATAAAGAAACTTTAAGTATTGAAAAATATAAGAGAATTGTCCTTCTGAAAATCCGTTAGAGCTAGCTTTACTGGATATGTAAAGAAAATCTGTAAGAATAAAGATCAAAGGACAAGAACGGCTGACCTTGTATCATACTTCTTGAGATATTTCGCGGATACATTCAAAATCTCACTAACGAGTTCCAAGATTTTATCGCTGGTTGTTTTCAATCGACATCTCAACATAATTTTGATAAAGCAACCGTCTTCTGTCGGAAAATGTTGCATTTGCCTCCCAAAAAAGCCAATGAAGAAGTTCGTAACCATTTACGACAAAAATTTTTAAACATTCTAGGTATCTTTCCACCTTATATTCTCATCCTGATTGGCCGAAGGCCCATCCATATACAATTAAACAAGATTTGAGGAAAAATGTGAAAGACAACTGGATGTGGTTGTTGCTAACTCCATCATGGATGTACAATCACGTGAACATTATCCTGGACAAGAGATCACGTGGACAGCCCGTCAGTTTCACAGATTTCTTTGGTTATCTGGTTGGAGAAACTATTCTCAAGGACGTAAGTACCCAGATCCCTCTCTTTCAAGCATCCTTGATACTTGCTCCTTCTCGAGGTGAGTTATAATTAGACTGAAATAGGCCTAAGTTTTGATAAGTGTACTCCTGTGAAAATGTCGCGCATGCGCAACACCTTAGTAACACCGTGCGAATACATCCCGCTTGCTTCCTAATGAGCATAACTTCGAAAATAGGTCTACTATTTGCGTTGTGCATAAATGCAAGCTTGTTATTGAAATCTTTTGGTATAAACTCCTAAATAAAGTCTGCTATCGTCCGACGAAACACATTTGATTATTACACAAGTTTTGACATTTTCATTTCCTGCAGTAATGCTCACAAGTTCATCATTTGAAAAAAAGAGTTTTATTTCTATCGTGAGATCTCTTAAAATGTTCTCTATTATTTTAAAGCGGAAAAATGTTCCAAAATTGAGCGAACAGCGCCATGCAGTGAAAGACGCCGCGGTTCCAATGCCACTGTACACCTGTCTGCATGTAAAGAAGAACGAAGTTGCACAGAACTTTTGCGGTAAGAAAATCAGAAAGAATATTATTACTGTTAAGGAGAACATGCTGCCTAAGACTATTCACTCTCCTTAGTTCCTATAATTACGCCCACACCAAAGATGGGCACCTTATAGCAGGTTAAAATAAATACATCTAGATTCATCTTTCAATTGTCATCTAAAACCCCTGGATAATCAAACATTTTGTGTACTGATAGATTGTTTCCTCTACCTGTAGAATGGCTCGAATTCAGCCCCTATGAAGTAGGGATGACAAAATATGGCACGTTTATGAAGACTGAGAATTTTGGAAGCAAGTACTTTTGTGGGAAATTGGTCACACCTTACCCTGAGCCTCCACTGCTTTACTTGCAAGGTAAGCACTAATCAAGCACAGCACGTGTCGTGGGATGTAAAATTCATTGAGCAAAAACTTACAACATCATCAAATTAAAATAGGGAGTTTGAGGGAGATTGTTTTCTTATACGTTTCGCGATAAGTTTTCTTTTAGTTGAAGTAAGCAGCTGAAGTTTCTCTCTTTACTTTGACGCTGATGCAAAAGGTGAAAACATTTAGAATTTATCATGTTATTGTCATACGTTCATATATACAAGGCTAAAAAAATATGCACCATTTCGCTTTCTTTCTAGGCATCTGGGGTAGCGCTTTCACCATTATGCTTCAGCGAGTTCTGAACGAAGGCCAGTCACCGACCGACACAGTAAAAAACATGAGCAACTCTGGCGACTTGAGACAAGAGTTACGTAAGTAATTATTGTCTGGTCATTTGTTAAGAGGATTTAGACAAGTTTACGTACATACTAAGTGGCAACTTTTCCTTTCTTTTCCTCAATAGAGACAGATGTTTCAGTCGACCCCATGAGTGAGGACGAAGAAAGCGACGATGAAATGGACATCGGTGCTATGGATGGGAAGGATTTGAAAGATGAGGACTCTGGAGACCCAGGCTTCCTGAAGAGTATAGCGGAAAGCTTCGTGGAAAAAATATCCTTCCTTAAAACGCGATCTGGTCGAGCAGGCCTGGTGCACAACTTTTTACGCGGCCTTCAATTGATGACCGCCCCTGTCCCTTCGGTCGGTTAGTTTTATCTTCTTTTTTTTATTTCTATCTTTTTTTTTTCATTTCTTCAGTTATTATTTAATAGACTGCAATTTGCAGAGGGTGCTTGAAATTTTTATTGCAGTGTTGCCTTCAAAGTATTCTTTAATGACATTAAGCCAAGTTAATACCCCCACCCCACCAACGCAACACCACAGTTTCTGTGGAAACTTACCCCTTTTACCTATGATACTACTTGTTTGTTTGTTTGTTTGTTTTTTTTTTTACAGAAGTTAAAGAGGTTGCTGACACCGCTGACCATTTAGCTGTTAAGGCTAAACGCATTTACTTGGTTGACAGCGGGCTCTTGTTCAATTCACCATATCCGCCTCTACTCAGACCTCAGCGGAATGTCGACATTTTCTTGTCATTTGACTTCAGTGCTCGAGAGAAGGACAACGAGCTTTCTTTCAATGTAATTGAGCAGATTTAATTGTTTTATTATTATTATTATTATTATTATTATTATTATTATTATTAGTATCATTATTATTATTAAGTTGATGAGATTTATGACAGGGAGTGTATACTACCGCGTTCGATCGCCAAAGTCTAATCAGGGATCCCTCCGCCTGGTTCATCCGTGGTTTAATGAAAACAAATAGTGAATTTTCGACACTTAACCTTTTAACTCCTATGAAGGAATAAAACAGAATTCCTGTTTTTAATATCAGGGAGACAAGTGATGAGAATAATGAAAAACTATCAATTATGGGATTAAAAGTTGATCCAATATCAAATCCTCCAAACTAACGACACAAGCATCGCGTGGCAGGTAGAAAGGAGAAATACCGATGAGATCTTGGGAGTGAAAGCGTCAAGGAAAGGCTAACTTATTTATCTTTTCCCTCGTAGGAATTATTATATTTGGAACCATAATTTGCACCTACAAAATCTAGCTTAAGTTCTCAGCTCAAGGATTGAACTATTAAATTCAGTCCCATCCAACTCATATTTCGCTTTTTTAGGAGCTGTATTTGGCAGAGAAATGGGCAAAAGCAAACAATTTGAAGTTCCCTCCAATTAACGCCAAGGAACAGTTGGAAACGGACGGAATCAAAGAATATTACGTGTTCACAGATCCCGCGGATCCTACCTGTCCAGTTGTGGTGCATTTTCCTCTCGTTAACAAAACTTTCAAGGAACAAAGCAAACCAGGTTTCTGCGGATATTTGACTTATAGTTATGTGTAAATCAGTGATTTTTCACAAGGTTCAAAGCTGCGTTTGCTTTTGTTTCCTCCTTTTTTCCCCATAACGCTTATTTTTTCTCCGCACCAATTGCACCCTCGATCAGTGACGGCTAAATGAATCTGAAATTATTTCGTCGACTCACCATAGATTTTTCATGTTGAAGCGGGACCGCAGTTCGTTCTCCTATCTTAAGCAATGTACGTCCTTTCTTCTCCGAAAATCTTTGTAGGCACATCGGATTATACGAACTAGCGCTGAACGCCTTACATTGTTTTATTTTTCCTCAGGAGTTCCTCGCAAAACTGCCGAAGAAAAGGAGTTTGCAAAGTTCTCCGTGTTTGAAGATCCTGATAACTATTACAGCACGTTCAACTTTCATTATCCTACAAAGCCTTTTGATCGTCTGTCAGCAATGACAGAATTCAACACTCTGTTGGGTGAGCAGGCCATCAAGGACGTCATAGCTGACTGTGTGACGAAGAGACGGGGAAAGTAACCCAATGTGCGGCCAGCGGATGTACGCAAAATTCATGACTGTGGATGGCGAGGAAGGACTCGAGTGAAGAACTGCAATTTTTCTCCGTTAGGGATAACAGTGGTGAAAATCGCTATTGAGGTGTCGGGCTTATTCTAATGTGTATGTAATTGGACAGCGTTTAAGTTAGGGTCATACTTAACTGAGGGAATAGAACTAGAAAGCGTAAGTAGGAACCAATTAAGCTCATTTTCATGGACTGTACACCATATTTCTGTATTAAGTTGTCTGCTATCGTATCTAGCTTGAGGTGAAGGGTGTGATGAGGGTTTTAATGATAAGAAATCTCTTACGGTGTGTCTTATCAATAAAAGGTAATTCAGGAAAATTAATTGAAGTAACATAGGAATGGAAATGGCATTTTTCTCTTATGTGACGACACTAACCGACAATAAGTCGAGTAAAATTTCCCAATTATCGCTTTCACTCCCGAGATCTCATTAACAATCCTTCTTACTGTCTGTCCTACAATTCTTGTGTTAGTTTGGAGAACTTGATATTGGATGAACTAATAATCCCCTAATTGATCTATTTTTTCTTGTCACTTGTCTGCTTAATTTTGCGCTGAGATTGTAAGGCAAATTTTGTCTTGGTCACTCATGGGAGTTAAAGGTTATCGGAAATATTTTTCCCACATCAAACCTCGATAAAGTTAAATGTCTCCAATTTAAACTTGAACACATCTTTTGCTCTGACAAGTGGCGACAGATATCGCAATTCAACGAAGTCTATTTCATAAACATTTCATTATCACAATCGTTAGCAATGCAGAACTGATTTCAACAATTTCACACTTTAACCATCGGATTCATTAGCAAACTGACTACAAGGATAAAACAGAACTGAGATTGTCAAACAAGACAACTGCCATATCGTTCAATATTGCCAGGACGTTTATGAACCCGCAAACAAATTTTTAAATGGTTGCATCACGTAGAACCAAATTCTTTCATCCACTCTTCGTATTTCTTGATATCTGCATCGGACACGGACTTAGACACTTTATTCAAAGCAAGACCAAAATCTTCCATGTTGACTGGCAAATCCAGTTCTTCCTTTGGCAAATTTTTAATTTGTTCCGGAGTAAGGCCTCGAATGCGACGTCTCATTGCCATCATGGAAGCGTCCCTGTAAAAAGAAGTTATTTCATTGATATCCTGATAGAAAAAACCTGAAAAGTGAAAACATTTAGTAACAACAATATACGTTACAAACCGGCAAACATTTGTGATATCAGCTCCACTGTAGCCGTCCATCTTTTTCGCGATCTCCTCCAGAATTACATCTTCAGCCATGTTCACACCCCGTAAGTTGATCTTCAGCAACTCAAGGCGACCGATAGCTGAAAAGGAAAAATATTCCGAGCGAGAAAAAAAAAATCAAAGAAAAAGATTCGTAAAAAAAGCGCCACCTCCGGTGTAAAAGTAATGGTTATGTTTTGTTATTGCATGTCTCCTTCACTTGAATTTGTTGTATTGCAACGGCATCTGAGTTAAAAAAACTGTTTTGTTCCTGCTCAGGGCCCAGTTTTTCGAAAGCCGATTAGCACTTGAATTTTTAATCTGGGTTTCTATACTTCTTTGTTCGATAGCCTTTTTTGGATCATTTTCCTCTACTCTATATGGAGCATCTAATCATCAAATTGTTGAAAAAAGAATTCTACTGAATTTTCCTTTAAAGTTCTGAGCTGAAATCGATTTCAAAACCTCCTATCTAAACCCAGCTTTGGACATTCAGACAGGATGTGACAAAGTACACAACCGGAGAAGGCCTCAAAGCACACATGACGGAAAGTTTTAGATAGCTGGAGGTGTGGTCAGGAAACATTACTATGGTTAATTTAAAAGAAGATGCAAAAACTCTATGCTGAAGAGGGGATGGTCTTAGAAGTGTAAACAACAAATAAACAAGCAAACATACAAACAACCAGATAAACGCACAACGCTTAAGTTCTTCCAGGTTTGACCTTAGCTCGTTTTAGAGATTTAAGTTAAAATAAACTGTGTGTCAATATCAATAATATGGCAAGATTTGCAAATAACACGCAACACCTCATAGAGTAAATACTGCAGCATACTTTCAGGAAGTGGAATATAGATTCTTTTTTCCAGCCTCCTTCGCAGAGCTTCATCCAGATCCCAAGGAAAATTTGTGGCAGCCAGAACCATGACTAGCTGAGGACCACTCTCTGCAGTACCACCCCCAACACCTGGACAAAAAAAAAACAAAAAAAAACAAAAACAAAAACAAAAACAAAAAAACATGAATAACATTAGTGAGCACTTGGTCGCAAAAGAATGGGTTTGAAGAACTCTTTCAACATCCAAAAGAGTCCGCATAGCTAACGTTACGTTAAAAACTACAACAAGGTCAAGCTTAAACTTCCGCTCTGACACCAACACAGTTCTCATCAAATGACTGGAACTTCTTTTAGTCTCAGTGTAACAGCACAGGGAAATTCATTGGAGGAATAACACAAATTTTCTACTGACACACACAGAGAGAGAGACAATGAAAATATACCAGGACATATGACTGTTAAAGCAAAGTAACTGCTAGGCACTCATAAACATTTCTAAGAACCTTTCAACCAGTGTTACTTTGGGTGTAAATGAATGAAGGGTGCAAACAAGTTTCATTGATGAGTTTTTTAAAAGATCAAAAACTCAAAAAATTAACTTTCAGCAGGGGCCTCCTTACATTAACAATCAAACATATTAAAGGAATTTTCAGCAACACACACTTTTAACTGTGCCAACTATGTTTCCACAAATGTTTTCTGACATCTCTTTTGTCAAAAGTAATCTTTTTTTCATATCTTAGTTTAGTTTTGAAAAGTTGTGGCACAGGTAACAGTTCACTCACCATCCATCTGTATGAGCAGCTCTGACTTGACCCGTCTGCTGGCCTCATGTTCACTGTCTGAACCACGCTTACTACAGATTGAGTCAATCTCATCGATAAAAATTGTACTTGGTGCATAAAATCGAGCCTGTAAAATACCAAAATTCAAACTTCATTTTCCACAAGTTCTTTCATAAGATACACCAAATGTTTGAAACCAAAATTAAAGAAGACTTTCAATCTTCCTGGCATGTCCATTCCATGAAATGATGCAAGAATACGTTATTTTGAATTCTTCCTATTTTATAATTTACAGTACTCTTTTAATAACATCATATATGCTTCTTACCATTTCAAACAGTAGTCTGACAAGTTTCTCAGATTCACCACGATACTTTGAAGTTAAAGTTGATGAGGTCACATTGAAGAATGTTGTACCACATTCTGTAGCTACAGCCTTTGCCAACATCGTTTTTCCAGTACCTGGAGGTCCAACCATGCATACACCCTAAAAAAAATTGAATAGGTAAGGCATTGAGTCCATGAAGAGCTGTGGCCTCACCTGCTTACACAAAGAGAACACATGTCTGTTGTACTGACTTCTATGACTAAACAAGTTTCATTTTTCAGGTCTCCAAAATGGACCATTCTGCCTTGGCAGATGTTATCAATTTGATTCTCAGGGTGTCAAATCTCTAAAAATTTATCCAAGCGATAAGGGACAAATTCATTAATGGCAGTGAGCCAAAAATTATCATGTTTTTCTCCCTTTTTTTTTTTTTTTTTGGGGGGGGGGAGAGGTGGGGGTGGAGGAGGAGGATTCCTCAATTCCCATGGCTCAAAGACACTTGACAGACGACATCTGTGTACCTTCCAGGGACGGCGAATACCAGTAAAGTAATCTGGCATCAGAAGGGGAAGTACCACAGCCTCCTCCAACAGCTTTTTAGCTTCAGTTAGTCCAGCAATGTCACTCCTGCATTAAAAAAAGAAAAAAATTTAAGTAGATAACTGAGTAAAAACTAAGTACACAAAAACTGAGAAACAATGGCATATACATGTAATGGTCAAATACTCTGAAGACATAACAAAATTGGAATTCAAATCTGCCAAAACACTAGTTACAAGCTAAATAACATACCAGTGTACATTAGGATTTTTCTGTAAAATGTCTCTTTCCAAGGCCTCAACTAGGTCTTTATCATAACCACTCCCATCAAATCTCTTCTCACCATCACCATCACCTTCACCTTTACCATCATCCTGCACAAAAATATATAGATTTGAGTAGTTTTTTCTGTGACCTGAGGGCTATGAACTGAATGAAAGCTTATACTCTCTTATAAGAACTTCACCATGATTAGAAAAATAAACTACGCGACATTGGGGAAAAAAAGTAGCATTAATGCTGGCAACAAAACCTGTCTTCCAGGAACAGCTTAGACAGTTGTACCCTTGGTGAGCTCACAGATTCCTGACAAGTTTAGACTTTCACTAATCAATCTGTTCTTTACAACCACGAGTTTCACTGTACTTTTTTTGTTTCAAAGTCATTAAAAAAAGGAAAAAAATTAGGACAAAAATGGTGAAAAAGCAGATGATTTACTTTTTGTTCTTTCTTGGCACCTCCCTTATCCTTGTCCCCCTTTGACTGGGCACGCCCTCTGTCTGCAGGCCTTGCATCACGAGATGGCTTGCCACTGGGTGCAGAAACTGGTTTGCGTCCTCCCCTATCTCCAGCTCGATCTCTATCTCCCCCTCGGTCTCGATCAGGGCGCTTGCTTGGTGCTGCAGATGGGCGGCCTACTGATGGATTGTAATCATCATTCTTTCTGACAACAGGTCGAGGAGCTGGCTTGGAGGGTCTACAGTGGAAACCAGTAGTGGACAAAAGTTGCAGGTTTATTACAAACAACATATTCTTTAATCTGTTATTTGGAAAAAAATTGCTCACTGAAATAAGAGAAACTCTGTACATCACTGCTCCAAGTGTGACCATTCTTAAAATCACTATTTGGCCATCTAAAATCAGGAAATGCTCACCAAAGAAAATGTTCAGTTGACCCAAAAATTGGGACAGTGTGGGTTAGTAAGTAAATAAAGGAAGGAATAGCTCTCTTTGTGATTTAAGGGTAGGTTGAAGTGCCATGCTCAACCATTGTGCTTTACATGCAGTTGTTACTGTCATTATCTGGGAACTCAATACTTTTTATCACCCAGAGCACAACAAAACCATTAATTTGGAAGAGGTACATTGACAACATTTTCTGTTTGTGGAACAAACCCAAGGCAAAACTGAAGAATTTGTAAGACTGGAAAACAGCAACTGTTCATTGTACCATGATACCATCACTATTGGCTGAGTAATCAGACTTAGAAATAATATTCTTGACACGAAAGTGTACAAAAGCAAACTTTAACAAGGAATTGACCCTTAACATCCAAATGTATTTCAAAGAGATGGAGACCTTCCAATACTTGAATTTTTATTCATGTCATTCACCAGGGACAGAGAGAGGATTCCTAAGAGGAGAAGTGCTATGCCTCCCATGAATAAATTTGTCACACTTCATGTTTAATAAAAACATGTGGTGTTTCAAAATATGCTTAAAGAATCAAGGATACCAAGATGGAATTTTTGAGAAATGTTTTGCTTAATTTGATTGCACCAGGAGAGAAGGGTTACTCCAAAACTGACATGGGATAAGGCTTTCTATTGATGGAATTGTTTCCTTGTCTAACAGTCACCCAAGTGCAGAGGAGAGCTTTCTGTTTTATTTTCCTCTGAAATTCTGTGCAGGAGGACCTCTTCAAACTCACTGCTCATTTTTTTGGCCAAATCCTGAGGCTGTCTAATGTTCATTACATGCTTTTAAAATTGATCTAGTAGGCCACATAATATGGCAGCCTTCCATCCCTGCAGGATGTCCTGTTTTTGATGGCTTCATTGTCGCAAATGCAGAATGAAAATGACAAAAATATGTGGCAGATAGATGATGTACATGTAAAGAAACTAAATGGCAGTATAAAAAACCAGTTCTTAATCAAGACTGCAAAGATATATTCCAAAAATATTACACACAAGGCAGCTTTCCTTTTCTGTTATACAGAAAATGCTGAGAATGTTTACTACCCCTGCAATGCATCCTGGTTGAGCAGGGTCCTTTGAGAAGGGGTGTAACTGCCTCCTTTTCTCTTATAAGCTTGTTTCTAGACTTCACCTTTTGAGTGAAAGGCTAAGTATAAGGCTACACTCTTGCTATCTTTTTCATAGTCCTCTTTTCATTTTGTGGATCTACTCTTACAAACTCTATCTGGAAGTTTTTTTGTTTTTTGTTTTCTTTTAACCTAAACGTGATTTGGTATATAGCTAATTTGATCTATCACACAAGGACACAGTTTATTTTACAGCATACCTATTCTATCTAAATTTGATCTATCACACTGGGACACAGTTAATTTTACTGCATACCTGTTGTCAACATCTAAACTTGATCTATCACATAGCGACAGAGGTTTTTTAACAGCATACCTGTTGTCTCTTTCTATTGGAGTGGGTGGCGGCCAGACATCAGGATCCCTTGTAGGCTCCTCTTCATGGGATCGCCGAGGCCCTCCAAAATGTACTGTGTCCTTCTTGAAATTTGCCAGTGTTTGATTTATTTCTTTAACTTGGTCATACTCTTTGACAATTGCTTGACGAACCTTAAAACACAACAGAAATTTTACTTACACAGTATAACAAATGTACCCAAAAAGAAAGACCCTCTAAATAAAATGATCAGGAATACAATATAAATAAAAGAAAAAAGAATTATTATATCAGTCTTCGAGAGGGGACAAAATTTCCAGGCTTAAGTATGATATGACACATCACTGCTTTGTCAGTCCAGTGAATTGATCATGTCTATTGAATGCCTTTTTTGCTACCCTCTCCATTCTGTTTTTGCAATGACCTTCTCCTGCCATTATGAAAAACTGATCAGATATCTAAATGTTCCCCTATAAGAGCAAAACTTACCTGGTGCCATTCTTGTTTCATGATGGCATCATCTTTCAGTTGTTGAATGTGCTTCTGTATCTGTTGGATCACTCCTTGGTAGTACACTAGTGATGTGTCGTAGTTACCAAGCAGGGCATATTCACGTGCCATTTTTGCATTTTCACAGATTTCAGAAAGGCTCATCTTTACAAGAGGCCTGGAAAATATATATCACTTCAATATTCCAGTTATAAAAAGTTCACTTGACTTATCTATATCACAAGCTTCCCTGCATGTAAATCTCTAGTTTGATTATGTTTGACTTTGAGAGTACTATGGCCTGAGCACACAAGGCAAATTTTTGCTTATCTTGCAAAGAGATTTGTCATCAGTTCAGTGAGACAAATGCACCTAATGATTTTTTATTCTACCAAATTTTTACAAGCCTTACCAATCTTCAAAGACACTGCTGTCACACCCTGTAGTAAGACAAATTTTTGCCAGGCATGCAATCTAACAGAATTTTCAATTTACTAACCACAATTTAAAGGAATACCTCAATCAAGAAAATTTGATCCTACTTATTAAATGTGAGTCTTTCTAGCAGATTCTGCCAAATTTATAAATTTTAATGTAGCAATCAAACAGTGAAGATGCAAGATTTATACCTCAGGATGCTGCATGGTGATCAGTACTGAGGATACTCATAATACAACTATAATGGCTCCCAAGTTTTCATTTTTAAAAGCTAAATCTCAAGGTACAGGTACTACTCAATTTATTGATCCATAAGATTGACATCAGGTGGTTAACAAATATTTTGCTGTTTTTCAGTGCACCTGTGATTGACAAATTGAAAACTTGGGGGAAACAGATTTTTTGTGGAGCAAAACAAATTTTGTCAGCCCAATGCGCCTTGGTACCTAACCTCTAAACCGCTCCCTGCAAGATCATCTATAACTACTGACAGGGTCATTCAGAACAAAACTGTTCTGAAAAACCACCTTTAAATGATGTCTGCCACAATATCCTGATTTTGTTTTAATACATAATAGATTAATTTCCTTGAGTGTAAAATACTAAGTAATGAAAATAAGTCAACTTAACAGACAATCCTCAATAGGAATTTTTCGATCTCGCCTTGCGACTTTTCCAGCAATTTTTTCCTACGGTACATTTACAATTAATCCGTCGCATATTGTATACTGGACTTGTTAGTTACGTTAGATGTCATCGAATGCTTGAATCAATGCAAATAAACACCAGGCGAAGTTTAGCACAATTAAATATTGGCAGGTCTGGGCGGACGGAACTAATCGAAGATTCTCTGCCAGGTTGCCAAATGTCTACAACATGAACACCCCGTCTGAAAACTACGGTAGGGCTCATCAAACATTCTATGTCACTAGAAAAACGGTAACTCTGATTCAGTACTAGTATTCAAAGAAACCTACCTTAAGACTCACCCAAAATTTTGTGATCGGATGTGTTCTATTAGTATAAAACTTGAGAGACCGTTTAAAAGTGTAGATCGAGCATGCTCGTTTGGCGCCTATATCTCCCATTGAATCATGGGATATGTATTGGCCAGCTAAAACAAATATGGCGGCTGTCACATGAGCGACCTCAACCTTCCTGACTGTAAGGTAATTTTCAGCTTTCAAAGTGATTGTAAAGATCTGGAGAACAGAGAAACAACTTTTATTGACCAAGATATTAATTTTCGGGGGTCTTCTAAGTCATCCTACAAAAAATTTGGATTAGTCATCGCGGATGCATGAGTAGACAATTTACTTTCGATTCAACCTCCTCTGTGGCGAAAGAAGTAAAACAGATTTGATATTTGAGGTAACTAACCATGGCTTTGCACTTTGTTTTCTAGAGGATTTAAAATGGACGACGAAGACGATCTTCAACCCGATTCTCCGCCCGGGTTTGTGGAAGAAATTGATAGTTCAGAACTTGAGCAAATCGAGGTAAAATATACATGATTATCAAACTTAACGAAAAACATGCATACATGAGCAATTCAGTAGTCAAGCGATCATGTGCTTCGATGGTGCTACAAGATGCCGAAGAGTTATAAATTAAATCGTAGTCATGAAATCTCAAAGGAAAAGTCATTTACTTAATTATCATTTTATCTTTAATTTCTTCCTTACGCATTGATCTTGAAGTAATCAAATTGATTGAGTTTGTACTTGTTACAATTTTACGACGGAAGTATTTAACTGTTTATCATTATCATAGCGGAGGCCTGTAGATATCCGTACAGCCATTTTTTTAGTTTTGAATAATATACAAACTCAGTGTGACGGCAGGGCATGTTGAGCTTATGGTAGTATTTTGGTTCTCCAGTCTTAAGGAAACTTCTATTTGACCCTAGTATCCAGCTTCACTGTGGGCCTCTTTAGTAAGCACTATGATTGGCTAGTCACTTGGAGCAAACACTGTTGTAATTCAGTTTCTTTGAATTATTTTTGCATGAATACAAAAGCACATGATCTTGGTCTGAAACACATGAGCTAAACATGACCAAAGTCTCTGAAATGTAGTTTTTTTCTTATGAAAATCCTACATCATGGGTCATAACCGACAAATGAGTGGATACATTAAGATAATTTGTAGAGGAGATGAAAGACATTGTGGAACAGATTTGATAAAAGAACATTTATGTAATCAGAATGAGTTGAAGCTGACTGATTCAGTAGATATGGTTTGTTGGTTTTCTATTTTCTGTTTTACATTCCAATAGATTTGTTAGACTTTCACCCCTATTTTAACATGGTTCCACAAACTTAAGTTGGTTTGTGAATGAAATAATTTATTATCTTTTTCTGCCTTTTTCACTAATATCTGACATTTTAATTTCTTTGGTACATTTTACGGACATGAAAGGTATTGAATTGGTAGAATGTTGTAAAATGAAATTGAAGAACAAGCTGATGTAGAGTTTCAGAGGAAAACATATTGTCATCCCCTGTACCTTAGGAACTATAAGTTGGTGTGCTCTGTAAGTGACTAGCTAAAAGCATAAACTTATGGTTGGAGAGGATAGCTGAGGTGGGAGATTGAAGGCTTTTAACAGGACTCCTTCAGTTTGTGAAATCATTAATTCAGTTGATCAGGGAAATTATACATTTGTCTGGGAAAAGTCAGGAAAAATTCAAGAAATTTCACAAACCTATGATTGCTGCAACCATGCATGTTCTAATCAAACTTAAGAAATTAAAATACTAGAAGAACTTCTTTATTTTTTATTTCTTCCCGTAAAAGTGCTTGATGTTTGAACTTATTGAAGGTGGCTTACAGAACTCTATTCCTTTCTCTGCCATCTTTGAAAGGAAAGTAAATAAATCAGTCCCTTTAGAACTGCACATTTGTCAGATGGTTCCTCTCTATTTTGGTGTGAAATCATGGTATCAAAATGCCTTTTCTTCCTAGAATTGACACTTGAGTGTTCAGTGGCTCTTTTTTTTAATAGGTAACAGTAATCATTTCTGTACTTACCTTGTCAGACTGTATGGCCCATAAATAGCCAACTGTTAGTAAACTACTGATAGTCTCTCAACAGATTACTGACCTACCTTTTGAAAGTTTGTAAGTTACCCCTACATGTGAAATAAAAGGAGTTTGTTTCAATAAACTTACATTTTCTTGTTGCTTTACAGACAGTTGGAAGAGGTGCATTTGGGGTTGTTTCCAAGGCAATATATAGACAGAGATTTGTTGTTGCTGTTAAGACAATCGAAACTGAAGCAGAAAAGAAAGCATTTAGTGTTGAGGTAAATGAAACAGTTTCACTAAAAAAATACTGTGTATGTAACTTAGTTAAAGTTAATGTCAGTGATATCATTATTAGATATGGCAAATTGACATACATTGTATAATTTCCATATATCAATTAGTACTATCTAGTGCTGTTCATAGGGGCTGCAATGGGATAGAGACTGGAAAATTAGTAAAATTTTCTTTAGAGATACCTGTTGTTGTCAATTGCCAAGTTGAGATGAATTTCATGGTATTTCTTTTTAACAGGTTCAACAGCTGTCTCGTATCAGTCATGAAAATATCATCAAGTTGTATGGTGTCTGCACCACCCAGAATCCTGTAAGTTCTACTCTACAGATTTATTGATAGCCCCAAGTGAGGCAGCTTTTAAGAACTGTAATCATAATTCATTGGTTTACTTTTTGTAGGTATGTCTTGTCATGGAGTATGCTGAAGGAGGCTCACTTTACAACTGTAAGAATATCAATGTGTGCACGGTATCACTGCTTGATAATGTTGTGATTTAAACATTTTCCAAATTGAATATATTCCAAACCAGTTACATTTTAACACCCTTTCAGTTTTTATTTATGATAAGTTTTGGTATTAGGGCTTAGTGGAGCCTAATTTGGTGAGCAAAGTCCAACTACAAGTTGTCCAATTACAAGCATGATGTCTACATTGTCCTATTAGTGCTCAAATTGGGCTGTTTATAACTAATCATGTTTAAGAATTTTGATATAGGTTTGATCATTTTCTCAACAAACAGAAATAGCAGTCAAAAGGGTGTATAAAATTTGAAACCTTGAGGAAAAATTTGAAATTGAAAACATGATAAGACTAAAAGTGATCATGAAGGAATTTCTCATTTAACATCAAATTATATTATTGAGGAGAAAAGAACAAGTATTAAAGAAAATTATTAATCATGGGCATGAGATATTGTTTGATTTATTATTACTTTCTAAGGGCTAAAATTTTGGGGGATTGAGAAGGGTTAATTCATTCTGAATTTTCTTTCTATTTGTGAAATTTCAGTACTTCATTGGCAACATCCTTCATCACGATGTGCACCAATTTACACAGCCTCTCATATGATGAGCTGGGCTCTCCAGTGTGCAAGAGGAGTAGAATATTTACATGGAATCAAACCCAAAGGAATTATCCACAGAGACCTCAAGCCTCCAAAGTATGCAATTTAAACAGTACACTGTGTTGTTATTGCTGTATTACATGACTTCTGTTTTTATGGAGCTTCTTAGTTATGGCTTTTAACAGTGCTATAGGGAGGCTATGCCGAGCAAGCAGATGTTGAGATTGATAGAATTGATCCTGGAGTAAAATTTTTGTGCATCATGGCCTCATTTATTTTCTTGAAATGTAATGATAAATTATTGTTTTCAGTTTGTTGCTGACAAAATGTGGAACTGTTTTAAAGATTTGTGATTTTGGAACAGCTTGTGACATGAAAACATACATGACAAACAACAAGGGAAGTGCAGCGTGGATGGCTCCTGAAGTGTTTGAAGGTATGTAAGTTAACAGTGTATTAGATCTGTGTCATAAGATTGTTACTTTGCATTTTTTAACACTAATTCTTTGATAGATGGATACTGCCACACCTTTTAATATGTTTCTGACAGTTGTAGCTGAATAGCTGGTTTTTTTCAGTGTGATTAATGTGATATTAATTTTATTCAGGCAACAATTACACAGAGAAGTGTGATGTTTTCAGGTATGTGTTACTGCTAAAGTAGTGTTCATATTAAGTTTCTGTTTTATAATTACTTTGAAGTCTATCACAACTTCATCGCGTTTCCATCCTGCCTGAAAATGTGTCAGGTGTCTTGGAACCCAGCTCCATCCCATTTCTAAGCAATGGCCTACTTCAGCTGTTCGAATATTCAATAGAGAAACTTAACACAGTTCACTAAAAAAAATCCCTCTAACTTTTTAATTATTCATATAAAGAGTTTATTTGTAGCTTACAAGTTGAGGTGAATTTAACAAAGGCATTTTGTGTTTTTTAGTTTTGGTATAATCCTTTGGGAGATGATTACTCGCCGTAAGCCTTATGAGGACATGTCTGGATTCAATGCTTTCAGAATAATGTGGGCTGTTCATAATGGTGGGTGAAATTGTGTTTTTCATAAAAGCTAAAATGAATACTAGTGAACAACAGGACCTTGTGCTTTTTTTTTCAAAACATTGTTGCTTTTAAAGCATTTATTGTCTCGCAGTTTGTGTTATTTATTAATGGTCATTAAACAAAAATTAGCTCATTTCATATGTTTTCATCTTGGTCATTGTATTATTCTGTAGGAACAAGGCCTCCTTTAATAGCAAATATTCCAAAACCAATTGAAGATCTAATGACGAGGTAGGGAACAATTGACAGAGATTTCCAAGGTACTCTTAGTGCCACAGAAATTGCAACACAATCTGTTTTTTATGTATTATATATTAAAGATTTTTAGCATATCTTTAAATATTAATATTGATATTATAATTATTGATATAATTGAGTTTTTATAATACATCACATTGATATATTTTTTATAGCTATTATCATTACTACATTACAATATCAATGTTACTTGCATCCTCTGGATCCTCTTCTTGGAAGCTGTTCATTTGGTAGCCATTTTATACTTTCTGAACTATTGAAAATTGGGTCCATGTATTTGTGCTTTTAGAATTTTTAAACTCAATGAAATGTTTGGAAACCTTTATCTGAAATATACCATTTTGTGGTGATGTTAAATACTTTATTAGTAAGTTGATACTATTAGTTTCCAGTCCTCATTTATCAGTTATCGTTATCATTGACTCATTTTTATTTCTCAATCTTTACAATCTGTAGCTGCTGGGATAAGGTGCCAGCAAAGAGACCATCATTTACAAGAATTGTTCACATACTTCAACATTTAGTGCAAGTAAGAACAGAGTTCTTTTGAGAAGAGTTTTTTTTTTGCCATAGTTGACGTTATTCCATTTTGTCATACAAAATAATGTTGGTGGTTTGTTATGGGTACAGTCTATGCTTAGGGATGATCAATTACTTTATGGGAGGGTATTGCTTCTAACATTTATATAGGCAACAGCAAGTTTTGTAGCTGTCTTCACTGCTTTGGTATGCCAGTTACCTTCAAGCTAATCTTCATATTCTTGAGGAATGATCAAACATGACTTTGTTTCAATTGATGTCTTTGCTAAGAGATGAAAGGTGGCACATTGACTTTCTCGATATTTGTAGGTTGCAAAATTGTTCCAAAGTAACTGTTTTTCTGAATAGTTCTTTCCAGGTGCAGATACTTGTCTTGTTTTTCCAGTTGGAACTTCAAGTACAAGCACAGATGAAAGCAGCACAAGCTCAGACCTGTCTCTGTTAAGCCCTGAAATGGATCAGAATGGTGGGGAAATGTCCACACAGGGTAGCACATTGAGTGACACTGTCATTGGAATGAAGAGTCAGCCATCTACTGAGAGTGATGAAGAAGGTTCCTATGAAATTGAGGATGAGGAAAAAGAAAATGATGAAACTCCAGTCCCAGGAAAATTAGAAGGTGAACCTCCTTTGGAGGGTGAATATGAAAGTCCTCACCGTGCAGCCTCTCCAACCATCACTATCTCAGTTGACAACAAGAGTCCTACAGCTCAGTTTGTGCGACAGCGGTCAGATTCCGGAGGGACCAGTCACAGGCCGGGAAAAGCTCCAGTGAGCCCTTTACCTGGACCAGTTCCAGGTATTAATTTTGAGCCAATCAAAATTGTTTCAGCATCAGCTTCTCCAAGCTCAAACTCTAGCTTGATGACCTCATCTCCATTGCCATCTGAGGTGAGCCCAGTGAAGGCTTCAAGTGCAAGAATTTCCTATCCACCAGTGAGTCCTGCTGTCAGTTCTGGTTACTATCCAAATTACACTTCAGACATCCAACCAAGTGGAGGAATGCAGCAGGCACCATTTTATCCACCTGGTAGCCTTATGTCTTCAGCTCCATCAACAGGACAACCACTGATCTATTCTGAGGCTTCAGGGTCTGGTTTTCTGGGAGGTGCAACATCCCCATACAAATCTCCCAGTCCTATTCCCCCAAATTATGGTCAGCAAGGGGCTTACCCACCAAACACCATGTACCCCCCTGCCACTAGCTATGCCTTATCTACACCAACCAGTACTAGTCCATTGCAAATGCCCACATCAAGCACTGTGCCATCAGTACCTAGAAATACTCCTGTGTCAGGCTTTCATGCACCACAGCCACCTGATGGTTTGGACATGGAAGAACTACGGCTGGCCCTACAGAATGACCTTGACCCTCCAGAACATGGCAATAGAGTGCGCTTTAATTCCAGCGGCCCTTCTTCACAGGGATCTCATGCTGTGGGATCTGGATTTTCCAGTCCATCAAGTTCAGGAACCAGCAGTCCTTACCCAGACAGGAAGACAAGTTGGCCTGTGAGTTCCCCACACACACACAACCATCCTCATCCTATGACAAGATCTGTGTCTTCTCCAGAAAGGAAGTTCAGTGGAGAAAAGAAGAGCCCTTTGGCACGGAGACGTGAACAAGGTTTGTTCTTTTCATTCTTTCAGTAATAGTTTTGACTTTTATGTACTGTTTTGTAAATTTAGTTTTTCTTTTGACTCAGATCAATCAGGGTTCCCAAGTATTTTACAGACTTTGGCTACCCATTTGCAGGTACCTCAATAAGTAATATATTAGTACTATATGTCTACTTCATTCTACAGTAAGGTGTTTCATTTTAATGTATTTAGTACATGACTATTCCCTTCCTGTGGAGTAAGAGTAAACATTTCCCTTTTTCAATGTTACTCTATAAACCATCAACAATATGGTTATAGTCTAAGTCATGAAAAAAAATGCTTTAAATTTATTTTGTTACAATGAATGGAATCATTTTAACACATATAGTTTAGATACTTTAATATTTTTACCCTTATCTCTTACTACAAAGGTGAAGAGTACTTTCTGCATGTCCTTATTGGCTGGTTTGGAAGTGATTAGCAAGTACAATTCACCTCCAAGCTGTTGGGGAGTCATTATTGCTCATCAAAAATTTAATTTTGGACCATTTTTTGTATAGAGATAGAAAAAAACTATTTTGGGGGGTTTTTGTGAAGTATGTACTAAAACAATTACCTGTATTCACCTCTGTGTGAGTGAAAGTGGATATTTACCTGGTTGTTTCATGATAAATATCCACCACTATTCACCTCCACTTTGGTGAATAATTGTTGATTATAGTTGTTGTTGTTGTTGTTTTCCCTGCAGCCTATTGCACCAAACCCTGCAATTCCAGAGTCACAGGCAATTTATGAGGAGCATATCAAGGTGGATATCTATACATTCGTGTAAAATGAAATTTTAAATTACAGATTGAGCTCTCTTGATAGACACTGTAGCTTGAAATTGGACAGATGTACTTGCTGCTGCATAGACCATTTGCATTGGAATCCTTAATGATGATACCAATACACATAATCATAAGAAGTTATCTGAGGGGAACATTTCATTAGAGGAATTTCTTAATTTTTTCGTTTTTGTACTAAACTGGGCAAAGCCAACCAGTAACACTTAACATGAAAATTTGAGTATAATTACCTGTAATTGTTTAAGTTCAAATTGTGCTTAGGATTCATTGTATGTTATTTAAAGATGTCTGTTTTTTTTAATGGACTGAGTTACCATCATAATACCTTTTGCAGCTTGCAAGGGAATACATCCAAGTTCAAACAGAAATGGCAATGATTCTGCAAAAGAAGTAAGCTTCAAATTTATTTTACTCTGATCTTGAATTTTTGTTAATAGATGTAATAACAAATGTTAGTGGCCACAAATCTACACCTTATTGATGGCTTCTGGACCAGATGATACCCTTTTCATTATGCTGAATTGTAAATTACATCATAGTGTTTAAGGATTGTGACTGTGAAAATGTTCCTTTCTTTAGAGCATATACCCCTTTACAATTGGGTTTCATCATCTTGGTAACCTCAGTTTAGGAATTATTATTTAACTCTGCTTTATTCTAACTTGTCCCACAGGCTTGAACTTGAAAAAGACTTGGAAGAATATGAAACAGAACAGCAAGTTAATGCTCAATATGTAGAGGAGTTTGCAATGTTGACTAGTGAAAAGGTCAGTTGCCACTTAGTCTGTTTACATGCAATCATTAAATAGAGACAACAGGGACCAAAAGAAATTTATGAAAAACAAAAGACAAACAAGAGAAAAAAAGACATGAGCAGTTGCCAAGACATCCTGTGATTTCACAGACTTAAGTAGTGACGTTGAATTTAATGATTTTATATGTTTCTTGGTACTTATTTAATAAAGTTCTTCAGCCTTGCATGAAAGAGATTTGATCACCAGTCACAGTGTGAATGAATTATAGTATCAGTAATATGATGTCTTATTGTTCTTGTTCAATTGTGTTTTGTCTGTAGGAAAATCTCCTTTTGCTTCATAAAAATTTGAAGTCACAGCTGGAGGAAATGAAACGGCAGCCACCTGCACTGATACCTGGTTGTCCACTAAGTAGCCAGTATAGATGACTGACCACAGAGTAAACACACAAACAGTGTACAGTGTATATAATAATTCAGATATTTGCAGTTATAGAAAATCAAAAATTATTTCTTTCCTGGTGTTAGGAAATTTGTTTCCTCACATCAACTTCTGTATTCCTTCCTTCCTTCCCATTCTATTAAGACTCTAATTTCAGTTTATGTGACAGCATGGCATGAAATTTAGTAACTAGTAATTAAAATTATGGGAATGGACAGAAAATTGTCCTATATAAGGTCATGTGATATTTATAGCATGGCTGCAGATGTTATCTACCTTAGTATTTTTTCTGTATCTCATGTCTAAGGATTGTTTCCTTTAACATAATTGCACAGCCAGTATTTGTTTTTAATGAATTATTTTATTTGAATCTTCATTTATTAATTTCCTTCTTAATAATTGAATTAATTCTAAATCAGTGCATCAGCTTCAATGTTGCTTTTTGTAGGAGAAAAAAAAGTAACTGAGTTATAATTTATGACTGTGAATATATGAAAATCATCATGTAAACTGTGGTTTAAGAAATGAAGATAAAAGCAGTAGTCAAAATAAGGTCAGAAAAAATTCAGTCATGTATAGGATTTGACTCCATGAGCTCTGCCATACTGGTGCAGTGCTCTACCAGTTTCCACAGCTGCTTAAGTGGTGTTCATTACTGCAAAGATTGCTTTTATTTTCATAAGCCTTAACTGATGAACAAAATATGTTATATTCAGGAAATTTTGTAAGGTTTTCTTTGTTGCACACATGCATTTTTCCATTCACACAAGCTACTGCTGGTAAGGAACTTACAATCAAAAGTTATTTCTACCACCTCAATTACTAAGTTATAATTTAAGATTTGTTGTTGGTGTTGTAATTTGGATGGAATCAGGAACCATTTTAGAATAAATTGGTACGTAGTGATTGTCAGTTGTAAATTGAACAGAAACATTCACTGCAATGAGTGTTACCTCTGACAATAAAAAAGTGGAGTTATGCACCACAATTTTTATTACTGTCCTAGATGTATAATGGAATACAGCAAAATTGATGATTGTCCTTTTTGTAATTTAAGTGTTTTATATATTCTATGGAGGCAACAGACAAAAACAAATTTTTGAAAACTTAACATAACAACCAATTTTACAGGGTAATTTAGTGTTAACAACTTGGTTGAAAAGTGTAAATGGACAACCATAAAGAGTTTAAAGGCTGACGTTTCAAGCATTAGCCATTCGTCAGAGCTCTGATGAATGGCTAACACTCAAAACATCAGCCTTACAGAGGCCAATTTACGTTTTCAACTCAGTTAATAACACTAAATTACCCTATTATACTCTCCCACTGACGCAACACCACAGTTTCTTTAGAAACTTACTCCCTCTGTAACAACCAGTTTGTTGCCAAGTAGTAAATAATTCACTCAAAAGTGACTGGATGAAGTTATCAATAGAATGAATAAAAAAATTTTTGGCATAAAAGAATTCTTTCACAATAAAAATTTGTTACAAATTAGTATAATGATTGTTACTGCATGATTATATTAATGAGTGACATGAACACTGTATTCATTTTGCAGTTCAGTAATGTTTGTTTCCTTTGTGGCTTCAATTTGTAGAGTAAGTTAGGTTTTTGATACTTAATAATTAGAAAATTGACCTAGCAATTTTATGGCATGCACAAGCTCAGAAAATGTGTCCACTCAAAAACAATCCTAAGATTTGGAATTGCGTGGTATTTCTAAACAAAGATCAAACACTTTCATTAAGTTTGCATGAGGTATTCTGTGGGAATTTGGTGAATGTTTTAGACTAGCAGGCATGGTTTCCAATAGGATAGGTCAGAAATTTTTCCTAATTAATTTTGAAAACCTGATGATTTTATGGTGAACATGAGCCTGTCAGACTGTCAGACATGGAGAATTGTAGACACATCGACATATCTAAGAGTGTGAGAGACAAGAAAATACAGTCTTTAGTTTCTTTGATAGTGTTCAAAAGTTGAAAATAATATTCAAGAAATATTTGAAATTTATATTGGTTGGTCATGAAAATTACCTTTACAGCTGTGATGTGTAATAACATTTTGGTGATGAAGATTTAGAGATAAGTATAACAAAAAATGTTCACCATTCTCAATAAAATGAAATAAAATCAATCAAGTAAAATTGCAGTAATTGTTTGTATCCCAAGCTCTGCATGTTTGCAAATTGGGTTGGCCACCAACCATTGTAATGTTGGCCTCTCTGTTTTAAGAAAATGTCAGTTTTAATTTAGAGCACCAGCTCAGGGAACTGTGACTATGACAATTCACTCAATCATTGAAGCCCAAGCATCTCCTTGATTGTCAATAAGTTTACTACTGCAATGTTCCTTGCTTGATCTGCACCAGTTTGTAGAACATTATCTACATATACCACATCCTGTTGAATCCTCATAATATTTTCCTGCACAGGAGTTAACTTGCTTACAACAAGCTCTGTAAGATCAGCTTTAAATACACTCTTGCATTTTTCCATGTTGTCATATTTCCCACACACAGCTTGAGTTGTTAACCCACTGAAGTCAGCATAAATATTGATCAGATTTGACATAGCTGGTCTTGCTTTTGGATCATAACTGATGTGATCTTCAGAGTCTGTTACTGCTTTTTGAATCTTTTTTTCAATAAGGTCTGCGGAATCAGTTAGTTCAATTCTTGACATTTCATTACGATCTGATTTGCTCATTTTTTTGCTGCCATCCCGTAAACTCATCACCCGAGGACAATTGTCTGTTGAAAGTAATAGTATGTCAGCTTCCTGGGCATTTTTGTAAAAACTTTAAGGAACAAGTGTGAAGTGTGAGTTATAAAAATAACAAAAAATATGTTAACTATGTTAAAATATGTTAAAATGAACTACTGCAAAAAAGAAGAAAGAACAAGGTCTTTTTCTATTCCTCTGCATGCTCATTACTTTACCAGGAGGGTTTTACAAGTTCGAAGGTCAGACAAGTACCAAGTTACAACAATACATTCCAGCTAGCATACCACAAGTAATCTAAGTTGAAAATACCTAGAATACTTTTTGGGAAAGGAAAAAAGTTTCCAAAGGTGTTGTTAAACTGACGACAAAGTTCTCTGGCAAGTTCCAAGTGTTGCACCTGATCTTCACCAATAGGGACATGACTTGCCCTGGAAGAAAATAAAATATTGTTAATTTGTTTTTTCTTTTTTACAAGACTCCAAAAGGTAAGTTAAAATGTCATGATCCAAGTTTTTTACTTTTTAGAGAAACTCACTTGTACAAAAGAATATCAGCTGCCATTAGCACAGGATATGAATATAATCCCAAACAACTTTTTTCTCTGTTTTCACTTGCTTTGGTCTGAGATAAAGAAACCAAACACATGAGGAAATAATTAACATTTCTTATATTGCCATGCAAAGGTTGTCAAAAGCTGTCAGCCTACTCTGTTCAACTGGGTATTCCTCACATGCTTCTAATAAGCAAAAGATGGCAACCTTGCCTTATTCTTTATGTTAAGGCTAACAACTTCAAAACTTTCTGACAATTAACCTTAATTCATATACTTCCCTTATATGTTTGTAGGACCAAGCCATATCATTACTGACTAAATAGTTGCAGCAAGAAAGATAAATTACAAATTTGATAATAAAAGATTTCAGTTTTACTTTTATGGTTACCTTCCACTGATGCATACGATTTAAGAACCCTGTGCGGGCCATACATCCTAAAATCCAAGCAAGCTCTGCATGTTGTGAGACCTTGAGAAAATGTTCAAAAAATACAAATTATAAATTCTAATCAAGTTTTGTGTGGCCAACCCATTTAAAAAACAAACTATATAAACAATATTCTTGGAACTTCTCAGTTGCCTGACACTTTTACCTTTGTATCAGGTTTTGAGTGGGGAGCTGGGCATGAAAAATAGCCAAGACACTGAGAGAGTAGTTGGTATAGGTAATAACATGACTTCAAGTGCAATTTGATGTTCATAGACATGAGTAAAGTTTTCAGAGACAACAAAATTGTACAAACCTTTAGGGAGAGTACAATTTGTAGTCTTTGAAAAATTTACAAATACTTATTTACACCAAATAGCACAAGAAATCATGTTATTCCCTATAAATAGTTTATATGAAAAAAAGCATCCTACAAAGTAAAAAACAGTTGGAATTTTGATATTGTACCTGGGTTATTTGTAATTTACACTTGTATTATAGCTTTGCACTTGTTCTTTGAATCTGCACTCTTTTACATGAAAAATGCACTAGTCATCAACCAATCAGAAGCTCATAATTTTTTCATGTATATCAATACAAGCAAGAACACACATTCAAGTGAAAGAGGAACCCTGTAATTTGCAGATTACCCAACAAACAGGGTTGTTAATCCATCAGTCTAAAAATTTCAATAAAAGTCCAGCAACTTCACCTGAGACTGCTGAAAGAGGATACTTTTCTCTGGATTCACTCCACAAGCCAATAAATATACAGCCATATTTCTGATACCCTGTCTCAGTTTCACAGGATCTTGTGGAATGGTGATGGAATGTAAATCCACAATGCTGTACAGGACCATGTCCTTTTCTCCATGTTGTAATGAGACCCAGTTCCTAATTGCCCCCAGGTAGTTTCCAATGTGCATTGTTCCAGTGGGTTGGATTCCAGAAAAAATAACTTTCCTTTCTTGGGAGTCCTGTAGAGGTAAGATGGGAGATATTTATCTTTCATTCATACTCTTCTCTCTTTGCCTCAACATTAAATTTTTGTTAGGAAAGAAAATAATGAATCTAAATCAACTGATTTTCCCTCATTTATAATAGAGAAGGAAGGGGGTAGGAAAGGGGAAAGGAGATCGTCTTGAAGGGGTGGGGAAAAATTAAAGGTGTGATGGCTTGAATGCGCTTTCATGCTAATGTTTCATTCGCAACTGACTTGTCTTGCAAATTTCTGCCTCACATTGAGCTTGTATGGCGAGTTTCTGCCTAATTTCTCGATAAGCCCTATGATCTTTCGTAACTCAACACAAGCTAAGCGCATATTTCGTAGATCAACCTGAGAACTGAGGTGCCTCCTAAGCGAATCATTTGGTTTTCTCATCAAAAGCAGAGAGCAAGGATAATTTCTCCAACGAAGCGCCATGATCGAGGAGGTTTGCTGACAAACAATCAAAAGAGGAATAAAACTAAAACTCTTTCAAGATCAACCGCGTTTCGTCAGCCATATTGGATTTTAGTTGTAATTTAGTAGACTGGGAACGAACAACTCAAACGTCATAGCGTGGGATGCTGCTGGTCTTACGACTTTCGGCTCACAAATGACATCACACGACCATTTTGGAGATGAAAACACAGTAGAGGAAATTCGAAATCGATTCGCTGAGAAAATCCACTTTCAAAGAGTTACGAGCAGATTTGGTTGTTTGAACTTTCATTCTTCTTGCTGAATAATCTAGAGATCATGGCCAGCCAGATGGAAAGTATCCTTGACCAACAACCAATCGAACACTCTCCAGAGACAGAATAGATTTTGAGGAATACTTGCAACTTGCTCCACTAGTTTGCTGTAGCTAATGTGTGATTTTTTTCTTTTTATTGCATGGTATTCTCATTTATAGACTTAATATAGTTCTTTCACTCTGAAATTCTATGTAAGTTGTCCGAGCCAAGTTCACACTTTCTATTTAAGAAAGACACAAAACACTTTGTGAACATGGCAATATGCCCTTTCTGAGACAAAATCAAGGGTTCGACTTGTAGTTTGTCACTGTTATGAGCTATATCTGATCCTTAACTCTGCCTTTAAAAATTCAAGAACATCTTTTTAATTTAAAGGTGAGTATATTTGTTTCAAATTTGAACGATTGAGGTTCCTAATTAGAAGTTTGGTAAAATTCAATTGAAATAGTACTAACCACATTTTAATATATCAGTTTGCAGCAAAGGATTTAGAAAGAAAATCCAAGAAGTGTGAAAAAGAAGAAAAAGCGGAAAAACTAAAGTTAAAAAAGGTATCGGGTATTTATGATTGAACTCAGCTGTTTGAAAAACATGGCTGAAATCAAAACCATATGACACCAACTCAAGCTGTATATTTCATGCATGGCCTCAATCAGTCCTTGAGCCAAAGTAATAGTTTTTTCAACTCTCAAAATAGAGGTTCTTTAAAATTTTGTTTTGGTTAACATCCTGTATTCTCTACATTTGATTTCTGCTGAAAACTATTACAACTTGTAAATGTTATCTTCAGGCTATCCAAAAAGGGAATATAGAGGGAGCAAAAATACATGCAGAAAATGCCATAAGACAAAAGAATCAGGTAATCAAACCATTTATCAAATTCTGACTATATATCAAATAATCAGTAGTGGTAGTGTTAGAGATAAAAACTTTCTATGAGACACTATGTAAGATGTATTTGAAGATAACCTCTGGACCATACTTTCTAGTAATTTTCACCCATGTTTTTGTATTTCAGTACTAATAAATTGATTAGAATGAGAGAGACAGGACAAGTCAATGTTTATATTGTTTCAAAATAGTACAAAATTGAATATACACTTAAGAAATGTTTAATGTATAATGACCAGTCATGGAAATTAACTTAAAAGTTATGAAGACCTTGGGTCAATTAAAGCTCGTTAAAAGTTTCATTGAAGAAGGTATGCTATCCTTTAATAGCAATGTAATGAGATTTCAATAATCATTTTCATTGCAGGCTCTGAATTTTATGCGAATGAGTTCAAGAATTGATGCTACTGCGTCACGAGTGCAGAGTGCTGTTACTATGAAACAGGTATAATTGTTAGTTAATATAAGTTGAGTTATAACATGCAAAGCATGATAATCCAATATCACTTTAATTACTGGTTGTAATATAAAGTTGAAGTATGAAGTAAATTTTAATGGATGTCTTTAAATCTATTTAGTTCAATCTCTTAGACTGTGATTGATACTGACTGTGTTATTGTTACTTTTGTAATTTCCAGGTGACAGGCTCAATGGCAGGTGTAGTGAAGTCAATGGATTCAGCAATGAAATCCATGAATTTAGAAAAGGTGTGTCTCTATTACAAAAAATCTAAAGCTGTATGGAAGCTCTGGTCCTTCATTTGCTTATTGATAATCTGTTTTTGGTTTTCAAAGTATGATTTAAGTATCCAACATTAGTCCTGCAAACCCCAGCATAATAGTCAGAATAAATCTAATGCAGGTTCCCTCAAGGATTTAGGATAAGTTTCTCTTCAATTTACCAGAACTCATTCATGATTCTTGAATAGTTAATAACTCCCCTTCATTTGATTGTTGAATATTTAACAACAGGTGTCTGCTCTGATGGACAAGTTTGAACAACAGTTTGAACATCTGGATGTTCAGTCAAGTTATATGGAGAATGCAATGAGTGACACTACAACACTGACAGTGCCACAGGTGAAGCTATGTTCTATCATGCATTGAATTTATTATCTGTACTGTTACACTGCAAGTACACTTAGATCCTTTAAAGAAAACAGCCCTTAGAGGTGTGAAGAATTTGCTATCATGTCTTATGTCTTATGTGGTGTCATGTCTTAGTTCAGAGCACCTTACTTTTTTGCAAATTTGAGGTGGTTCCAACACCTGTTCTTAGCATTTAAAATTTACGATGATAACATTCTGAGTGTCATGAGGCCAATTGTTAAGGTGTCTGTGGCTAAATGATTTCAGTAGAGAACGTCTTTGATATGTTAACACATGAATATCATGCTATGGTGTTAGTCCTTGGTATGGGTCCCAGCCATCACTGGCTTACAATGCTGATTCAAGTACATTCATTGATAAAAATTTCATAAAAACAACATGTCTTGTAGACTCCAATCAGTCCAAAGCTATGCGCTGTGCAAGACTTATTTTTAGTTGTTGATACACTCTCATGTTCTGAAAAGGGAAAACCACAAATATGTCCATCACAATAGGACTGCCTAAACTTGGACGAAGACAAATGCTCTTACCCACTGAAGATACCAATAATATCACGATTCTCGTTTTTGTGCTGTTCTTTATAATTTGTAGGGACAAGTTGATAGTCTTATGCAGCAGGTTGCTGATGAAGCTGGGTAAGTAAAATGAATTGGTGTAATAATTAAATTGCTTTTCCCTTCTCTGGCAAAGTGAAATTATTCCTTTACCATACTGGTTCTTATGACTACAATCAAACTTACAACAGTGGAAGAAAACTCAGGGTTAATTTTTACTTAATGACTATTTTATAGTTATGTAAATTTGTATAACATGAAAATTTATGCTATCTAGGTGGTATAATTTTTCTTGCATATACACTATTCCAGTTTTCATGAATGTGTATGTTTCAAAATCCTATCTTCTCCAAATAGCTTGGAACTCAACATGGAACTACCAGCTGGACAACAAAGTCAGCCAATTGGTACAGCTTCATCTGCTTCTGCAGAGCAGGTAAACTACTGTACATGTTACACTAGCATGAAGTTTAGGTTCTGTAGTTAAAGTCTTTAGCTGTAATGCTCATAGTTATATTTCAGTTCCTGAGTTCTCAATAAAGAGATGCACTCTCAATCTGATTTATAACAATTACCAGCATTAGATTAACTCTGTGATATCAGTAATCATGAGTGATGTTGAGATCACAGAAATGTTGTGTTTAGGTGTCATATAATGGTTACTGGTATTATTTACAATAATTTATAATTATGTACCAGTAATTTAACTTGCTTTTCAGTTACAGGCATGATTCACCCTTGTTAATTTAAATTAAGTTAATTAATAGTAAAATAATTAAACATTGTTATAACATACTTCATTCAATCTTTGCAGGATGAGTTGTCACAGAGGCTGGCTAAACTACGACAATCTTAGGACAGACATGTATGAACAAGTCATTGAAAATAATCAATGTCTGGTAGTAAATAAGAGATTTGTTTTTGCAATTCTTGATCAGTGAAAAACACAGCTCTGTACCATTTTACGCACTTGAGCTTAACATTTGGTCTCTAACCTAAGTTGCATTATTTGCCTTTTGTTGTGAACAAAAGTACCAGCAAGCCCACTTGTATTCCACCGACAAATTTGCAGATCTTTTAAAAGTGCTTTTGAAATTTGCTTTTGCTTTCTTAACAGTTTTATAATTTAAACCTGATTCCAGATTTTATACATCAATGAAAGGTTGTCCAAGTTTCTTTCAAAAACAGTATTTGATCGACAGGCATCTACACAGTTGATGTGAACCGAACTGTGTTATGTACTTTGGAAAATTCTTTAGACCATTTCTTATCAAAATTTGTGAAGTTTTAGGCATCAAATTAATGATTAATCTCTTTTCTAGAAAGCTTAAAGGTTTTCCAACTTCACTTGACTAATATGTTTTTTTTTTTTGTGGAGAGGGGAATTATTAAATAAATAAAACTTGTAGAGAGCTGCTTGGTATGCACTTTTTCAAGAGAAAATAGCTGTTCTTCTCTCTTATGTATTCACTGTTATTCATTTCCTGGCTAAGCAGTGAAAATAATTACACCTTAGTGTAGAACAAAAAAAAGAAAAAAAAAACACACACACACACAGGCAAGTAGATTAGTACATAGAACACATAGAGGAAAGAATCTAATTAATGAAAAGATTCAAAACACATACATGGGAAGATTACTACAGCTTGCACTGATTTTGTGTAAGATGATTAATCTTATACTTTAGCTGTGGTTGCTTTTAGGATCAAGCAGTTTGGATATGGATGGCTGTTACCATGATTGTTGTATAGCCATTCTGATGGGAATTTTGTTTTAACTGAACTTTGTTCATTCTTGATAACTTCTGGTTGGACAATGTTCATTTTAGGTAATAAATGATCTAAAGCTATTTCCCTTTTATATAATATCTGTTCAAGCTCAAGAAAACAAACATGTTACAACTTAGCCAATGATGTGTTGTATGTCCAATATCTTACATGATTGGTTACCCCTTCTTAAAGAAATGATCTTCCTCTCTTTTTGTTAGCATTACTGTTAAACAAGCCAAAAATGATCTTTGGCAATCATTAAAATGGGCAACATCTAACCTAATTATCAGTGTAACGTGGATGCTGTAGTCTCCAGTCCCTCCCCATCAAGTCCAGATTTCCCATAACTTCAAATTTCTAACTTTGTTATTTTTGTCGAAGGTCATGGTAAAATGTTAATCACACAGGTTGGGAGAGGTCTTAGATGTTATAATGTTTAATTCCCTTTTCAAAAATAAGTTCCAGTAATGCTAGTAGGACAAGCTGAGTCCAATTCAGTCTGAAATTGTATGCGAAATTTACGAAATCAGACAAACATGAAACGACAACAGGTAGTGTAAAGGGTAGTATGAGGGTAAAGTCAAAACCACCAACATGGGAAACTTTGAAAGTTTTTGGATCTTTTAGACCTGTACACTTTACAAAATAGAACCCTGAGCCCAACTTTCTTGAAAAATGGAGCATGACAAGTGTCCACTTTCTCAAACTGTTTCTGTGGAATTGTTTCTAATCTCATTTTGTCCATGCAAAAAAGCCTCTGCCAGCTGAGTGTTAATTAACAAAAGAATACAATAATAGTGTACAATGACAAAATTTATTTACATTAAATTACATAACATGCCTTGAAGTAATTAAAAGTGACATGCCCAAAAGACTACAGCTTAACTTTGTTTAAATAACCAGCCCTAAGTGATTAGCTTCATGGTGATTAAACACTGGGAGCCAAACTGGAGACCATTGCTGCAAATTCATTGGCCAAAATTTCTTCTCTCAGGCCACCAGAACAGTTCCAGCTTGGAGCACTGCTTTTAGACTTGTGTGATAAATAATTTTTAAAGAGATCAAACAAAGATTATATTCTAAATAAGTGCTGAAAAATTACATGATTGTATTATTAATAATAATAATGATGGTAATTTTTTTAAAAAATTCAATCTCATTAGACAGAATATAATAATCTTTCCCATTTAAAAAAATAATTATAATTACATCAATTGACCACTTCCCCAATGGTGCTTTTCAGGGCCATTACAAACAAATTGAGAAAAACATTATAAATAAACAAATGTTTAAAAAATCCCAACTTACTGGAGACAGACCAGTTGGTTAAGTACAAAGCGCTGCCAAGAAGTTGAACTTGGAATAACCAAGAACAAATCTAACAAATAGCAGGGTGGAGGACTTGAACCTCAGGCCAGCTGATTACATGACCAGCACCCTAACCAATCAGCCACACTGCCTCTGTAGATCATTAAAATCTACACAATAGAGGAAATCATAACCCTTCAATCCCAAAGAGTGACTAGTTTCTAATCTCCTTGCAGTATCACTGCTTAAATTAAACATTATGGACACAAGAATAATAACAAAAAATTGACCCTCCAAGTTGCAAATTCTCCTGGTTGGTACCATGGGCAATTCACAGAGAACTGTGTGGAAATTTTTTTTTTGCTGATGACTGGTGTAAAGGGTTAAAGTTAATTAAAAACTTTCCTATGTTGACTTGTATGCTCAACACCCAACTGGGGGAACTTCTTTCCACCAGTTATAGGGGTATAGGTGCTTCATAATTTCAATCCCTCCTTTAGGAATTGAGATATTGAAGAAGCCAAACTTTGCTTGAGGAAGTTCTGGTTCAACTAGCTTAGCAGGAAAGGAGTGATGAGTGCGATAATTCAGAGCAAAGATCCAAGACTCTAATCCTCTTCTTCTCATAACTCCTCCTTGATTGTAGAATGCAAATAAGTCTACGGTTAGTGGAAGACCCTCTTTTTCAATGACAATGGTTCCACTTTGAATCCATTTGTTTTTCACTTTAAGTCCTGCAGCTTTGAAGGGAGCGATAAATTCATTTAAGGTCATATGTGCAAATCTGTCTTCTCCATAAAATCCAATATCCACATCATTGTCCCATGGGAGGGGTCTGCCAATCCGCAAGGCTCCCCATATCGAACCATACATTAGCCAATGGCCTACTTTCATTTTATTTAAAATCATGTGAATTTGATATGTGAGGTCAACTAGTGCATTTAATTCTTCTTCACTGTTTTCACACTTGACAACAGGTCTCCAGAACCAGTTCTTGTAGTAAGAATAACTTTGTAAATTTATCTGTACATAAAGCCCCACAAGAACAAGTAAAAGTACCATGCGAACTAGTAATCTACGTTTCCTCAGTCTCATTTCTTTCACTTGTATGACCTCCTTATCCAGCTGTTGTGTAACTAGAGGCCACCAAAATATCTGTGTAGGAATAAAAATTGTTTGTCAACAATTTTTTAAAAGAACTTATCCTTTAATAAAGTAGTTTAATTAAATGAAGATATCTCACTGGTGAACACAGCAAATCTTTTGCATACCCTTTTTCAAAGTGGCAAAAGTACAAACTAATCCTGACCCTGCCACATGCAAAAGTTTCAAAACCATTGAGATAAATTCAACTATGTTAAACTATTCAGCCTTGTTCTGCATACTGGATAATACTAAAATTCTTTCTGTTTTGGTACAAATCCCAAGACATATATTTAGAAAAAAACAACACTGAGAAGTTGAGTCACAAACCAAAAGCAAGTGATTTACAGACTGGTCTCAAGTTCTCCCAAGATGTACAGTGAATTGGTATGCTTGTTAAGAAGATTCCTCATTATTGCACTGCACATGTATCCTTTACTGAGCATAAAAATCACATAATCAGGCAAGTGAACATGCAGTTCGTTGCTTTTGTAAGATAGCGATGGTTTATTGGTATGGTAAACAATAGGATTTTACCCAATTAGAGCACACCTACCATCTCCATTCATTCTTAGGAAAACCCTTCATCATATTTTACAGGGATAAAAAAATGCATCAATCAGTATAGGAAGGGGGCAATGCCTCACACCGTGGGAAATTGTTCCCCATCCAAAAAAACAAACAGATCATTATAACAATGCATGTTTATCTTTCCTTGAAACTGACCATAAAAGGAATTGTGCAACAATTTTCACCTCTACAAAAATATGATCAGGATTTTTTTTCAAGAGTCATCGACAATGTCCAACTTGTCAATCCTTAAAAATCCTTTATTTTTTGGTTTGATTCTTCTGACAAATTTCTATTAAAAAAAATATTACACCTTTACATCAAGAATAATTTTGTATATTGCAAAACGCACATCAATATTTATGCCTAAGAGGACTCAGGCTGAACACAACCTTATCCAAAAACCAGGGGTTCAGAAAATTGAAGGCATATATTTCACAATTAAAAGTGGAAATTGTAAACATCACAAACTTGTGTTAGAAATTTCAGGGCGAACAATTATTAACATTGCCATCACAAATAATCTTGTTCCATTTTCTCTTTGCTACTGTCATGTCCCCTTTACAGATTGGTTGTGTGATCTACACACCACACTCCATTTCCCTATTTTTTGATGTGAGAGAAGTTAAATGTAAGAAAATAAAATAAATTTGTGCTTTTTGTTCTGATGATCACCTGAAAAATTAATCACCTCACAATCAGTACTGTTCTGATTGATTCACCCAACTCTGGTTATTAGCTTGTATTCTGAGTCACCTTAGATGGAAATGCACTTAAAATTTAAACATTCAGGATTAAATGAAATGTAGTTAAAAAAATTTTTCCATTCCTGCCTGGGGAATAAGAGACTGGTTATCGCCAACTTGGTGCTATGCCCCCAGTTAGCTATTTACCATCTCATATCTGAAGTGTGCTCATGCAATAATAGCTAAATATTCCCCTCAACTTCAAATTAGAAATTATTCAATGACAAGCAATTAATGATAAGCCCAAGGAAAACAAACCTCACTGTTACCCCTAAAGCAAGTCAGTGAGTGTTCCGTTATGACCCCAACTCCAAAACAGAAAAAATTATTTGCAGTGATCACCTCAAGATGTAACTTAAAGGTATGTTTTGTTAAAATCTCGAAAGCTTTCGGCCAAAGTTTGTTCTTTGCAGGAGAAAAATTGTTAAATAACGAAGATAATACGTATAGAACTTTTTCCGTGTGCCTCATGGTGTCACATCAGTTTGAACATTGTTGGCGTCATTTCTACGATCAATAAGGTTATAAATAATCGAAAATAGCAGCCAAATTTTTTAAATAGGGTGTATTTCAACTGATGATCAATAAATAATACTTTTAGGCTCAAGGTTGGATTTTAAGACTCCTCAGGGAAAAATGTAATCTTGGAAATTTACCGAAAGACTTCTAAGGTAACAATACAGAACGTACTTAAAATTCTAATATGAAATCGCAGAACACAAGCTGACGTAATGTTTATTATGGCGACTGAACTACTCAAAGAGCTGGTGTTCAGGCAGTGTTCACTCACTTGATGGTCATACTACCCAATTTTTACAACCATTATGCAGAAGCACTTTCATTTGTTACTTTTTGTTTAAAATGGCCCCCTACTGGAACTAATTATGAGTCTAAGCAAGAATAATTCAATTCCTCCACCGGCTATTAACGTTCGCGTGTTAAAGTCTAACAGCAGGTCATGATCCATGGCGAAAACGGCGACCTTGCGCCTGCTTTAGTCTAAAGTCTTTAGTTTGGTTTAGTCTTTAGTCTAAATCATTGATAACAGATTGGAATAAGATGAATGGCTTTTCACTCACCTAATCTTCACAACACGTGTCCCGCAAGAAAAGCTTAAGTAAGCTCAAGTAAGATTCCTAGCGCCTCTCATCGTCGTGCCCATGCGCAAAAAAAGCAGCCGAATGGAATTCTAATCAGAGGGACTGTGTGAATGGTACCTTTGAAAAAAAATAAATAATGTAAGAAAATTAGACAAAACAAAACAAGAAAAACAAAAAAGGAGAACAAAACGAAAACAAAACCAGAACCAGAACTCCCTCAGTTAGCTTAAATTATCCTTTTAACTATTTATCGTTTGTTTATTTATTTTTAATCATGATCTCTTTTCGTAACGGCAATGGGTCATCTTTTACAGTTGTGTACTTAGTAGCCAGGCCTTTGATTTGGAGTGAGGCATCTAGTGAATGATGACAAGAAGCAGCGAGGTTTGTATAGGCAATCACATGATTTCGAGTGCATTTTGGAATAACTAAGCACGAGTAAATTTTTTCAAAGACTAACAAAATTTCACTACAAGCTCGTGCAATTTCGTGGTTTTTTTTTCGGTCAATACAACCGCGTACGATCAAAACAATAATATAGAATAATGTTTTCATATTTAAAGCTCAAAAAAGTTCAAAGTCGGGCTTAACAGTTCAAGGAATTGTTCAGTCCGGTTTGTTACTTCTTTGCACTGAATTAACCCACTTCTGCATTTAATTACCTGAAAACTGCATTTCTCTTAAACAATCAGAACTGAGTAATTTTTTTTATGTATCTTATTAGTACCATAACAAGGTCAACCTTAGACTCACTCCTGTTCAAAGGCTTGGCAACCAAGCACACAACTGTAAAATGGCCTATTGAACTGGTTGGAGTCAAGAGTTTAAAGGCTAAATCAGGGCGTTGGCCGGGATATGTCGATTTCATTTTTAGCTTGGGGTGAAAAGCCTTGTGTTTTCCTAATGTAGTTTCTTATTGCCGATGTCAGTTTGATATAAAGAGATGCGATCTCATCTCTGTTTCCCAATACATTAATCTTACCCACAGGCGACAAAGGCTCACATCATTTTTACTCATTTTCCGTGAGCAAAAAGCCATATGCGAAAGGAAAAGCGAAGTCGATCCGGGAAAATCTAAAACTGAGGCCTTGCCGTATTCACCGAGAGGTCAATACGGCTGGCTAGGCTGAGGTTTGAGATTTTCCCGTTGTGACCTAACTGTTGAAGAACATTTCTTTAGAGACAAGAAATGAATTCTAGTGAAAACATCTTTCTCTATTTCTTTACCGAGCTCAAAACTTACCATCTCTCTTATCCTATTTACAAACATGACGCTATCGACATTGCGGATCTTAGCAGTATGCAGGACGGGTTTCATATGTAACTTCGAAACAGGAGGCTCGCTCATCATAGAGTTTCTGTGGCTCAGTGGTAGAGCTTCAGAGCCCGGAATCCGAAGATCTGGGGCTCGATTCCTTAGGGGACTCAGACGAAGTTGACGTTTCGAGCGTTGCCCCTTCGTCATTCACTCTGACGAAGTGCTGACGCTCGAAACGTCAGCTTTGAAACGTTTTACGGTGGCGAATTTACGTTATCAACCCGTTGATTATACCAAATTATCAAGAGTATATGAACTGTCTATAATCTCTTGTCGACTTTCATCGTTTTCATGCACTCTACTAAAATGAACCAGACCCTCCAAGAGCGAAAACTGGGCTAGCTGATAAGCAAAGGGCTGCAGGAATTTGGTAGGTCCGGGGGCAGATTGGCAGTTTAATTTTTATCGGGATGTGAAGTCAAGTTTCGAAATGGATCTTTGTGGGGTTACTCCAAGCTATGGCCTAAATATATATGAAACTGACGAAGCTCAAGACACCAGTGTCTCGAGCATGATCATATTTGCAGCCGTTCAGGTCGATCGGGTGATGAACCAGATATCACGCCTTTGGAAATTTACAATTAGATGAAACCAAGATGAAACAAGTTTTGCTGGATAGCACATTTCATAAACTTTCCATTTATGGTGGTTGCACTGTAATAATGTTTCGGGACACCCGAAGGTCTACCAGATCCTTAATCCGAATCTGAATACCATGGAACAGCAAGCTTTTTTTCGTTTTGTTTGTTTAGCACGTGGTGGTTTCTTTTTCTAAATGTTTTCTAGTTCACTTATTATGAATGATCACAATCTATGTAAATACCTTGCAGTGTTGTGGTCGATATTGGTTTTTGTAGTACGTTTCCTTTCCCACAAAAAATCCGCGCAATATTTTCACTCGTAAGCAGACGAATATATCCCAGATATTGTATTCAACCTATATTTAGTTTAGAAACACTTGGTCCTGGTTGCTCAACCACGCGAACTTACTTTGGTGGAACAGCCATCTTATAAGAATTCGTATGATTTGCAATAAACACCCGCATACTAAAACAGGTGGATAACGAAAGTCCTGAGGCTGAATTTTGATGAATATAGCACCATAGAAATTATAACCAGCTCAGGCTGCCAAAATTGAACAGGTTCCTTTCAAAAATTCAGTCATCAAAATCGGAAAACAGTGGCACATATCAAAGTATGAGTGCAAGATCATTAAAACACAACACAGAAATGAGTGCAATATTGGATTACTATATGAGTAACTGGACCCCGGACGCTGTGTTGAAAGCTACATAACTTTACGATGAAGCACGCTATGTGAAAGACGACCGGTGAATTGCCTCATCTTATTAAATTTAAATGACCTCACATGACATTTGGGATGGTAAACAGTCCTTAAAATGCACGTCTTAAGTCCTTCAAATGTACGACTTGTAAACTTTAAAAAGTGTCCAGCGTGGATCACTCTCGGCTAAAGCAATCAATGAAAGGATATGACTTACTTCCTGAGATCACACTTACAGAACAGAGCAGAATAAGTTAGAAACTTACCGATAAGTAAAAAATTAATATGATAAAGCTTCATGTGAAGAAAATAACCATTTCCAGAAAAAAATTATTAAGGAACCACTTAAGACACATTGAAAACTCACTAAGGCTCTTGAAAAGTGTCAAATAACAGCCAAACATTCCAGCTCAACGCCTAAACAGTCAGAAAACGTGAACGTTTTGATAAAATTTGAAACTGTTTTCAAACTTTTCGAAGCATACTGATAACGTAATCTCAAAGTTTTCGTGACGTGAACACCAAAGTCAATCCCTAGTCCAATATTCGACTCCCTATAAATAAATTTCTCTCTTCTTAGGAATACTTTGCTCGGACGATCTTTCGATTAGAGCATATAACCATGAGATCTCTCTCTTGGCTTCTCTTTACGATTTTCAGTTTGTTATCGTCGTGTTTACTGCTCGTGAGAACTTCAGAAACTGACGGAGTCGAGACCCAAGATAGCGCTTCAATACCCGGTCATCTAGAACCGCTTGGTTCAAGAAACACAAAGCACTCTTTGGAAGTAATCCAGAATTATCCCGACCCAAAAACCTTCTTTGAGACATATGTGGTTCCTAGCAAGCCAGTTCTCATTCAAAACGCCGCAAAATTGTCGACAGCCTTTTATAAATGGAGTGATGAATACTTCTTGTCTCGTCCCGAAGCGAGCAAAGAAAAAATACAAGTAGAGAAAAGAAAGAAAGAGGAACGGACAGGACCTTACGAGGAAATTCCCTTCAGCGAATTCGTTGAAGGTTACAAGGAGAAAGATATCTATATGGTGAGCTCTGTTCCCGAGTTTATGAAGTAAGTTTAAATGAAGTAAGTTTAAGCCAATTTTGTGGCGATTCTTTTCTCTGCTTTATGTTATTTGTTTTATTAGCAATTTCACTACTCTCATTTAGTTAAAAACTATGCTTCTCCGTGCTGTTTCGACCGGGCCAATATATACGAGACACGTCATTATCTTCTTGCATTTTTGTATTTACGTCAGTTAGTTTGGGATTCCTGTCTAGCCCGATCTCAGGGACAGGTTTACATCGTAGAATCGAAAACACCTGCGGTGGTTTTAGGACTACCAAAGTCATTTGAATACATCCTAAGCTCAACAAATTAGAAAAAAAACGGCATCGTTTAAGCTCTCAAAATAATTTCATCTAGTAATAATATTATACCGCTCTTCCCAATACACCTGCTCCGACGCATAGGAAATATCAATTACATGTAGCATTAAACAAGACAAATTATTTGTTCTTCGTGCTAAAGTATTTGATGTTGTAATAATAATTTTGCGATTTCTTTATAGTTTAAGGTAGAATTACATTTAAATGACAGAGTTATATTTGCTCTCAATTTCAAATTTTCTTTCTTTCTCAGAAGCGATGTTCTTCTTCCCTCTCCTTTGTTGTGCCGTGATGTAACAGAAACGTCGGACATGTTAACTGATGCTGTGAGTTTAACTTCTTGTTTTATATTTCTGTTTCTTTGGAAACCATAAAATGAATCTTTCTTTGATGGATGTGTTTTAGGTGATGTGGTTTAGCAGCGGAGGAACTAAGTCTGTTCTACATTTTGACGATGGACTGGAAAACATCAACTGCTTGTTTGCTGGGACAAAGGAATTATTATTCATAGATTATCACAAGTATAAACATGTGGTAGGAAGTGAGAACATGATATTGCTTTGATAAAAAATGATAAAAGCTGCCTGGTTTATCGTTCGTAAAGTGAGGGCTGCGATACCTCCTCCACTGATTTATATTTTGACTTTTTTATGTTTAAGTAATTAAACAATAGCTTCCATTCGGGCTGGAAAAGTGCTCAGATATTTGTCCACGGACATTTTCTGTTCCGAAAGAAACAGGTTTCCGAGAGCAAAGCTCAAGGAAAGCTGTGCGCTCCGAATATTATTAACATATTGAAAGACTCTCATGACACTGGACGTGAGGTGGATGATTAGGAATTTTACCAGATCTTCCCCTACAGTTTTAGACGCGGCATATTTGCTTACCTGACACGATTACACCAATCTTGCTTTAGCAAAGACTTTTTATACTTTTTATAGATTTTAATGAGTGATATTTCGAGAGCACATTTTTCAACCACCACAAGGACGTTGATGTTGATGTTTCGTTCCCGACCAACCTTTTTGACAGTAGTACTCTTTCTTGCTGAATCCGCTCAAAAATTTAGCCAATACATTTAGTTTCAGTTTTAAATCGTGTATCCGGGTTTTGACACGCAGATAGATTTTGCTGCACCCATAAATTTCAAGTTTCAAGGTGATATAAACAGATGAACGTAAATAACATCTCTATACTGTATAATTCATTTACTTTATAGTTCTACGTAAAAGGAAGTGATACGGAAACATGTGCTCATTGATAATAAATCAGGAGCTATGACTTTTCAACTAATAACATTTGATCGTGACAAACTGTAAAAGATAGGTTTTCTCTCCAGGTTCCCATCGACTTCCCGGAAGGGAGATACTCTGGTGTTGATGTTGATAGGTAATCCTACTCTGTCTCACATAAGACGTACTCCGAAATAATTCATTTTTCTTTCCTGTTCAGCGAGAGAAAAGTTGACTTTTTCATTTGCAAAATAACATAAAAGGCTTTCAAGCTGGCTGCAGCCATAATTCAGATAATAAAACTTACCTGGATAAAAGTGAAAAGAAGCTTTTGGGATTATAGTGGCTGAACCAAAGGGAGAGTCAAGGTGGGGGGGGGGGGGGGATACATACCCCTTTTCCTTCGGACCTTTGGGTTTCTTCAGTTACTTGTCTGACACCAAAATTCTTGACACGACAGGATCACAGGTTAATACTCAACCTGAAGGTTTTAACAATTATTTGTCTTGAAATATTTCTTATCTTCTTTAGGCCCTCGAGTGGAAAAAAATCAGTATATTTTCTGTATCTCCCTGATCCATCGTTGAGTCACGCTTTCTTTACACGACTAGTTACAGCACCTCACACGATAGTTGAAATTCTCCTTTTTATCTACTGATAATGTTGTGTATTTATTTTTGTTTTCAGAGTAGACTTTGTGAAGTATCCTGGTCTCATTGATGTCGAATACTACAATGTGACGTTGAAAGCCGGAGACTGTTTGTATATCCCTCACAGATGGTAACTAGAAAATGAATAACTTGAATAACTAACTAATAAAGCCATGTTTTTGTTGCCGTTAGGTAGAATTGTATAGAAATCAAACTGAATACTGAGACTAAACACAATATACACCTACAAACAGAAAAATAAATTGGTTGGGTCACAGTAAAATTTGTACCCTCATTAACAGTCAATTTTCTCTAGGCCTCTTTCCCCCCCCCTCCCCCCGCTCTGTACTCTTAGCGACGACTGATCTCCCCTCCCTTCTTTTTGAAAACCAAGTAATCCCCACAAAATCTTCTGATTCCCACCCCCCTGGAGACAGTGATCCCTATGTGGTATATTCTGACTGTGAACATGGCTTTCAATCGTTAAACGAGTCTCTAGATGACTGAACGAGTCTCTGGATGACTGAGTTAAGTGACAATTATCGTGTATAGATCCTCAAACGCGAAAAATAAAGATAATAATAATAATAATAATAATAATAATGATAATAATAATAATAGTAATGATAAAAATTACAATTCATTAGTACCAGTGACGGTGTCTCCCGTGCGGTCATCAACTCTCTATTCGGAGTATGTACATTCGTGGTACCAGAAAAACTGCTACCTTACCAGAGGTGTTCCTTCAATGAAAGAAACAGATCTAAAATTTATAGGCTAGGGGGCACTGGTTTCCCCCGGAAATGATGTATCTATCCCTTAAATGTATAGGTTTTTTCCCTAAATAACTGAGTACTTAATCTTACATTTCCTAACCTGTTGGCTTTGACCTGAATTTGCCAGTTTTTTTTTAACTCTTATTGAACTGTCATCTGTAGATATAAATACAGAGAAGACTTGCATTTAATCCTAATTATCTTTGATCTTTAGATTTTACAACTCATATGGCGATTAAATTCAGTTCCAAAACAGTAGATGGCGTGTGTTGTTCTTGGTTGTTTTAGGTTTCACCAAGTTCGTTCATATGATCGCAACATAGCAGTTAATCTATGGTGGCAGCATAAAGCAAACTTCGTTCCAAAGGATTGTGAAGGAATGGAACAAAATCAAACCCTGGAAAAATTTACGTTCACCACTCTAGAGAAACTCATCGAACAACCAGAGGAAACTTTGATGTAAGTAAGATGGATTGATGCACTTTTAATTGGTTTGTAAGGCAGGATTTCGGATTCAATTTTTCTTTGCATGGGAGTAGCCGTTTTTATTACTTTTGAGGATGCGTTCGTTTTCTTGAAGATCGTTTAATAAGTTGAAGAAACACGAAGTACATCTTTTTCCTACTCAGGTTACCCTAGGTGCGAAAAAGGAGTAAATTAACCCTTTGAGAGATGCTGCCACATGATGAAAACGTGCAAGCTTTTGGCGTTAAATTCTGCTCTTAGTGGATGCAATAAGAAACATTTTACTGACGCCTAAGAACCGGAAAATTTCAGTGAGAAATGACCAAGGACTCATCGTGCTGAGTAAACTGCATCTTTGTTTGCCTTACAGGAATCATTTGAAACACTTTCTCGGCAAGAATGACCACATTTCATTCAAGACATTTGTCAAAAAACTAAGAAAGGTACATATAAGATGCACTAAAAAAAACCAATGCTTCGATGTGATCAATATGTATTCATTTTTTTTATGTAAAACTGTTAATCTGGATTTTCGTTCGAAACAGCTGACCGACTTTAATAGTACCACAAAAAAGAGAACATATTGAGTCCATTGTTTTCTTTTATGGTAATACTGAAATAGATATGTACCCGTATCAAAAATATGTAGAGTACAGCATAGCAACAAAGGGGCACTAGAAAGGATTAAAGTGGAACCTTAATTTTTTTTATTTTTTATAAAAAAAAACAGTATCAGAAAATTGAACCATTTTAGAAAAATCAACTTCAGAAAGGAGCTCATTACTAGGTAATAGGCTCCTATTTCAGACAAATGGAGAAGCTCTAGTTAGCTCAATATTTTCTGAAGGGCATTTAAACTTCTTTGGTTTTTGCTTGCCGGTAAAGTTTTTCGTTTTCGTTTATCTTTCTCTCATAAAGTTTCTCAGTCTCTCTGCTCTTGTTTGTTAAAATCGCAACTGACGTTAATCATTTCCTATAGCGCTTTGTTTCGTTACATTTTTACCTTAAGTCCAATTGACGTTGCCCAATGATGCGATGCACTGATCGTAATGATCACGTGACTACCAAATTTTCTTTCTTTTAGGATCCTTATTTTGGTAATAATAACACCTTGACGTGGACCGAGGACATGAAATCAACAACCAAAAAGGTACCATTAAAAAACGTCACCATACTGAAACAAACATCTTCCTCGTAAATCATTGCGCTTACTGTACACGCTCACTTCCTTAAATGAGGGAAGTTTTTTATTCGTGGTTCGTCTAAAAATGTTGTAGAAGCCGGTTTTGGTAAGTTAAATGTTACATTCATACCCTGATTCTCGACAAATCTATTTTTTACACCACCCAGCTCTTCAAATTGATGGACACAGACGAGGACAAGTCTTTCTCTTCGGCTGATCTTGAAGAACTAGTAAAAGCTGATGATGTAAGTGCAACTGGAAAGAGAAGGGCAGTTAACCTAAATATTTTGCCACTCTAGGAAAAGAAGTGCGATCAGAGGAACTCTGCTATATTAAAAGAGAGCAACAATTGTATTATTTTGCTTTCAAGACGAAATAAATTCTATTTTCTTGTTGCTTTGGTATTATTGGAAATTTTTTACAGAAAATGTAAGAGTTTCAGAAGCATTGGTTGAATTATCAATTGATTAATTTGAACTGGGTTAGGGGGAGAGCCTTTCGAAAAATTACGTTTCAAAATACCAACAGCTAGTCAGAATACTATCTTCAAATTCTTGTCGTTGCAGAGTTAATTTCGGTACAGAGACTAGTTGCTTCTTGTCTGTTATGTTAACACTGAATCTGATTCAATTTAGGAAACCATACGCGCCCTGACAAATGAATACTTCAGGCTTGGTGACCTGATGGAGCACGCTCAGGAGAAACTTCAAGAAAACAATGAGTTGTATGAAGAGGATTATGAAGACGGTGCAGGAGATGGAGATTATGACATTCAGCCAGTGAAAAGGTCTGGAAAACAAAACTCCAAAGAGGAACTTTGAGGAACAGTTTAGATATGAAATAAACAACTTTTTCATAGCATCTTTGGATTCCTTTGTGATGTGAATACTCTATTTTAAACACTTCAAACAAGTTTGCAGCCAAAGGGCCTGAGGTTCAATTGAACCCCTCTTTGTTAAGAGAAAGTGATATCAGTGACAATAAAACAACAAGGCACCCCTCCCTGGACCCGAATATATCACCCATCCCTTAACCTGTTATGCTGATGAAACATAATTCGCGACCATGGTGACACACAGGAAGGACTGGGTAAATATAGGTCTTGAATGTGGGCCAAATAAAATGTTGTATATTTAATATGCACTTTTCGCGGTCGTAAACAGTGAAATCCATATCATAGGTAGTTTTTATCACGTTCGCTGTGTACTCTCTGATTGAGAATTGGAAGTGGACCCATAGTTTAGGCCTGTTCTTAAAATAGTACCACTAAGGGGTCGTTAAATTAGAGAGATAGCAGTTTTAAACGTCAGATCTAACGCAGCCACCTTTTTGCGCCTTTCCTACCGTCTCAGCTGATTTGGCGGCAATGTAGAAATTTGAGGAAAAGTACGGCTCATGGTGCATCTTGAAATTTTTGCTAGTACGACAACACGCAAAAGGTGGTGCTGAGTCTTGTGATACTTCCCGTCAGCCTTAAACCCTACTATTTAGGCTAGGCTACCAAGGTACACTGATAAATCCAAGATGGCTGACACGCGGGGTCGTGCATCGTCTCCAATACGAGCAAGGAACCGTTCTCGAGATCGAGAACGAGAAAAAGACAAAGAACAGGAAAAAGAGCGAGAAAAAAATGACCAGAAGCCTACGATTGATAGGGAAAAGGTACAGATTAGATCGTTGTATTTTGTTCCAGAAACAACGAAGACGATTCAAAATTATTGCACTTTTATCAACCGCGTGTCTTTGTTTACTCGCAGACCTGCCCGCTGCTTCTCAGAGTGTTTTGTAACCAAGGCCGACATCACAGGTAAGATTGAAATAAAGCCGCTTTTTGTATCTCGTAATCAGAGTTTAATGTCAAACCTCTTTGAACGAATGCAATCTGATAGTCCTTTTGTGTGGGTTATTTTTTTGTCCCGCAAATTAGCAAACGAACTGAGTTGAAATTAAGTTTAAATAGTCCTGTGTTCACTTACCAGGCAAGTTTAATGTAATTTAAGGTAGATACACTTCGTGGTAAATCGCATTTTGCTGAATAGTTTGGAATTATTCTTTTTTCTCTCAATTTGCTTCTTTACTACTTTACTTTACACACTGGTTTATTATTCTTGATCCTTTCCTCGAGTTTTTTCGACTCTCAAGCTGTGTTTTCAGCTAATTGGTGAGTGAATGTGGTTAAAAAGCTCTGGCGGTCAATAAAAATATTTAAGTAGGATTCATTTTTTGTCATCCCTCACAAGTAAATGGATAAAACATCATGTGTCTTGCTGTGCTTTTTGCTTGATTTGCAAGAGGGAAGTCATACCTTTGTTTATAGACAGTTGTTATTGTATGTTAGTGAGGAGACAATGGTTCCCTTTTTTTCAAGGCAAAATGCTTTCTTTGGCCTGATCAAAACTACCTGTAGGTTGATCACTTGTGGCTTTTCACTGTTTTCATGTTAAGGTGCATTTATTTTTCTTTTGTTAAATCTACACAAGGTCAGTGCCTATAGCTTAAGATCTTCAATTGCGGCTGTCCTTTTCTATTCCAAGAGAATCAGGAACATTTCAGCACTTGGCAGCAACTACTTTTCATAAGTTCCCTGTAGCTATCAGAAACATAACTGAGTACAATTCCTTCTGTTGTAGTGTGAAGAGACATCTTTTATGTAAGGAACTTTAAGCAGCAAATACAATTGTTTTTCCTTTTTTATGTATATTCTTTTTTTAGAGTTGATTTATAGTGTATTAATTGTAGTTGAAGAACCTTACTTTGTTGGATACTCTGCAATAAATCATCATCATTATTATTATTTATGATAACATCAGGTTAGATGAATATTCCAGGACAGCTTTACCATCAAACGAACTCCAAGTGTACACATGGTAGGTTAATTTTGTGCTTTGTTACCAGAAGAATTGTGAGAGACATGGTAACCTAAAGGTTATTGCACTTGAGTCTGTGTCAAGGTTTGGGTTCAAGACCAGGGCGGATCATGGTGTTATGTTCTTGGGCAAAATACTCGTCTGTCACAGTGCTGTTCTCTACCCAGGAGTTGAATGGGTACTGGCAAACTGTCAGGATAAGCTGATGAAATGCTGGTGGGTAACTTGGTGATGGACTTGTATCCTATTCAGGGGGGATTGGTGATACTGCAAGGAAAACTGTAATAAGCTCTAGCTGGGTGGATCACTTGGCTTGAGCACAGACTTCATCCTTCTACATGTGATCAATACGCAAACATGTTTAAAATACCAATAATTGTAGGATTATTAGGTGGTGGTCATATGTGCTTAAAAGACATGCTAAGGGTTAGGTGGCTGTGAAGTGATGCAAAGATAATGATGAAGGGTTTGTTGCAAAACAAATGGAATGCATACCAGTTCATTATATAGTCTCCTGTTTATGCTGTGGTTGGGAAACCTCAAATGCATTAATCTTGATTTATTTTGTAGAAATCTCTCTAGGTACCAGTGGATGGAATCAGAGTGTTTCTGTTTTGTGATAACATTGCTTATTTCTACTTCATTTTAGGAAAGATGCAACTTTGAAAGAGCTCATGAGTCTTGTCAAGGAAGTCAATCCTGATGCAAGGCGCAAAGGCACAATATTTGACTTTGCCATTGTATTTCCAGATGCTCGTCGTGGTGGATTCATCATGAAAGAAATTGGTTCAACTGCAGCAGGGCGTAAAGGGGCTGATGACACTGTCACACTAGAGTCTAAAAAGTTTCAAATAGGAGATTTCATTGATGTTGCTATTCAGACTCCAAGGATGGCAAGGAGAGATAGACCCTATTGATAATAACACAAACATTTCTGTGATTTTTGCTTGTTTGTAGATATGTTAAGATAGGGGGTCTGCAAAGACAGTTCATGTGTTTTTATGCAATATTGGTGTCTATGATAATTTTGATATTTTATTTTATTCTTTCTGTGAACTTGATATATTTTTCCCCTTTTTTTGAAATGTAATGAAGAAGAAAGGGTGTATAAAACTGCTATTCTGAAGAAACAAATTTCCTCATGGGTGAAAAAGCTGTCAATGCCCTAAGTTTTGCATTTTTACTCTTAGATCCTCTGAAATAGAGTTTTGTAACTTTGGAATAGGTTTTGTTCTCATCTTAATAAAACCCAGTTTAAAGCTGATTTAGTAAGCCTACTTTGATACCCTAACAGAGCTCTTAATTTTGGTAACACTTGGTAACCCAACACCACCAACTGATCCTGCACGGCTTGCTGGAGATCTTGGCGATATGCTTGGTCCACCTAATCCTCTGGCAGTAGACTTGGATCTTGCTTGTTGGGAACTTTTCATGAGAGGAATCTGATTAAAGCTTTGAATTGGAAGACCTACATCTGGGTTGATTCTGTAATTGTGCACTTTAGCTGTGGAATATTTGTACTATGTTAAAAAGGGCTTTTTTTTTTCAGGCTGTTGTGGGAAGAATTTTTTTTTAGAGCATAAAATTGATCTTCACCATGTATTTACCCAATGTTGGCCCAATACATGTGTGGGATTGAGTTTTATATAATAAGCTCAGTTATGCATGCATTCTGATTGGTTCTCACTTATGATCTGTTGGAGGACAGACTTATAGATGACGTCATCATTAAACCTTTTTTTAATTCCTTATTATCTAAAACAAATAGATTCCAAGTTGTGGGTCTGTTCAGTAATAGATCACAGAGGACGTCAAAATGTGGTAAGAACTTCAGTGACACACTCAGCTGTGCCTCATGTGCCACTTTTTTGTTCTTACCACATTTTGACGTCATCTGTGATCTATTACTGAACAGACACACGGCAACTTGGAATCTATTTGTTGAATAGTTGTTTAAAACTATAACTGATTAAAATCAGTTATAACTGCCCCTGTATTAATGGATTTTTGTATCAAGCTTACCCATCAAATCAGGATACACTTCTGTCACATTATTCAAAAGTGGCTCAAATGAAGAAACTTCCTTTCCACTGATGGCATCAATCTTTTCTACAGGAAGAAGTAGTCCTTTCAATGGTTATTCTTGAATAGCTTTTTTCATTTCTCTTTTATATGTATTTTTTTTTTCTTGGAAATGCTTTCTAGTCAACAGGTAACAAAAGACACATTTGCTTGGTTACCCTTGTATTTAGAATTGAGTTAGATATTGTTCTCAACTTTCATGACCACAAAATTTACTCTAAACTATAAATAACCTAAGTTGAAAGCTAGGCATTTCCCCCCTTGTGTAGGCCATATCCTGATTAACAATCTTAGAGCATCATCTCTATTTGCAATAATTGTAAATTCTGTTTTGGAATATTTTGGTTCAATATGTTACTCTCATGTCAAAACAGATTGATTTGAAAACATATTTTTATCAATGTACACTAACGATTTAAATAAAGAAAAACAAAGAAAGAAAACTTACTTAAAACTTTTAGTAACACAAAGTTTGCCCTCCCTTGAAGATATTGGGACGCATATTGATCCGGTGGTCTTTCATAAATGGTTTTCAGAGAACCATTTTCATCCGCGATGTCTATAAGAGCTGCAAGATAATGTAAAACGAATAACAAAATACAGGCAAACATCGCAGTGAGGTATTCAGTACGATTGCCTGCTTTTTCATTGGAACTTAACAAACAACTTTATTATCCTCGATGGAGGAATAACAATTTCAACAGACTGAAATGTTTGGTACCTTGTTTTTCGCACCCGCATCTCAGTTTGATGTTTTTATATAAAATGACAGTTGGACAGAGGAGGTTGAAAAATAATTTCTGGTTGTCTGCAAAGTCGAGGGAAACGATCAAGATTGAGCTTAACTATTGAAAACAACAAGGAACTATTTTACTTGAAAAATCGAAATAAAAGGTGACACTTACCTCCAAAGTGAATCGTAATGAACGACATTTCAGTAGTTTGAGACAAGTTGATCGTCAGTTTTGACCAGTATATTTCGAGTGATCAAATGAAGTAGTGGTCAAAGCAGCCGGTTAAGCCTCTACAAATACATTTTGCAGGACTTTTGAGTGGCCGACGTTTACACGCGCTATCGTTTGTGACGTCACAAACGAAGCAACCGTGCTGATAAAAATTGCGGTGGGGTAAGACACGGTGGGGGATTCCGCAAAGTTAACGTGTTACTTTGATGAACGAACGTAGGCAAGTATTGGGCAAACAATTACAGTCGAACTCAAATTTTTATTTCAAAAGAGACTCATCGACTGGATGTTCAATACACTGAAAATGAAGATTTCAAATTCCCGTAACGGTTAAAATTGCAAAATGATGTTCAATACTTTCTTTTAGTAAGCTCATGCCAAAAGTACATGCTAAGAATTTCACTCAATGCATGTCTCAAAATCAATCCCCTCTTCATTTGAGAGTGCCGCTTCAGGCAGCATCCGGAGTCCTGAGTCATAGATCCAGTCCAATGCTATATTTTCGTTCCAGTCCTCTACAGTTTTGACTGTAAACATCGTAGTTGTCATAGCAGCATACAAGACGAGACAGCCTCAAGAGTTGAAAAGCCAGTCAGCAACGAAATGCACAGCAACTCACGGAAAGTCAACTGAATTTATTCCAGGATTCAGATCTAAACCTACAGGAAGATGACTGATGTCGAAATCGTACCCAACACCAGCATAAATGACACAGATCCCTTCAATGAAGACGAGGTAAGCGAAAGATCTAGCGTTATCTTGCCAGAGACATGATGGAATCTGGCGCGCTTAGCTTATTTGAGGCTTGAGTTGCTGTTTTTTCCTACATTTATAAATGTTATAATTTAGCTCTCATCATCCGAGGCTGAAACTTCCGTTATACGACATCTATCGGTTGGACAGAGGCCACATCGCACATAACGTAAAGGCCCTGTACATTAATGAAATCGTCTTCAATAGTCATACTTTGAGCTTGTTTAGGTATCAAAGTATAGTTTAACCACATCTTCGTTTTTCAGCCTGTTTTAGCTGTAAGCTTAAATGTTCGTATTAGCTAATTCTAAAATTTTGGACGTACACATATCGCATTTTGGCGATTAGTAACTACACTGTATACACTTATTTTTCCAGGCCGAGAGACGGTTTCTGAACTCCAAACCAACATGTTTTATTATAGTTGGAAAGCCGGTTAGTACCTGTGACTGTTCAAGATACAGATCTGTCAATGAACTGTACAACTGAAGATCATGATCATGATCATGATCTATAAGCAGGACCCTAACGACTGAAGTTACATTTATCGTTAGCCAATGCAACTCAAGTTAATTCTCAGCTTTATCAAATCGATCAGAGTCGTTGTCGGACTTTTGATGGTCTTAGATCAGTTTCATTGCACCAAATAGTTATTACACTTGAACAGCAAGGCAAGAGGCATTGCAAGTGTTTGTAAATCCTGTTGAGCTGATAGTTGTGCTACCGTACAGTATGATCTTAAGTACAGTTAATTCCCCTAATTGTACTATGTGCTTCCTAGCCTCTCACTGAGTAGCACATGAAAGTTATGTTTTATACCTCATTTCTAAAAGTAAAACAGTTATCTATAATTCCATTAATTAGTACACTGCCCACTAAAATCTTGAATAAAGTGAGTTGTAATTATTCTTTCCAGCAGACATTTTCATCAAAATAATTATTTCTTCATTATTGTTTACAATCTGAGGAGGTAAACAAGGACAAACTTTGCTTAACTATTCTAAAATTTTGACAGTATCTGTTGATTATTCATTGTTATATGTAGTTTCATTCCTGTGTTGAATGCTGGTAAAAAAAAAATTCCAGCTTATTTTCTATTTGAAAAAATGGTTTTTTTCTGGTCTCAAATAAAAAAAGTGTGACATGATACTTTTTCTGCATAAACAGGGTTCAGGTAAAACCTCCCTTGCAAGGAAGCTTGCCAGAGCATGGAAATGTGAGCTTATTAATGGTGAGTAGGAAGGGCATGCTATAAAGTGAACATTATTTCAACATCTACTACTTGCCATATGATTAGTTAACATTCTTTGTACCTTTAAAATTCTCTCAAATTTATATCAGTGTGGAATTAAATCTGCACCTACACTGGGCAGACAATTGAAAACATCTTTTGTTAAGAGTGTTATTTCAAAACAGGTATTTTTGTAGTCTTATGCTTGAGTAGTTTCTTTCAGTTGATTTATGACTGCTTGTTATTGCTTGCTTATTTCTTCTATCCAAGGCTCAGAAATAATCAATCAAGGAATTGAACTGCAAACAGAACTAGGTGCCAATGCACAAGATATTTTGCTGAGAGGTGAAGCAATTCCTGAAGAAGTTTGTGCCAAGGTTTTATTGGACAAGATCAGTTCCCCAGAAGTTGCTCATCATGGTGAGTACAAACATTTATTATCAGAAATGCATATTAAAATGTTGATAACCAGGACCTGTTTAGTTTGTTGAGAGACACTGAATTATATTGCTACAAAAACATACTTGTCTACTACTTTGTTTGAATTTTTTTCATTACTTTTGTATAGTATTGATAAAAATGTTTCAAAAATATTTCTTGTTCTCTTTTTTAGGGTATGTACTGGATGGATTTCCTTCATTGTGTGAGGACTGGTTATCAATGGCTGATCAGCTTGACCTTGTAAAAAATCTACCTTTAACACCGGACTTTATCATTAATATGAAGGTAAAGAACATAAGTGAACTTAAGGGGAGATTAAAATGATATTAGAAATTGTCAAGGTCTTTTTTATCATGTGATATAAATATGGATATATGATGTTAAAGTAGTTATTTTCTGAATAGAAAATAAAACAGTGGCACATATCTACATTTAGTTTTAGTTGATACAAATGCCAACTGATTTTCTTGTTCTCATCAGATTCCAGATAAAGATTTAGAAAAGCGACGTTGTGAGCAGCGTGTGGATCCTTTGACTGATATACTTTACACAAAGAGTGAATACGCCCCTGAGCTTCAAGCTAAAGATGATAAAGAAAAAGATGAAGAAGAAGAAGAAGAGGAGGAAGAAGAAGCAGAAGAAGAAATGACTGAAGAAGAGGAAGAGGTTGGATTTTATTTCAAACTTTAGAACTTAGATATTGGTATTGTTGGTGTTACAATCTATTATAGTATCTGTAATCTTGAGTTGAAAAATTTATCATGACTTTCGTGTCTACCTAGTGCCATTGTTTTAATCTTCGCTGAACTTGAGTTTACAGTCTGCATGATGCAATGCAATGCATGACCTTACATTAGATAAAAACACAACTGCATGAAAGATGGCATGGCAATCACATCTACAACTAATTGTTTTTATTGTGAAGGAGGAAGAAGAAAGAGAAGAGATCACACCAGAACTTGTTGCAAGACTTGTCACAAGGCCAGAGGACTTACCTCAGAATGTTGCTACCAGTATCAAAAAGTATCGTGACATGATGCTGAGAACACTTGAGGTATGTAACATGTTCACTGTACATATTGTACCACAACTAGATTGATATAACCAGATTGACATAAACATCATTTCTATTATTTTTACAGTTTCCCTTTGGACTTATCTTTTTGAGAATGTGGTCAATTTTGATGAACTTATTTTTTGCGTTAGGGTCAGCTATGTAAAAAATGACTCGTCAGTAATTAAACTGAAATGAATGAGGTTCAAATGTGTTTTTTCCCCTTAGGATTACATGGCTGATCATGATCAACAGAAGCTTATTGAGTTGGATGGTAATGAGAGTCCAAAGGTTGTCTTCAAAGTGAGTATTATATCTCACTAAAAGAAGATGATCATGTTTCAATTTTCTTTAGTGGTATAATTAGAAAAGCATAGGAATTTAACAGTAGTATATAAACTGTAAACTGTACTTACAGTACTTTGAAATAATTTAACAATTGCTCTTTTTTTGTACGGCTGCATAGAAATACCTATCATCAGTAATTACTTGAATCTTCTAAGGTTGTTTTGTACTTTAGCTTCCAACTTTTGAGGTAATTAAGTTCCACCTCACATTTTATTTCAGTCTCTTATGATGAAACTGAACACCTTCAAATTAAACCATGCACTGGTGCCCCTACGACTTCAAGGAGCAGAAGAAGGAGAGGAAATATCAGATGATACAGAGACTGATGACCTTCTGCGCACATTGGCAGCAACTGAGATGGTAGCACCCAAGTTCCGTTGGCGACGCAGCAAGTGGGGACGTGCTTGCCCTGTGGCATTGAAGGAGGGTAACATTGCTCAAGGTGTGGCACAGTTTTCAGTCAGGTAAAGAGACACAAAATTACAAAGTTGTTGTAGGTTGTCAGAAACTTGTGGAAAGGTCCTTGAAATCGGAAATGGAGAACGGTTATCTTGATTGACTGCTACAGTTTTGTATTTGTCTTAAAACTTGATGAACATAACATTTCCCCACCTGAAAAGTATAGATCAGAAGACCATCCACTTGTTAGTCCTTGATGCATCTGTGATCCAAATTTGCTCTGGGGGATAAAGTGCTGTATGTGTAGCACCAAGTCAGTTTTTAAAATTGATTTGTTCTGTTTAACTTTTCAGTTTCTTGGACAAGCTATATGTGATGGCATCAAATGAATCACTGGCCCACTTCATGAGGAATCCACGTCCCTTCCTTGCCCCCCACCTGCCCTGTCCTCCCTGTAAAGTGTGTGTCCTGGGTCCACCCCACTCAGGAAAAACTGTACTGGCTCAATCATTGGCTCAGAGATACAATGCCAAGGTAAAAATGGAACAGCAGTGATCCAGGTCTCCTTTTTGAAAATGATTTTCCCATGGCTAATGAAGAAAAGCTGCCTTCTCTACTGTAGTCCCTAAGGGGAGTTATTAGTCTCCAAGGATTCCATACAGGGGGCTCATTAGGCATGTGGTGGAGGGGGGGAGTGTTTTTTGAAAAAACTAATCTGGAACCAAATGGAAAGACATTATTTCTCTTTCAAATCATCACTCAGCTGGAATGAATAGGGTTTACAACATGCATTTATTTGGAACAGATTTTTCTCAGAAATGTTACCCAGCCTAAGTGAATTTAACTTTCATTTTCATAACATCCTAATTTTGCTGCTTGTTTTTTGTATTATGGGAAATCAATGGTGCCGACTATAAACTTGAAGCTCTCTATAGAGGGCCTATAAGTAAGAATGTTTGCATAAAAAGGTGCAAACAAATGGATCAAAAAATATTATTTACTGGTCATGCTGTTGTTTTTACTTATTCTTGATGCCCTTAATTTCATTCTTCAGGTTTTTGACATTGATGAATTAATCAAGCCACGGAAAGAGGCTGCTAGGAAGAAAATGTTGGATGAACTAAGGGAGGAAACTATCGAATCTGCAAAATCCAAAATAACTGCAGCAAAACAATCACAACAACTTGAAGCTGCTGAGGAGGAAGATGAATGTAAGTCTGCAACTAAATATTCAATATTATGCTTCAATTACATTCACAGTCTACTGAAAGAAAGAATAATTTCCTCTGTAATGCAACTCCATTTACAAAGCTAACCATTTCTTTTTCATTAGTTAGATGGATATTTTACAATCAGTGTACTGTTGCAACCTCGATTAGTCTTTTAATGAAGAGGTTAGAGTGTCCTGTGCACTGACTGTAGCTGTGTGCAGATGCTCATACAAATAAACAAAGTCTTTTGTTTATCTTGAAAAAAAGTTTTCTGCCAGGTATTTGGTAGAACATCTAACTCCAAGTCAGAAATTCATGACCCATGGTAAACTTTTTAAATTAATTTTTTATGTTATTCGGGTTGTCATCTCCATCTAAGGTGTTAACAAAGCTCAGTCTTAGGGCATATTTAACTTCTGTGTTTTCTTCCTCAAACAGCTGATCCAGCTGAAGATGCTGGAGAAGCAGCAGTAGAAGGGAAAGAGGGGGATGAAGATGGAACCAGTGGAGGAGAGAAAACACAGGAAGGAGATGAAGCAGGTGATGATGGTAAACCAAGGGTGGCTATTAAGGTAGAGGTACCTATTGATGCTAATCATCCTGAAGTTGTTAAGATTGTCAATGAGGTCATGGCCGAGGCTGAGAAAAGAGAACCTGAACTACCACCAGATGAGTATACTGATGTGATTGAAGAGGCTATTCAAAAGAGATATGCTGAGCTACAGGAACTGAACCCTGATGGACCTCAGTAAGTTTGTACAGTAGTGATTTTGGCTTTGGATAAACTTGAATTCTATGTTGTCATTTTTCTTGCACTTGGCAGCCATCCATGTTACTATGATGTAGCATGATGGTCTGAGCGAGGGTAAACATAAACCTGAAGGGAAGTAATCATCATGAACATGTGAACAACTTTTTTGGATACGGGAGGTCTAATGTATTCTACAACCTGTTGTTAGCACTGGGCCTCATTCTAGGCTGAGAAACTTCAAGGGTAGAATTTTCGGCCAGACTTTGGTGAAAACAATAACAGCACAGCCAAAGAATTTTAAAACCCCTTTCTTTGATTTTGCTTCTATGGCATTATCGAGAAAACTTTTCCATTTATTTTTCTGACAAAGCACTCTAGAACCTATTGTTCTTTTTTTCATCGACGTAAGTAGCAACCATTTTGAAAAATGTTTTGTTTGTTTTTATCCTAGTGCTGGTGGTTACATTTTGGACAACTTTCCGAGAACACGAGAACAGTTCACTTCAATGATTGAAAGAAACATTGTTCCTGATGAGGTGATATGCCTAAGAGATGATAGTGAAAATGGAGAATACTTGCTGAAAAGATGGTATTACACCAACAAAGAAGGTATCTTAAGAAACATATTCCAGAGTGCAAGACTGACACACGGACACACACGCAGACAGACAAACAGACAGGCACGTGGACTAGTGAACAGATGTGCTAGCTGATTCAATATGATAGGATGGTGAACGGACATGAATATAAGGAATTTTCTTTTCCATAACCCTGGCTTCCTATCACGATACTGAGAAAAACAAAACCACCAGATCCATTGTGGGTCTCCCGGTTTCTGGTCATGTTGGATATGAAGTTAAAGTCTGGGTTTTTAGCATTTCTGTTGTGCGCGCGTCTATTTTCAAATTTGATTGATGATCATGATTTGTATTTTCCAGAACTTCATGAGAAATGGGAGGCCAGACGCGCCGAGGAACGAGCTAGACAGGAAGCCGAGCGAGCTGAAAGGGAGAGGAAAGAAAAAGAAGAAGCTGAAAGAAAGGCTGCGGAGGAAGCCAAGAGGAAGGAAGAGGAAGAAAGGCTCCGGCAGGAGCAAGCTGAGGAAACCGGCGAGGGAGAGGAAGAAACACAGAAGGTCGATGGAGAGGATTCTAAGGAAGAGAAGGCAGGAGAAGAGGAAGGAAAAGAAGAGGAGGAGGAAGACGATGGTGCTACTACTGAAGCTGAACCGAAGGCTACTGAGACACCTGAGGTGCAGCCTTCAGTAGAAGACCTGTCATTAGGTCCGGGACTTGAAGAAGAGGAGTTAATCCTGGATTCAGACATGCCACCCAATACTCCCGAGACAGAGGAGTTCAAGAATCTTAGAACGAACTATGATCGAGACTTTACACAGCTGTTGTCTGTATTGAAAGGCACGAATAATATAGAACCTATAATGGTAGCTGTTGACAAAGAACTGGACAAACTAAGCAAGGAGGTGGTCAAAAGAGTTGAAGGTAAGAAAGTACATCTGTGTGACCACTGTGATGAAAAATATCGTTGTCGATAAGAGTACAGATCACGCTTAACCACTGTTGATTTGTTAAGTCTCGTTTCAGTTAAAGTCAATCGCATTTCTGTTTCAGCCCCGTTCAATTACCGCGGCTGGGAGTACACAGGAATGGATCAAGACGAAGAAGAAGAAGACTTCGCGGAAGAAGAAGAAGAGGAGGAAGAGGAAGAAGAGGACATTTATAACAAGGACAAGAAAAAGATCTTTGGGGACACAAACCATTACTGTCCTGTAATGTTGAAGGAAAAGTTCGTTTTGTGGCCGGGTATCGCTGAATGTGCTGCCAAATACCGCGAGAGAACATACTTTTTCTCCTCTCCTGAATCTAGGGGTGTCTTCTTGGATGATCCAGAGAGTTTTTTGCCGAGCAATAGAACTCTTGAGGTGAGAAATTTTACAAACTACAAATGGCTTCTGATTTGCATTAGGTTTTGTGGCGATTACAACGAACGCAAAAGCACACATGCTGTTTCTCATTAAACTGTTATTAATTCAATCGATAGCCTCCCCCGATTCGTCTTTTGATCGTTGGTCCCAAAGGAGCAGGTAAAACCCTTCATGGCCGTCAACTTGCCAAACAAATGGGCGTATTCCACATCTCATTCAAGGATCGTCTCCAGGAACTTATTATCGCAAAGACGAAAAAGAAGATTGGGCCTGAGTATGATGATGACGAAGAAGGAACCGGTGAACAAGCCATCACAGCACCTGAAGGACTGGAGGGGACTGGTCAGTATTTTTGAGTGCAATTCTAGATTTTGCTTCATTCAATTCTTGTTCAAAAAATGAAGAATTATTAAAAGTTTCTCATCACTTTGAAGTAGACTTCCAGATATGCATTTCAGTAAGAAAAATTGTGTTTTATCCAGATACAGAAAATGCTATTAAGGCTGGAGAGGGAGAAGCTGATGGCGAGGAAGGGATTGGGGGCGAAGGAGAACAAGAACTGGAACTAACAGACGAAGAGGAAAGCATCCGCGCCAATTTAGCTGATGGTGAAGCCTTACCAAACGAAACTTTGGACAAGATTCTCCCAGCATGGTGGAACGAGGAGCCCTTCAGGTGAGATGGGTGCTATACTACACGTCATTAACAAGTTAAATTATTGCTTATTCTTTAAATCTGTTAACTTCGTAGACATCTACGCGCTTTAGTCAAGAGAACTCTATTGATCTAAGCTTACCACGCTTTTACTGGAATTTTCGAATAAATTAAACCTACTGAAGCGATCGACGATTCTTTTGGTTTATTTTTTCTTTTGTTTTTCTTGTTTCCCTCAAGATCTACTGGGTTTATCTTGGAGGGTTTCCCCCGTACTGAAGCTGAGGCTCGTTACCTTTCCTCTGTGGGCCTGTTTCCAGACATTGCAGTGATCCTTGTGGTGGAAGACACAGAAATTGTTGATCGCCTCCTGCCACCACTTCTTGACAAATGGCGCCTGAAACGAGACAAGCGAGAGGCGGAGAAGGAGCGACAACGAGCATTGGCTAAGAAACAGAAGGTAAAATAAATGATATCTCAGACAGTTTTCTTGTATCTCTGCCAAGAAAGCTTAGAAGATGTCTCAAGTTGGTGTCTTTGATGGTGCAGTGATCGGCTCTCACCATCGTCGTCTGAATTGTTTTTTCGTTTAGTCCAAGGAGACAACGAAGGTGTAAAGTAAATCAGCTATCACTATTTCGACAATTTTCTCTAAACATTGCCTTTCTTTTTCATTCTCTCCAAAGGACGAAGATAGAGCACGGCGACGGGAAGAAAAGATGGCGGAAATAGAGGCCAAAAAAGCCGAGAAAATGGTAATGTTCTTGTTCACCTTGTTTTATTCTTAGTGGTTCATTTTTATTTGAACTAATTTACAATCATGTACGACCATTTCCGATCATCTGAGTTCAGTCCCACCTGCGTAACTTTTGGTTTACACTCGCTTCCAGGCCCGCAGGGCGCAGAGGGACAGCGATGACAGCGAGGATGATGGAGACGAAGATGAAGAGGACGAAGATATTGAGGCGCTGTTGGATGCTGAGGAGGAAGATGAAGAAGAAATGGAGGAAGAAGAAGAGGAGAGTGAAGAGGATGCTATCGAACGACTGAAAACTGAGATTGGAGATCGGTATGACGAGGAGACGGGACGAGTTGCTACTGTGCAGGTCAGTACGGATGAGTTGATCAGTTCCCAGTGTGTTTTGTGTTGTCAGAGAGAAAGCTATCACTTTGAAGAATGTGGTTTTTTTGTTTGTAATGTCTAATAATCAAATCGTATAATTTTTTACTCAAAAATTACCGCATTTTTTGTTTTGTCTCTATTTTTTATAGTATACTAGCCTGAGATAAATCTAAGCCTTTTTGTTTACATGTATGTACACGAAGCAAGTTGCACGAAGTTGTGTTAACTGTTTACTTACTTGTAGATCGACTTTTAAGCTCTGAATAGGGAACAAAACTGTCAAAGAAAATAGGAAAAAACGAACCATACGAAGACTGCTATTGTTAAAAAGAAAGCCTTCGAATGAATCTGGTTTCAAAATTGATGCAAAATTTTTTATCTTAATATTTAATATTTAGGAAACACTAGAAGAGATTTCAATTCCTCGGGTTGAAATTAATGGCGGACGGAAGCCGCGCATTGTGGAGTATTGTATCAAGAAAGTTCTGAAGCCTGTGGTTGATTTCCGGGAGAGTCTATTTGATCGGTGCTTCGCTATTGATGGTTACTTGGCCAACAGAATGCTTGCTATGGGTTACAAGTTTCCGAGTCGCTTTGGAAGGTGGTGTCCTGTGAAGGTAATACTACGATTCGTCAAATCTTGTTAGTTCCAGGTTAAGAAATAGTCAGGGAAAAGTCAGGTACTGCATAGTAAGGACAGCCGTAGAGAGAGGCTGGCTGTGCCATCTGCATAAGGTCAGGGAAAAATTTTGTTTTCGCGAGAAAAGTTTGGAGAAGTCAGTTAGTTTTTTAAGCTGATGTCTGTGGCAAAATGAGGAAGAGGTAATCATTATTTTTCATATCATTTCTCATCTTCATTCTTTCATTACAGCCACTTTATTTACTTGTATCATACTGATTTCCGTGGCTACAATGGAAAGTCCTTGATTAATTTGTGCCATGTGAAATAGCCCGTTGGTTGTTGAGCACAGAAAAAAAGTGTTGATCGTAGAATAAAGTGGACTTTTCTTTTCAGTTGCTGGAAGGTGAAGTTCTTCCCCCTCAACACGGCTTTGGTGTTAATTCCTTCCCTGTTGTCTACCGACAACATATTTACTTTTGCTCGGGACGAGACGAGCGGGAGACGTTCATGCAGTGTCCATCACGTTTCTTGAAACAACCTTCTCCTAAACCTGTCGTTCCTATTAAGATGGCGATCATTGGACCTCCAAAGTCTGGCAAGACTGGATGTAAGTTTGAGTACATTTTGATAATAACATGTAAGGTTATAGATGTTTTACTCCCTTCTCTACTCCTTAAATTTCTCTTCCTACTCCACCCCACCTAAACATGAATTTCACCAAGATTTTCTCGTTGTGAGATTTAAGCAAAACAGATATTTGTTTCCTCTATATGTTTGATTGAGTCATGGGTACGAGAGAAAGAAGGGAAAGTCGAGAAAATTGGCTCGTTGTTTGTCGTAAACTTCAAAGTTCTTCAAACTCTCTATAAACAAAACGAATGATTGGATTATAATGTTTCTCTTTCAATGCAGTGGCAAAGCGTTTTGTGGCGGAGTATGGCGTAGTGAGACTATCTATAGGAGAAGCAATCAGAAAAGTTCTGAATTTCCAATCATACACGGAACTGGCTCGACAAATCAACCTTCACCTAAAGGCTGGGAACCCCGTGCCAGATGAATTGGCGGTACAAGCTTTGGAGGTCGCCCTGTTGGACATGCAGTGTCAGACGCGAGGGTAAGTTTGTGGGTTGGTGGGAGAAGACATTTCCTAGAAACCCGTTTTTGAGAAAAATTACTTTGAATAACTCTAAAAAATGATTACAACTAGTCCGATCTAAGATAATGAGGAGCGGCTTAAAGAGAGCTAGACATAGGTTCCGAAACAAAAGTAGCGGTTTTCTTTAACTTTTCATTTTACATTATTATATATTTTTTTCATGATAGGTTTATACTTGACGGATATCCTGTCACCAAGAAACAAGTGGAGCTATTGACCGAGCGGAAGATTATTCCTGTTAGAGTTCTGGAACTACAAGTAGACGATGACGAAGTGTTGAGACGAGGAACCGCTGACCGTCATGCTCCAACAAGGTTTTAAAAAACGAAATCAATACTCCGCTTTCGGTTAAATAGACGACTGTAGACCCTCAAAGAGGCCTCTTAGACACAATGTTGTATTTTGTATCTAACAATTTGTTCAAGTTTTCATAGGCATAGCTTTGTTTTTTGTAGTGTTTTCAAGAGAATTTATATTTTGATGACTGTTTCTCGTCTTATCTGTCCCAGGATCCTTCCTTTGCACGATAGTCAACAGATACTCGGCATCAGGCTCAACGCCTGGCAGCGAGAGGTTGTGGAGGTCAGAGACTGGTACCAAAAAGAGCACAGAAATTGGGTGCCTATGGACGGTCAGCGGTCGAAGTGGTGGATTTGGAACCAGGCTCTTGATGAAGCCAGAAAAAGCGTCCGTCAGATTCAAACTTACTTACAGAGATTATCTGAAGGTAAAGTCAGAGGCGATTCATTTGATAACTACCACAGAGAAATATGTTAGAGTGGGTAATAAGCTTTTTATCGCAATCGTGATTTGGGAACTCACTTACTAAATTGTTTTTAAAAATTCGGTTTCTAGATAACAAGCAAAATGGTGAACGACTACTTAGCGAAAAATACAACTTTGAATACCAACAAAAAACAGATGCATTGTTTGCGGCTAGTTGATAAGTTACTGAAAATGTTACTGATCGCCTAATGCAACACCACAACGCTAGTATAAGTTGAGAGGGGTTTGGAAGTTAATGGAGTAATGAGGAGACAGGTTATTTGTTGACCTTTGTTGAAGACTCGGCACCAAGCCCCGTCGTTAGTTGACTAACCTTAACCTTCTCTCGTACTTTTAGGCAAAGCGGCGTCAATAGCGGATATGTGTATCACACCGAGTGAGTGTCTTGTCCGCTTGGGCGACTTTGGCCAGTACTGCCCAGTCAGCTTAGCTGACCGTGGAGAGTTGGTCGACTGTTCTGTAAACTCTTCGCTTGAATTTGCCGCCGAGTTTCGAGGACGTTATTACAAAATGGCGTCCAGAGTGGAACTAGAACTATTTCTCGCGGATCCAGCTCGTTACGTTCCTCCCCAGGCCCCTAGAAAACTCCCTGCTCCCGACCTCCTTCCGAAAAGAAGGACGGAAGCGGAAGTTAAAGCTATGTTCCCGAAACAGATTGAACTAAAAGGCTACTGTCCTGTGACGTATCTGGATGGCAAACTGAGGTTAGTGAGTATTAGCATGTGTGGTTTCTGTCCAACGAAGAATCTGCATTCATGTTACGACCTACATTACATGGTATATCTCTCGGCAATTTTTAAGGGAAACGATCTCTTGAAAGAAATATTTAAGAAACGTGTGTCCGAAATACTGAAAGGAGAGGAAGGATCAAGTGAAATGTATAACGTAACTAAAGGAAGAGCAAAAAGATGGGAGCACTTGATTTTTTCGCATTTTATTTATTTATCTATTCATTTACTGTTTTAATTTTTACAGCTACAAATCCATTTTGTTTTTAATTTCCTTGACTTATTGTCATTATTCGTAATTTTTCTATCCGCAGATATGAACACATTGTTCCTGGAGAGACAAACTTAGTGGTTGAATATAGAGAAAAACTATTTTGCTTTGAATCGGAAGAAAAACTTCAAAAATTTATGAGGTAATTATAATTTGACCACGCAGACAAGATTGAGAAAGGCTAAAGATAGAAGTTTCAAATTTTTAACATGAATTTCCTTTTTCCATTGCAACGGGTTGGTAAGGTAAAAAATAATTACTTACAGCACTGAAATAAGAATAATCAAACAATTCTCGTTTCTATCAACAGGCTACCAGAAAAGTACCACGGATTGACACTACCACACAAGTTACCACCGCGAAAAGAACCTTTACTTGTCAGTGGACTCCCTATGTTAGGTTACATGGAGCAGAGTGTAGCCACTGCTCTAACCAAAGCGCTTACTGCTGTGGGTTGTTTCAAACCGAAGTATCCATTCATTGATGCTAAGAAATCTGCCTTACTTTATATTGGCTATCACCTTAAAGGTCAGAAACGAGTAACGTGAACGTAAAAACATAAAAACTGGCGGAATTCATGGCAAATAAAGTAGCCTCGTAGGCTAGTTAAACAATTGGGAGTTTAAGCACAAACGTGATGTAAATGGCGACCGGAATTTAAGATTTCCTATGTGTGTTTTGTTTTGTGTGAGATACTAAAACAAGCGCTTTTCAATTGACTGCTTGCTATCAAAGAGCGTCAGAAGTAGTTTCATTCTCCTCCTGGTCGCCACACGTGACCGTCTGTACTTAAGCGTCCTTTTATCTCTCTCTTCACTTCCACAAAAGTTATACTGCTGCCCGCATTATTTAGTGATTGTTTGCGTCCGCAGAAAATGTTCAACAATTTCCACTTCCTAAACATGTGAAATCTGCAATACTCTTTCTCCATTTTTATTCTTGTGATCTCAATGAATTTCACACCTATCGTATCGCGTTTTAAGGAAGAAAGAAATGTAGAAGTACAAATCCAGTTAAAGCTGGGAGACATTTCTATTGGGATCCAGCAGTTTAGAGAGAAGTTGAACTTAAACCTTTTTTTTTTCTCATTTCAGCCTACAACCCTAAGAGCAGTGAGTATGTGCGCAAAAAATACAAACAGAAATTGATGAGGTTCGAGGAAGAGTGTGAACTGATTGGGTACCTCGGCAAAGAGATGACCGTTCGTTACCGAGAACCAGATGAACTACCCATCGACTTTGATCACAAACTGTCAGTTTTTCTGGCGCTTAAAGACATAGAACCCACACCGACCTGGTGTGCGTGATACTTCAGTCACGGTGAAATCGTTCGTACGTGAAGTTTCCTACAAAGTTGTGATGAAAGACAAAGTTATTTATTTTGAAAGAAATCATGGTTTACTTCTAACTCTTGACTAGCATTTGGATCTAAATTGAACCGGTATTGTGCAATGTATATATAATGTCCGCAACAAGGTGGCAATTGTAAATAAAATTCGTTTTGACTTCTGATCGGTCTTTTTTAAGTGCCTTATTCACTTTTCGCCATAGATCATAAATATGCGCGCATGATTTCCCTTACAACGAAGTACATAAATTTTCCCTTTCTGAAATTGGAGCTGGCTTTTGTTCGATCCGATACTGCACGTGGCAGCGGTCCAAAAGTCCAGTTAATCATTGATGAAAACAAAACTAAATTAGTCTATATTTTGTGCACAATTAGACAAATAGTGACGATGGTAGGTGCTTTTAATAATGGAGGATGGAGAAGGGAAAAAAGAGAAAAGTGTTACAGCGCCGTCGTTTCACCATGAGCCGTTGGTTTAAAAAAACGCAAAAATCGCGCCTCGAGGGATTTTCTTTAGCTTAAGCAAAAAGACGCGGCCTCCACATCTCCTAATCCCTCTGTTTCCTCTTTCAATTTGTCAGCTAATGTTTAAGGCAACATTATGCAGTGTGGAAACGTATTCTCCTCTTTTTAAAAATCAAATAATCTCGACAGCGACTAATTTAACTTTTGAGTCTGTTCTATGGGTATTCTGTTTAGGGTAGTCTACCACTTCTCTAGTTTGGTGGTCCATGCAGCAGGGTCAACGATTTGAACTAACTCTGAAAAAGTAATTCCACTGAGTGTGGTGCAAACTTTGCCTAGTTACATCGGGAAGTTTTCCGCTAGTGTGACTACCCTCTTCATGATTTCCGTTTGATTATGTTTCAATCAAACTCGAGTCTGTGGACGTTTACGATGACAAATTTGTCTTCAAGAGCAATACAAACTTGAGCCTTTACCGGTGAAGCTACAAGTCCATGGATGTTGCTTTCAAATTTCATAGATCCGAGTTGAGCGCGTGAGAAAGCATCCCAGATCCTTAACGTTCCCGATTCACTGACCGTTGCAACTGCATCGTCAAAGTCTTGCTCTAGATAGCCACACCCTTTGAGTAAATTATCACCGCAACCCAGGCGTTTCTTCAGATCAAGATGCTGACCATCCCAAAGTTGTAATGATCCGTCAATGTGTCCTGTGGCAATACAGCGTCCATCAAACGAAAACTTACAGCATTTGACAATTTCTTCTTCAGGAACACTTCGCTGAATGTGATGCACTTTCACTGTATCGTACAACATTAGACCTCTTTGACGATCACAGCATAGGAGACGATAATGAGAGACGCCGTCTTTTTGCTCGAAAACAAAGATGTCGCAGCACTCGATCATAGACTGCTTGGGGCCATTGATGTCCCTAAACGTCGATTCATCGAGATTCCAAATCTGGATGTGTCCCGATCTGGAAACAAACAAAACCAGATCATTGTCGAGGTAACTGAAGAACCTTTGGGGAGTGATCGGATGTTCTAGAGATTTAACTCTTTGTTGCAGGTCGGAATTCCACAATTCAAAACAAGCTTCTCTTTGAAACAAAATCGATTTGTCATTCGGTGACAGTGCAAAAGAATTTGCGTGGATGGACCGGTTACCACGAAGCCATCTCCCGCTAGAAGCTTCATATACACTCATTCCCACTTTGCACAAAACGTATAAATGCTGACCGTTAGCCGAAAAGGAAATAGCTCTAACTCCACAATCTGCCATTTCTACAGAACTTTTGTTTTCGAGAGTGCGACACATATAGACCGTGTCAAAGTCCTTCAGAAGCACTCTTTCCGTGTCAACCTCTTTGGCATATGTCCACCTGGTTCGCTTCGAAATTGGAGCAATACGTATTGCGAATGGCAAACCCGGGCAATGTAATTGGCGAGATTCACCACATACGTACAAACAGTCTCCACGGTTTGATACACCAAGACTTCTATGAGTCGACCCTAGGTTTATCTCTCTTAGTTCAGAACACTCAAATTCATTCGTAAGCAATTCACAGAATGTCAACAGTTGTTTCTTGGAGGAATTCAGAGGCACAAACTGTGAATTTCCTTCTAATCCAGAAAGGCAATCCACTGTTAAAGGTTCTTCGTTACTAAATGCATTCTGCTGATAAGTGTAGTCGCGCACATTCATGTTCCAAAGGGAAACACCTCTATCAAAACTGCCTGAGATGACATATTGCTCACATGATGAAATCGCACAACATGTGATGCCCCCAGTGGGCGGTTCCAATTTGATTACCAGCTCTCCTTTGTCAAGTTCCCAAATCATAAGGTTGTTTGTCACATGAGTTTCTCTAGTCACCATCGTTTTTCTGTCTAGTGAGATACAAGCATCGATGAAGGTGTGCTCGTTTTCTGGAAATAGCTCCTTTGATCCACCGTCAAATGTTACAGCTTTATCGAATCGACCGTGGACAACCACACCATGTTGTGGGACAAAAAAACAGTAGTTACAACGCTCTTCCTCGGTTGGCCAGATGTCGATCACTACGTCAGATCTGCAACTCCATAGTTCTCTTCCTGTTTCCACTGAAAACAGGTGGACGAAACCTTCTGCACATCCACAGACCAATAGAGTGTGCTCAGCCTGGTTTAAAATATCACAACAATTTACCCTGGTTTTGCAGCGGAACTTAGTGATCACAGGGTCTGTTGTCTGGGATCTGTTAACTACCTCTAGGCGGAGGGGAAGTTGGTACTTTGTTTGATACATCACAGAACAAGCTTCGAGACTTATTGCTGTAGATTCGGCTTCGTTCACTAATAACTGAAAAATCATGTTTGGGTTCTCCATCAACAAATAGGGATGACGCCTGAGGCAAGTTATACAATCATCGACTTCTTTCGAGTCATCACCTGAAAGCTTCAAGACTGGTTTGATGCTTTGAAGTTCCTCAATTAATGAGAAAACGTCGCAAGCTTTGCTCTGCAATTGAGCAAATAGCAGCTCCAGGCTACATGCATGACGAAAAAGTCTGTTTTTCTGGCTTTCATCTAGTTTTGGTAAGGCTGTGAAATGGTGCGTTCCATGCTGAAGGGCGTATCTTTCTTCTTGAGAATACTCCACAGGGACATCTTGACGTTGCTTGATGGAATTGTAGGTCCTTTCGCATTCTTTTAATAACACGACATTTCCTCGTGTGATTTTTACCGTAAATTTATGTTGACCGTACAATTCAGGGTGACAGAGCCAGTCAACAATTGATTTATGGAAAACATCGATGCAACCGTCATGAATGGGCAGCAAACGTGAGATTGATGCTGACATCTTTTGGAATTGGCTCCAACCATCCTCAATGTCATAGCACAGGCCGAGAATTCTCCACGCCATGGTCGCAGGTAAAGGAGAACGTGCAGCAGCAAGTGACGAAAGAAAATCGAAGAAACGCTCTTTGCCAACTCCAAGATCCTTTTGCAGGCGATCAATATATTGCTCATAGACAGATGTGATCCCACGAGGGAAAACATCTGAGAGATTTGAAGGTGTGAGGGTGCTTTTATGGTCTTCGACATGCTTAATGACAAAGTGTGCATACAACATAAGTCCTTCTGCTTGACTTACAAAGCGACTAACATTTTGCTCGATGCTGGTATTGGGCAACAGCCGCCTTAAGCTTTCTTCAAAAAATAGCTCGATGTCTTTCTCGTTCTTCTCGTCTGAGGGGTGGAGGACAAACGGGTTGAAGTGATCTAGTTTGTCAATCATTGCTTGTCCAGTGCGACCGGTGATAACAAACTTTATCCAGGATGGTAGCTTGTGGAACTGTGTTCTTATCATATCAAAGAGTTCGTTTCTTCCCTGATGTTCACATTCATCTACAGCGTCCACCACCAAGAGGATGTTCATCCCTGGATCTGCCATCATGTTCGTAGTCTCTTGAAGAACGTGCGTGAACAGTTCCTCCATATTCATATTCGTCAGATCAGTTGTGTTTAAGCAAGCCAACTGACCCGTCAGGACGTCCTTAAAACCTGGAAGATTGTCACACAAATGTCTGGCCAGTGACTGTACCATTAGCTCTGGTTTCCTTCTCCTCTGGTTATTGTGCTGACAGAAGTGCATTCCACCAAAAACCGAGCGCTCTTTCATGTTATGGCATAACTGTGCTGCAATAACAGATTTGCCCATACCAGCATTTCCAGTTATGATAAGAACACGTGAATCAGACATGCGATTTTGAAACCAACTCTCGACATGACTGAAAACCCATTTGCGAGTTCCTGGATGATACTTGGATGCGTAAAAATGGACTTCCCCGGAGAAATCAAACTTAGCAAGTCTTTCTATGCAAATGCTAGCAGACAGTGGCGCGGCTCTAAGATTCTCTACTCGCGAAGCGTCTTCACCGAGACGTTGAACTGCGTCAGCAATCTCCTTCCAAGATGATTGAAATGAAGCTTCGTCGATCTCGACAATCGTTGCGTGACTGTAATGGTTTCGATACCAATGTATCATTTTCACTGCAGCCTGGGCCGTGTTATCCGTTGAAGGAGGTTTTGCGGCCCAGCCAGTAGCAGGAGCTGGCATTCCACAAACGTTACGAAGCAAAACGTAAAGAAGAGAAATGTCGAAGTGTTTAGAAGCAGGGGTACCAACCGCCGGCGCCGGGTAAAGTTTGTCCCATTGGGACTTGTTTATCTTCCCCTCTCGATTCAGTTTACGTATGTCAGGTTTCTTCCGGTTCAAGAACTTCAGGAGCTGAGGGGGAGGTACATAGCGATCAAATATGCGTCGTAACGCCGCAGTACCTCTGTTAATAAGAAGGGTGTTCAGCTTCATACCCAATAGCGTGTCATCAGTTATTTCCAAGCAATATGCCATTGCGAGATAGAAAGAACTACGAAGTTCCTAAAAAACAAACGATTTCAAAAAATGTATATGTAGATTTAGCGCTTGATGAGAGCGATTTCCATCGCTCCGTTTATTGTTACCTTATAGAAACGGTTAATTAGATATACATCCCGTAAATCCTTAGGCAAGAGAATAGTAATAATAACAATAATAATAGTAACAATCACAATAATAATAATTTTTCGTCATTACCATTACTGTTATTAAGGCGCATTTATACCGCCCTCATCCTAAATTACTCGTG